GTCTAAAGTTGTCAGAATTGCTGTGTTTTTAACTCCAGGGGTTCTACCTGTGGTCTTTCACTTTCTAAAGATAGTTCTAGCTGCTGTTTGTGGGGTGCACACTGACAGCCAGTGCTTTCCATGTATGAAGGAACTAAAATCCTCAAAAGCGCCCTGCCCACCTTCTTGCTTTATAGATGAGAGAGTTGAGGTTCCAAGGAGTCAGAAAACATGGCTAGTACATGGCAGAGTGGGAGCTGACATGCTCACCTTCAGCACCCATGCTTCATGGCTACTGCCAAAATAAGATCTCTACTAGAGAACTCTAGTTTGTTTCAGAGTTTTCTCCCCTGACTAAGCTGTAAGGTGCCTAGGAGCAGGGACTAGCTGCATGTTACTCTCCATCTCAGGGTCTGGTTTTCTGTGTGGGCTCAGTATTTTTAAGTGAATAGGTGGGTGGCTGATACTGTCTTCTGCTACATAGCATGTGGTCAGGGTCCCACCTTCCTATGCTAATGGGCAACAAACACACTCACTAGGAGAAGCACAATGCTGTTGCTAGGCTTCTGTGTTTCAGTGAGTGTGAACTTATGACAACTTGTCTAAGGCGACAGGGCATTTTTCTGAGGCCAGTTATAAACAGCTAGACATGTCCCAGTACTGCCAGTACTATTTTAACTGCCTTTTAGCTTCATAAAAGCTACCAGAAGACCTATGGAAACCAGTTGGTCCTGGAGGGTGGCTGATGCCAGCTGAAATATGGCTGAAGAACACCCTCTTGGTTCTTATAGGTAGGCTATGGTGGTATACCAACAAAGACCTTCCTAATTGCCAAGACCTCTTCATTATGGCTAATATTCTAAGACTGTGTTAAGTAGGACAAGTAGTTGTCTGATTAGTTTCAAACCTACCATAGCCCAGATGTGTCAATGACTTGAAAAAGAACCATAGCCTTGGGTCCTAAGAGAATTCATTGCCCGTTCCAACCAACCACAAAGGCTCTGGATAACCATGTAAGACAGAATGAGTCAAGAGGACCTTATTGGTCAATTATTCCCAGTCCCTGGGACCCTATAATGTGAAACTTATCTAGGCAAGAATGGGGATGGGAAGAGCATGGCTCATATCCAGGCAAGCATCTACTATATAAGTGCTGGATAACCCAGGAGCTTAATCCTAGTTCCTTAGGACTAGAAATGGAGGCACATAACTAGATGTCCACCTGGATGGCTGACTGGGGACAGCAGGAAGCAGTTCCAGACAGAAAGGCATCCTTGTAACAACTCTTTGTTGACCATACCCACTCAAGCTAAGCATTTTGCCCCTAGTCTGGGTCTTTCAGTGCCCTTATAAATTGTCATTTGGTACCAAGAGTAATGAGAGTGTGGGTTAAGTGTGCATGGGGAGTAAAAAGGGTAAAGTGAAGAGATCTGGGTAAAGGAAGAGGCCTGCACTAGATGTGGGATGATTTTTCCTACCCAGACATATTTATCCCTTCTGTAGTAGTTTGACTTATTTCCTACAACCACTAGCCATTAACTCACTTCATATGTGTGCTCATATCTCAGCTTCTTAGCTACAATGAAGACTTGAGTCTTGATACCTCTCTTGTCTGAACTAATGAGAACTAAAGTGGGGTGGGGGGTGAGGGTGGGGCTTCAGCAAAGGGGAGCTCTTTCTAGCAATAACAAAAGCGTGTTTGTAGAGGGTGTGTGTCACACTATGGTATCTGAAAATAAGCCAGGCATGGTGACACACACCTTTAATCCCAGGAATCAGGAGGCAGAGGCTGGCAGATATCTGAGAGTTGAGGCCAGCCTGGTCTGTCTGGTCTATGGTAAGTTCCATGACAGCCAGGGCTACACAGAGAGACTCTTGTCTCAAGAATGACAAACAAACAGACAAACAAAAGAACCATCTCAAAGGAAAACAGAGGCAGGAGCTGGAGAGAGGGATGTCCTTGTGACATTTTGGTCTTGGAATCAAGCCTGAAATCCAGCTAAGGCCTGGCTTTCTCAGCAGCAGAAACCCAACTCCTTCCTCTCCTCTCTACAGCTGGAAAGGTCTTCCTATCTGCCTTCTTTTCTAATATTCCAAGAAGAAAAAAGTTTTTCTTTTCTGGAATTATAATTGTCTAGTAACCGACTGCCCCTGGGGTGAGAGCCACCATGGAGACAGAGTCCAGCTGGCTTTCCCTAGGATACAAACTCATGACTGTTAGCATACTCTCAAATACCATCAGCACACAATTACAGAGCTGCTACTGTTTATAGTAGGGACTGTTTTTGTCTTCTCAGCACCTTGATTTGGCAATAAATACCATTCCTCACACTACGGTGAGAGAGGAAAGGTGATGACCCTTACTGGATCAATCACAGAGCCAAACACCATTGGCCATAGTCACTGATCTAAAAGGGCACAGGTCTCACAGTATAAGACACAGAGCACTTTCTTTGGGATTTGCCAGGCTAAAACTGGAGTGCTGCTGGGATACAATGGTAGAAGTCTAGAGCTATAATCTGTCATATCCCAAATGTACAGACAAATCTCACTTGCAGTAGAAGAAAAACAAATACAGAGGTCTGCTCAAGGCTGCTAAATGTCTACTTATGTCCATTCTCTTTAATATCAGAAATCCTTCCTAGCCTAGGCCACAGAGACCATGTCTAAACACACACACACACACACACACACACACACACACACACACACACACAATGACCTATTATTTATATACCTAGTTTGACGATCCAAATGGAGATTAAGTTTACAGTCTCCCTTAGAGCCAAATGTGAAAAGGTGACAAGCAGGATACCTGATGGTATCAGGTAGCCCAAGCCACTTACTTGTGTGTCCCTGCACAGTTTGGGGAGTGTGATGGCTACTCTTGGTTGTCAACTTGATTACATTTAGAATTAACTAAATCCCAAATATACCTGTGAGGGATTGTTTTTCTTCTTAATTAAACAATTTGAAGTGGGAGAACCCACTTCTAATCTATGTCTTTAAGATGGGAAGATCCACCTTTCACTTGGGCTATACATTCAGCCAGCAGCCTTTGTAAAGAGCATGGAAAATGGAAGCATTCTCTCTCTGCCTGCTTGTTCTCACTCCCAGTGGTAAGTCCATTCTTTTGCTGGCTAGAGCTTCTTCAGGTTTCCAACGTATACTAATGACCAGTTGAGAAATCCAGCCTCACAGACTGAGCAACTCCTGAATTCTTCAACCTTCCATTGGTAGATGGCCCTTATTTGACTAGCTGGACCACAGCCTGTAAGCCACTCTAATAAATCATGTGTGTGTGTGTGTGTGTGTTCACTCTATATGTTCTATTCCTCTAGAGAACCTTGACTAATACAGTGAAGAGAGAACCTTATACCTTGATTGAGTTACTGCATTCCTCAAAGTCTCAGATGCAGTGGCAGTCTGTCCTTTCACTAATGTAAGAAAGATGCAGAAGAGCACTGGTAGGTGTGCACCTTTGCATGTGACCCTATAAGAACCTGTTGGAGAGTGCTTCCTAGGCACCAAAAGCTGTCCTTAATGTTTACAGTCCCTCATTTAATTGACTCTACCTTTCCCAGGTGCCTTCTCAATGATCACTATAGAATCCTAAGTTTCTTGCTTACCTGCATGCTATGTTGCTACTTAGGCTGGTCTCTAATAGTGGTTTATTGTGTAAAGTGATAATCTCCCTCCCTTTATTTTGGAAGTCTTGCTTTATATCCCAGGCTAGCTTCTAACTCACTAGATAGCCTAAAATTCACAGCAATCACCCTGCCTTCAGCCTACACAGTACTCAAACATACTTTTTAACTTCAGTTGATTAACAACAAAGTAGAGGCAGCTGCAAAAAGTGGCAAACTTCCTTTTGGCGGTATTTAAACACAAGCTGGAAAGGTAATCTGCCAGACAAGCCCTGGTAAATATCTGAAGTTAGCATAGTGAACATCTAACTGCCAATCCCAACATTCATCTTTTTGGTACCACCAAAGTATAAAGAATTTGGGGCAGGTTCCTTGATAAGAAAAACAGAACCATTACAGGTTGTTGGTATCAGACAAGACACAGAGCAGATGGCCTCATTTAGTCTTTACAGGGCAAGGCTGATGAGTGTAGGTTGTGGAACCAGAGAGGCACAGGGATGGGGAGTGGGGTGGAGGGGTGGGGGTGGGGGGACTCCTGGGTCAGCCAGTTCTTTACTGTACAAATGGCACCACGTTGTCTGATAGCTCTGAGTTTTTATTTCACGTGTTAAATGTGAAAACATTCACCTTAGTATCAGTGTGAGAAACAAGCCAGTGAGCAGAAAGCTTTTAGCATAGCTCTAGGTAGACAGTGAAGCCTAAGGAATAGCAGCTGCAATTATTAGAGGTGGAGAGCGATCACCTTCAAATGTATTCCATGTGTCAATCTTTTAATGCACCAACATTAAAAAAAAAAAAATCACAAATGAGAAACAGAAAGCAGTTTTCAATTGGATTAGAGCTGAGTCCACATAAGGTTTTTCTGCCAACCCACACCTACCTGTGAGTCAAGATGGCTCCTGTTAAGGCCCTATCCTTTAGTGCTAAACTAAAGTCAAGATGGCTCCTATTAAGTTCTACCTTTAACGCTGAACATTTTGCCAGTCTCTGAGAGCACTGGTGGACCAAGCCCTTCATCCTGAAACCAAGGACTCAGAACAGAGCCAGAGGAGTGTGCTATCAGCTAGGGGAGCTGGGAAGATGGCTCTGTGTCTATAGGATGACTTGAAAAGACTCTCAAGCATATGTGAGGCTGATCTCAAGTACAAATATTTTGGTCTGGATTATGGGAATTTTGGCAAATACCAGGTGGGACAAATGTTTCGAGGCTAGAAAGCAAGGTTCACAAAAGTTCATTTCTGGTGATATAAACCTTGAGACAAGGAATGAGGACCTGACTAAGCCGTCCACACAGTAGACCTAAGCCATGAATTCTGCAGAAGCAAAATCTGCAGTGTAGGTTTCCCACCTATAAATAAATAGCCTAAGACAGGATGTTTTACATCTTTTATTTACTACTTTAGGACAGCTAAGGTCTCTCTGAAAGGAAGAACAACAGCTACCACCTGCTCTTCACATTTTTTCTTTTCTTTTACTGACTTGTTTTTCTTGTTTTGAAGCAGGGTCTCATGTAGCACACCAGGCAACTGTGAGCTCACTCCTGACTCTACTTCACAGGTGCTAGGATGACTACAGCCCATCTCTTTTCCCCACACTTTAAGAACCAATTGGAACCTGGGCTCTGAAATCACAAACACTTCCCTCAAGGTAGGAGAAATTGTGGCCACTGGTCCCATGTTAGCAGCAGGATTGCTGAATGTCATCTGAGTGGGTGGTGTGCAGTGAGAGTAGGACATGGCTGTGAGTAGCACCTGGGGCATATGACCCCATGCTAAGAGGATGCTACTGCTCTGCAGGCCCATGCCAGCCAGGTTCCAGCCATCTGCAGGACCAAAGGGCTGGAGTGTTGGGAAAAGACCTTTCTGCCCTCCTCAGACAATGAATGGTACGGTGACTGTTGACAGATTAGGTGTAAGCACAGCAGATAAAGACAGATGCTCTCTTATTAAAATTATTCTTTAAAAAAATGTATTTTATGTGATGGGATGTTTTGGATGCATATTATGTCTGTACCACATGTATATCTGGTGCTAGGGAGACCAGAAGCCTATCAGATCACCTGGAACTGGAGTTACAGATGGTTATAAGGTGCCATGTGGATGCTGAGAACTGAACCTGGATCCTCTGAAAGAGCAGCCAGTACTCCTAGTAATAGCTATCTCTCCAGCCTTCCTATTAAATTCCTAAATGCTCTGAGTCTTGGAGGATTGAAAAATTCTAAATTTTAAAAACAAAAATCAAGGAGAGTAGAAGTGGTCAAAAGCACGGAGGCTCTTGTAGTTACTGACTGCTCACTTTATCTCCCAGTTCATCTTAGAGTTCAAAGGAATTCAAGATATAAAGCAGAGACTTTAGACTTGGGTTAGGGGCAGAAACTTCTGGTAGTAGCTCTTGGTGACATCAACCATCAGCTCCTGCGTGCACTCTGGGAGCTCTCCTGAGAAGAGTCCTGGGAAAAAAGAGACTGGGTCAAGCAAGGGAGCCAGGGGGACTGCAGCCCTACCCCTTGTTAGAAGCCTACAACTTCTGGGATCTACTGTGAAGATCTGACTGGGAGGTCCTTCATCTTCAGACTGACAAGACTGTCCACTACGGACATCTTCTGAAAGGTCTGAGTTTGTGTTTGAGAAACAAGCCCGACAGCTCTCCAAATGAAGAAACAAATTCCAGGTGGAGGAGATCAGAACATGCTTCTAGGATAAAAGAGAGAGAAGGCACCTCTGCCTGCTCTCAGCGTCATTCCACACAAGAGCTATCCACCCCCAGGATGCCAGTTTGAGCCCTACTGAGCCAGACTTATCCTTATCCCTGTGGGAAGAATTGGCTTGCCATTCCTACAGTGAAACTCAGTTTAGCACAATAAAAACCAAAGCCACAATACTAGGTGCAGATGGATCAAAAGAGGACAACAGAACAGTCCATAATGGAACAAGCCTGATTAAGAATTTCACTCCTAACTGGGCATGGTGGCACATGTCTTTAGTCCTAGTACTCAGGAGGCAGAAACAGGCAAATCTCTGCCTGTCTACACAGTGTATTCTAGGCCAGCCAAGGCTATACAGGGAAACTCTGCCTTGGGGGAAGAGGTGGGGGGGGGGAGGATGGGGTGAGGAGAGGGTGTATTTCTGAACCAGGTACTCTGAGCTAATGTCTCCACTCACCTACTCACACAGATTTCGTTTTGTTTGTTTGGTTTGGTGTTTTGAGACAGGGTTTCTCTGTGGTGTCCTGGAACTTACTATGTAGATTTTTTTTTTTTTTTTTAATGTGCATTGGTGTTTTGTCTGCATTCATCCATGTAAGGGTGTTGGACTCTCTGGAACTGGAGTTAAAATTGTGAGCTGCCACGTCGGTAGTAAGAATTGAACCCAGGTCCTCTGGAAGTGCAGCCAATGCTCTTTAACTACTGAACAATTTCTTTAGCCCTATCATGCAATGTTTTGAAGGACATTTTAAAAATAGCTAGCAAAGTACTAGAGAGATGTCTTGTCAGTTAAGAGCACTGACTTTACAGAAGTCCGAGTTGCAGTCAATCCCAGCATCCACATGGCAGCTAACAACCACCTGTAACTCCAGGTCTGGGTGCTGCATGCCTGTAGTGCAGTGCAGAGATATATGCAGGCAAAGACACATACATATAGAATAAAAATAGCCAGCAAAGTTTTCAATGTCCATATCCTGTGGCTCATAAAGTCAGCTTCTAAGACTGTATGCCAGAGATAACTGTGCCCAATTTCTCAATACATGTAAAACAGCAGTTTCTAATAGTGTCCACTATACTATGGGACTGATTCAATGCTTTGTAGTAAATCCACCTATGCAGTGTGTGAAACCTGTAACATTTGAGAAGAATGATGTGGCTCCCTATATGCCATCTGATATTGCTAAATAACTGATAGTTTCTGAGCAGTACAGTGTAATAGAAAGTTTGGTTTCATTTATATAGGTGCAGTTTCAAATACCTACATTTCCCATTCAAACATATAAGCACACATATTTTACATATTTATATAAACTGTATTGGGTATATGTATAACAAACAAAAAAAAACTTCATAAATTTCTCATAGGCACTGTATAATTAAAAAAATATATATGTTAGGCTTGCAAACATGTTTAAACTTCACAGTATTTTTGTCTTGTTTTGATTGTTTGAGCCAGATTCTCTATGTAGTCCTGGCTGTCCTGAAACTTACCATGCACACCAGGCAGGTCTCAAACTCACAGAGATCTGCCTGCCTCTGTCTCCTGGGTGTTGGGATTAAAAGTATGGTATACTTTTATACAAATGGTATACATTCATACAAATGGTATATGTATGAATATTTTGTCTGCATGTATGTTTGTGCACCATGTGCATACCTGGTGCCCAAGGAAGTCAGAAGAAGGCTTTGGATCCTCTGGAAGCGGATTTATGCATGGCTGTGAATTATGTGGGTGCTTAGAATCAAACCCAGGTCTCTGCCAGAGAAATATGTGCTCTTAACAGCTGAGTCATCTTCCCAGCCCCTAAACTTTACAGTATTTAATCTTTAATCAGAGCAATAATTAGACAACTTAAAAAATTCAGAGATACCACATAAAATTCCCATTTTCAGCTGTTAATTAAACATCAGGTTTAATGCTCTCAATGCCAAGTCAAGCAGCCATGACTTCAGTTACTGCATTATCTTCAAGGCTGCAGTAGCAGCAAAGCTTGTGGCTTCTGATTAAGATCCATCCTGGTTTCCACTTCTTTTTGCTTTCTGGCTCAGTTTTATCTCTTGCAGCTCTCACAAATGTGCCAGGTTCCCTGCAAGCCCCCATGTCTGAATTCAAAGATGGAAGTGCCATTAAAGTACCCTAATGTCTGGCATTTATCTGTGAAACTACTGAAAATAAACACCACAAGTTTTAATGAGGGGTCTTTTGGTGCTGGACAAGGCTTTGACACTGGGGACAGCCCACCTTTCAGTCTCAGTTTCCTCATATACAGAGACCTAAGTGGTCCCATGAAGCTGGTCCTTTTCAAAAATAGTCTTTATTATTTCCACCTCAAAGAAATATCAGGGTGGTTCCTTGTCTTCTGACATTAGTGTTCAATGACCATAAGAAGTTGGCACTAAGGAACTTGAATACATTAAAAAGATGAAGCATACAAATCTCTAAAAAGATTTTTTTTCTTCCCCCTTTGTCCACTCAGAGCCCAGGCCAAGAGAGAAAAGCTTCTTTGTCCTTATCATGTGCCGGTGGCAGATTTGTCTTAAATGTTAATTTATTTTTATGTCTAGGAGTGTTTTGCCTGCATGTATGTCTGCTTACCTTATGTGTGCCTGGTAACTACAGAGGCCAGAAAAGGGAGTTGAATCCCCTGGAAATGGAGTTACAGAAAATTGAGCTGCCACGAGAGCGCTGGGAATTGAACCCAGGTCCTGTAGAAGAGCATTCCGTACTCTTAACCACTGAGACATCTCTCCAGCCCTATAGCAACCTTCAGGGGAAACCTTCCAAGGTATTTGAGAATCTCTCTGCCATGTGTGGATCTAAGGCTTTGTCTCCTATCCCCACACTCCTATCCCCAAGTACTACATTTTAAATCACTCTACTATGAAGTCAGCATTTACCACCTATAGACTTCCAGCTTGGATCTCATTTCTTTTGTGTTTCTAACAATTTATTTTTCTCTCTCTCTCTCTCTCTCTCTTCTTCTTCTTCTTGTAAATCCAGTTATTAATTCAAAACACGGCTTGTTCACTGGATGTGGTGGTGCATGCCTTTAATCTCAGCACTAGAAGGCACATCTCTTTGAGTTCAAGGGCAGCTTAATCTACATAGTAAATTTCAGGCCAGACAAGGCTAAACAGTGAGACCCTGTCCTCAGGCAGTGGTGGTACATGCCTTTAATCCCAGCACTCAGGAGTTAGAAGCAGTTGGATTTCAGTGAGTTCAAGGCCTGATCTATAGTGCCAGTTCCAGGACAGGCTCTAAAGCTACACAGAGAAATTCTGTCTTGGAAAAACCAAAAAACCAAAACAAATACCACCACCCCCAAAGGTAACTTATTTATATGCCTTTTTTAGGTATTTTGTTGCTAAATTACATATCAGAGTCAGAAGTCATATGGATTATTTTAGTAATGAAAACCAGTTTTAAGAAGGCTGAAACAGACATTAACAACATTACCTGGGCAGCCTGAGAAGACGGTGAATGGTGGGACCACAGTTTCTGGAGGTAATACTGTATTGTCAAGAATTTTGCAGCAGTCTTTCAAGACACATCGGCGCCCCTGAAATTAAATTCTTATTATTAGAAACTGACCAAGATATGGGAATGAAGCTTGTTTAGTGTTCTGTGTGGAAAGCTGTTCTATATTTTCACTATTCATAGTATTTTTACAAGTGTTGCATTATTGTAATCCTACTTGGCCTGAAATTTGCTATGTAGAACAGGTTGGCCTCCAACACAGAGATCTGCCTGCTTTTACCTCTGGAGTGCTGGGATTAAGGCCAAACACCACCATATCCAGGCATTCATAGTATTTTATAATAGCAAGGGAGCCAGGGCAATGACAGGGTGTTTGGTTAAAATTATACACTTCAAGTGGAATCTGACAAGGAGGAGTAAAGGGTGTGTGTGCGTGTGCACAGGCATAAACATGAGGAAGGTAATGCTACAGACAGTATAGATTGTCTTAAGCATTAGACACTAGGCAAACCTTTGTCTTCTGAGAGTTGCATTTTTCTCTATTTGACCTAGTGGCATCTGTTGTTTTGCTGCCTTTCCTTCTGGTAACAGAAATCTTTTTGCATTAGGAACTACCCATCCCCATCTTGGTTCACATGCTTTACCTCAAGCCCACACATGGACTTCATGCTTGACCAGAGCCTGGTTTAGAGAACTGGTGCATGAGCCACCTTAGTCTAATGAACCTCAACCTTGGGTTTCTGCTGGGATGAGAGGGAAATGAAGCACTTTCCAGTAGAGTTCCCAGAAGGCAGGATGGATACCCACAGCATCTTTTCCTTGCCAGGAAGTAACCTCCATAGGAAAGAGAAAAGGGAGGAAGGCTTGTTTTCATGGTATCAGATGAACCCTTGGATCATGTGAGCATGAAATCAGGATCTACCTCTGGACTCTCAGTTTATATTAGCTAACCTAACACATCTGCTTGGGTACCAGCCAGTTTACAGGCTACGTGTCTGTTTTCTGAATAATTTTTTTTTTTTTTTTTTTTTTTTTTTGAGTAGAAGGTATTAGTCAATTTGTTTATCAACAGGAGATAGTTTTTGAATATCTGGACTAAACCTTGTGTTTAACTTTATATAGTGTGACCATTTTCTTCCCTGTTCTTCCATAATCCATAGCATATTAAAGGCAAGAAATATGGCATGGGAAAACTCATTTTTTTTTTTTTTTGGCTAGGTTATGGAAAAAGCTATATATACTGTTTAAACCTATGCCTTAGGATACTCACCAAGCAGATCAAAGTTTACTCTTTTTTGTTTGTTTTGGTTTGGTTTTTCTGAGACAGGGGGTTTCTCTGTATAGCCCTGGCTGTCCTGGAACTCACTCTATCGACCAAACAGTCTTCGAACTCAGACATATGCTTGCCTCTGCCTCTCAAGTGCTGGGATTAAAGGCCTGTGCCATCACCACCTGGCTCAAAGTTTCACTCTTTATTAACTTTCTTTTTAGATTGTGTGTGTGCTAATGTGCTCATCCACGTATATCCATGTGGAGGTCACAAGTTTTTTCATCAGGAAAGTGGTAATTTTCAACTTCATTTTTTTTGAGACAAGATCTTTCACTGAGTCTAAAACTCTAGAATAGCTAGACTACCTAACCAATGAGCCCCCAGCACTGTCTCTCCCTCTCTTCAGCACTAAGGTTACAGGCATGTGCCACTATGTCCAGCTTTTACATGGGGGCTGGAAACTAAAGTTCAGATCCTTTGCCTTATACAGAAAACACTACCCACTGAGTCAGCTCCTTAAAGCTATCTTAAAGCTATCCTTAAAGTTAGGGCTTATAAATTCACCTGTGTCCTGGTAAAAACAATTTGACAAAATTCTGGGTAGTAAAACACAGGAGAAATGAGATTAGACAATCTGATGAAAAATATCTGGCTGAGATTGTAGAAACATAAACAGTCAGGGCTGAGTCATTTCTCCAGCTTCCCTAAAAGAATTTTTATTTGTTTTTTCGAGACAGGGTTTCTCTGTGTAGCTTTGGAGCCTATCCTGGTACTCACTCTATAGACCAGGCTGGCCTCAAACTCAGAGATCTGCCTGCCTCTGCCTCTGAGTGCTGGCACTAAAGGCGTGTGCCACCACTACCCAGCCCCCTAAACGAATTTTTAAAAAAGCTTCTACTACTGGATTTGGTAGGGGCCTCCTTTAATCCCAGCACTCAGGAAGCACAGGGAAGTAAATCTCTCCAAGTTTCAGGTCAGCCTGGTCTACAGAGTTCCAGGCCAGCTACTAATGAGACCCTGTCTCAAAACAAAAACAAAAACAAAATCCACAGGGCTACAGAGATGGCAGCAGTTAAGAGCACTGGATTCTTTTCCAAAGGACCCAGATTTGATTCCCAGCACCCACAAGGTGGCTCACAACAGTCTGAAACTCAGTTCCAGCAAATCTTACATCCTTTCTGACCTCTGGAGTCACCTGGGAGGCATGCAATGCATAGATATACATGTAGACAAATACTCATACACATAACATTACATATATGTTGGATTTTAGAGACAGAGTTTGTCTGTGTAACAGCCCTGGCTGTCCTGGAACTTGCTGTCCTCAAAACTCATAGAAAGCCACCTGCCTCTACCTACCTCCTCTCCCCCAGTGCTGAGATTAAAGGCAAGCACCACCACACCTGGCTAAATATTAAAAAAAAATAAAAAAAAATTAAAAGCTTCTATTTTAAGCTTCCTCCATCTGGATGAACAAGAGGACTGGCAACAGTTGGTGTGTCTGGCTCAGAAGCAGGCTATAAGTACAGACCTTCATTCTTCCCTGGAAGTTCTCATTCATCAATGAGCTATAGTACTTTCAAAGATATCAAATGTGTATGTCCCCTGATGAACAAGGCAATGTTATCTCTACTAAGGCTGTGGTCATGCCTACACTCCTAATCCCCAAGATAAGCACACGAGACTAGAATGTGCTAAGTAAATTGGGATCCACAGACAAATGTAGTGGGAGGGAATCGTCTCACTACTTACAGCCAGCCACATATAGCCTGTAGCCTTCTTTGTCTACTAGTTGGCCATCCTACTCACTTAGATCCTGACCACTTAAAAGAAATAGATTAACTGAATTTCAGGAACATTCTGAGTACAGGGACTAATTCACAGCAATATGAAGAATGCTGATAGTTTTAAGACAAGAGTGGATTGATAATAGCTAAAAACTATATATACCAATAAAAAGCTTCTTCATTCTTCCTCCAAGGAGGAGTCAGGAACTATAGCTATGCAGCTCATGTTATTGAAACCTGAATAATTTTATGTAAGCCAAACTGGCATCACTGAGCCTTCATTTCCTCACCTAGAAATCAGGATATAAAGCCAAACCAACAACAATGCTACCAATCTGGTAACAAGCAAAAAGCTGACAGCATAGTAATGCATAGGATATGTTTGCTAAGCTTTTCCTGACATATGACAATTCTGATTTACACCTTCATACAGCAATACATCATTAGATTATCACACAGGACACTCTAGGAAAGCCTATGTGCCTTGAAGGTAATTGGGCTTTAGCTCTGAGAGTCTACAGTTCTAAAAAATTCTAAAGTCTAAAAGACTTTAAAATGTTTCAAGGGTTAACAGGTACTGCTCACACTAAACAATGATGAGGTCATTAAGTGGTATTGTGAAAAGAGGTACAAAAAACTGAATATCTAGTCAGAAATGGTGGTACAGGCCTATAACCCAGCTACTGGAAGACTGGGACAGCAGTGGCACAAGTTCAAGGCCAGTCTAGGCCACACCAAGTTCATGTTAGTCCAAACAACTTAGCCAGTCCCTGTCTTAAAAAAAAAAAAAAAAAAAAAAGTGTGTGTGTATGTATATATATATATACACACACACAAACATACACATACATGTATGTTTAAGGTTAGAAATATAGCTCAGGATAGAATGCTTGCCTGGCATTTACAAGGCCCTGGGTTCAATTTCTTATAATTTTGGTTGTAAGCCTAGCCTTTAACAGCTGAGTCGTTTCTCCAGGTCATGCTCCTGGGCTCAATTTCTGACAGCAGTATGTAATAACCAGTGTGTAATAACTATGTATTTGCAAGTTACAGTGTGATACTTCAGTATATAATATGTGCTGATCAAATCAATGCAATTAAAATTTTGGTCTTCTTCTCACTTCATGTTTTGAGCCTTCAAATGCCTCTCTTCAGGTTCATCAGTATACAGTAAGTTGTTGTGAACTGTGGCTATTCTACTAGAACTAGCAGAACATCTTCCTAAGCTGTATTTTAGTGCCCTATTCCATCTCCTTCTATTCTTTATTTAATCCTTTCTTCTATTTGAGATCAACCTTTTTATCCTTTATTTAACATGAACTGAACAAAAACATTGTCTCTACACATATTAAAGAATTCCTTTGCAGTAAAAATATGTTACAAAATAATCATTCCCCCATCTGAGTAAAGTCCAGTTAGAATTGCTTTCATATCAACATGATCATCCCCTGCACTGACCACCCATGATGAATCCTGTGGCTCCTAGATTGTGAAATGCATGGGTTTTGATGCTTCAACATCTGACGCTTATCTGGGGCAGAGAGTTGGTTCTGGAGGGAGAACTTGGCTCTTACATACTTGTAGTCTGAGTACACATCTAAATATAGGACACATCTTTTCTTAGACTTTAGGCAGACAAACTTTGGTTATACACATTCTCAAGTAGATCATGACTATGGTGATATACTGTTTATAATCTAATAAAGCCACTGAAGATCAGAGAAGAAAAGCAGCCACAGTGTAGAAGCTGGGCAATGGTGGCACACACTGATAATGGAGTATTTTCTTTTTTGATTTGTCAAATACAAATGAACTAGACAATGCTGATGTACATATATATATATATATATGTATATATACATACACACACATATATATTATTTATAGTTATTGTACTTACTGTATATGATTTTTCTGTATACTGTATATACAGTATATATGTATATATATACTGTATATAATTAATTATAGCCTTCCTTTTTTATTAGACAAAAATGGGGGCATTGTGGTGTTATATTGTTCATGATCTAATAAAGCCATTGAAGTTCAAAATGCAAAGCTAGCCACAGCCATAGCAGACAGGAAATAGTGGCACACTCCTTTAATCCCAGGACTCAGAAGACAGAGGCAGATGGATCTCTGAGGGCTCAAGGCTACCTAGGGTTACATGAGAGTGAATCAGTCTAAAAGAGAAACAGAGCTTATTATGCCTTTAATCCCAGCACTGGAGAGGTATATAAAACAGGAGCAGGGAATCCAGGATTCAGTCTTGGGCAATTAGTCTCCAGCCATGTTGATGTCAGGATCACCCCAGCCCTGGTAGAGGTAAGAGCTCTCTGGTAGCTTGGCTGCTTTGCTTCTCTGATCTTCAGTGGCTTTATTAGATCATAAACAATATATCACCACACATGATTCTCAGAAACCCCAAGAGACATAAAATTCATCTACCAAACAGCAAGAAACCCAAACTTTGGTTACGTAAAACAAATTTATGCCTGTGCTTCTACGGACCAGGGTCTTTCAGGTGCTGCTGAACTGGGGGCCTGTCTGTACCCTGTACTACCTGCAGGGCACACCCTAACAACAGAGACACTGACTCTCGCACACAACAATCCCTCGCCTGAAATGCCCAAGCTACCACTGTCTTCCATGCCAGCTTTGATTTGCCCATAACCTTCATCCCTATCATACTGAGGCAAGGCATCAAAGAGTCCATGTGGCAGCACAGCTATTCAAATGTATTTAAATCCTAGCTCTAACTGACTACCTTTGTCAATTTTAGAATTCTCAATCCTCTCATCAGCAAACAGGAATAATAACAGCACCAAAAGCCTTTATGGTTATGAATATAAAATGAATTAAATGAGGAAAAAGATTTTGTGTGTATATACATTTATATGTCAGTATATGTGTATATTCATGTCAGGATACATGTGTGTGAACATTCATACAGAGGCCAGAGGTCAACCTACAGTGCTGGTCCTCAGGCTCCATGCATCTTATATTTTGTGAGAAAGGGTCCCTCACTGCTCTAGTGCTCACCAAGTAAGCTGGCTGGCCAGACAGTGAGACCCAGGGGAGGTCTGCCTGTTTCTGCCTCCCCAGTGCTGGAATCATTAGTGTGTGATACCACATCAGGCTCTTTACATAAATTTTAGGGATCAAACACAGGTTCTCATCATTGCATGATGAGTGCTTAATTCAATGAGCTATCTCTTTAGCCTCAGAAGCCCCATACACATAAATATAGACAGTCCCAAATTTAACATCTTATGGACGAGGTTCCATAAAGGCTAGACATTATTACTTGGTTTGATGTTTGGTGTGCATTTGAGTCTTTGCAGTGTTCAAGAATCAAATCCAGAGCCTCTTACAAGCTACATAAGCACTCAACTGAGCTAGATACCCGGCCCACTAGTCATTACTATTAATGCTTGGAAAAAAACCTTCAAATCCAGTAAGAAAAACCTAACCACAGGAAACTGGGAACTGACTCCCCACCTATTCTAGATACAGAGTCCCACAGATGGGAAGGGGAGAGGAAGACAGAGAGGAAATGATGCTGCTTAGTTGAGTGAGTTGTATACTCACAATCACACAGTTCTTCCCAACGTGAACATAAGAACCAATCTGAGCAGCGTTGACCACACAGTCTTCCTCAATAAAGACATGGTCCCCAATATGTAGAGGAAAGAATGCAACACTAAAAAGGAAGACAAGGAAAAGGTCAAGGTGACAAAAGTTTGGGTTAAAATTTAGAGAACTACAGATCATAATATCAACATTTATTTATTTATAGAGACTCTTTTGTTTTTGGGTTTTGTTTGTTTTTGAGACAGGATCTCTCTTTGTAGTCCTAACTATCCTGGAGATTGATATGTAAAGCAGGCTGGCCTCGAACTCACTGAGATCCTTTTGCCTCTGCTTCTTGAGCTCTGGGATTATAGGTGTTTGTCACCAGGTCCAGCCTTTACAGTCAGACTCTGTATGTTGCCCAGGCTAACCTAGAATTTGTCACATAGTCTAAGATGGCCTCAAACCTTTGCTCCTCCTGACTCAGCTTCCTGAGGAGTGGGATTACAGGCATGTACCATATCCTCAGTTTTTGTTACATCTTAATAGACTATTCTTTGCAAGGAAAGAACCCTCAGTTTATTGAAATTCCAAATGTTAAAACCAAGGAATCAGAGCCTGGCGTTGGTGGCACACACCTTTAATCCCAGCACTCGGGAGGCAGAGGCAGGCGGATCTCTGTGAGTTCGAGACCAGCCTGGTCTACAGAGTGAGTTCCATGACAGGTTCCAAAGCAGCACAGAGAAACCCTGTCTAGAAAAACAAAAACAAACAAAAAACAAACAAAAAAAAACAAGGAATCAGGTTAATAACTTTAATAACTCAATCAGAATTAGTGGGTTATACAAGGAAACAGTAAAGCAGGAGTAGGATCTTCAAAGCAAATTAAAATGAATGGATACTGACACATTCTTGCTTTCTTTGACAAAGTTCACAGATATGTTTAATAATCTGTTTCCGAGACTGACAAGTTCATAGGTTATCAGTTTTGGTGCCCAACACATAGCAAACAACACAATAACCAAAAAACAAAACAAAAAAATCTGGGGGGCTAGGGAAGAGAAGGGGGTTTCATGGAGCCCACCTGGCCTTTAATTTGCTATAGCAGAAGATGATCATGAACATCTGATCCTCCTGCCTCTGAACTAAAGTTGTGTGCCACCATACCCTGTTCATGCAGTGCGGGAACAGAACCTAAGGCCTTACACATGCTAAACAAGTAAGTACTCTACAGTCTCAGGTCTTAAAAATCATTTTAGTTCCCATCATTCTTAAATTTTAACCATCTACCACATTTACTGAGTTCCTACTGTGTGCCAGACTTTGCTACAAACTGGGGATACAATGTAAGCAAAACAGATCTGTTGCATGAGGAGTTACAGATCAAGTAAAGGACTACACACATAATTAGTTACAGCTGAGATAAAAGGTTACTTAGTCAGAGGCTTTGGGGAAAGCCTAATAGAGAGTGAAATTATAAGCCAGATGTTGTGGCTCATACCTTTAATCCCAGCACTCAGGAGGCAGAGGCCAGCAGATCTCTGTGAGTTCAAGGCCAGCCTGTTCTCATAGATCTCTGTGAGTTTCAGGACAGCCAGAGCTACATAGGGAAAGCCTGTCTCAAAATAAAATAATAATAATAAAAAAAAGGACAAAGGTAAAAAATTGTATTTAAGTCAAGACTTATAGGATGAATAGAAGTTACCAGGCTTCCTCCAGACATCTAATATTATTCCATTCTCCACAATTCCTCAAATACTACTGACAGTGTTTCTATAATAGCATTTATCAAACCAAGCTTTTTGTCTTAAGGACTTATTTGTGTGTGTACATGTGTGTTTCTGGGTACCTATGGAGGTCAGAAGGGAGCAGTGGATTCCTTGGAGTCAGAGTTATAGGCCACCTAATGTGGATGCTGGGATTTGAGCTTGGTCCTCTGATAGAGCAGTAAGCACTCTTAACCACTGAGCCATCTCTCCAGACCCTAGCTCATATTTTACATCTGTGGCCTAGATAAGATATAAAGTAGCTGTTTGCTCAAACTCTTTCCAGCTATATTCTACATGAAAAAATTATCATTATCTATTCTCCAAGACTCAAGATTTACTTGAACTTTGTTAATTTTTAGTATGTTAAGTCTCTTCCTCTTGTGCAACAATGAATCCCTTGGTCACGTGGCAGTCTACAGTAAGCCCTCTTAAACTTTTTCTATTCCTGACACCTCTTTACCCAAGAAATTATTTTTTATGTGAACCCAGATATACAAGTATATAGAATAGGTTTACTAGTAAAACATTTAAGCTGAGTATGGTAGCACACACTCATAGCCAGCACTTAAATGATTGAGGGAAGAAAATTAGGGGGTTTAAGGCCAGTCCGAGCTACACTAGACCCACCTCAAACACACACACACACACACACACACACACACACACACACAATTTTACGATGATTAAAGACAAAAACAAATGTGCATGTGTGGTGCGTTCATTTATTTTTACATAAAGAATTAAGTCTTAGCTGGGTAGTGGTAGCACACTCCTTTAATCCCAGCAGAAGCAGGTGGATCTCTGATTTCGAGGTCAGCTTGGTCTACAGAGTGAGTTCCAGGACAGCCAAAGCTACACAGAGAAACCCTTTCTCTCAAAAAAAAAAAAAAAAAAAACCCAAAAGCCAAAGCAACAATAACCAAAAAAAAAAAGAATTGTCTTGCCTGAGTATTTGATAATGCAAAACAAGAGCATCTTCTCTGCCATTCACAGTTGACTACTATTTTAATTTTATAATTGGCAATGCTAAGAAAGTCACTTTGCATAAATACTTAGGACAAAATGGCAGGTATGTTTACAGCCATTTAAGGAACTACTGAAAAACAACTGTCTAAGTCTCAAGCCAAAATACACTGACCAATTCTTTTTTTCTTTTAATGAAACTCAAGTCAGCAACTCAAACTGCAATTTTTTTAAAACCCAACAATCTTTTTTTTCTTTTAACATTTGTTTGTATATTTATTTATTTGAATGAGTTTATGCATACCACATGTATACCAAAGTCCAAGGAAGTCAGAAGAAAGAACTAGTCCCTTAGAACTGGAACAATAGGCAGCTGTTAAGTCACCCAGGTCATTTGTAACAGCAGTGGTACTCTTAATTGCTGAGCCATCTCTCCAGCCTCAAAACCCAACATTCTAATATGAAATTCAAAGATATAACTAATTGTATACTTACATGTTAAAGGATAACTATGGGAAGATACTAAAATTTATTTTCAGTAACTAAACCATTATGTTTCTCTAATAGCAGCAAACTTAGTGTACTAGCTAGTTCTGTGTGTCAGCTTGACACATGCTAGAGTCCTCAGAGAGGAAGGAGCCTCAGTTGAAGAAATGTATCCATGAGATCCAGCTATAAGGCCTCCTCAATGGGGGAGGCCCAGCCCATGGTGTGTGGTGCCATTACTGGATAGGTGGTCCTAGAGTCTATATATATATAAAAAAAGCAAGCCTTGGGAAGCAAGCCAGTAAGCAGCACCATTCCTCGCATGCCTCCAGGATCCTTCCCTGACTTCTTTTGTGATGAACAGCAGTGTGGAAGTGTAAGCCAAATAAACCTTTTTCTTCCAAACTTGCTTTTTTGGTCATGGTGTTTCATCACAGCCACAGAAACTCTAATTAAGACACTTAGTATGTATAGTAAAGACATTAGAATTTATAACATTAAAGTAGTTCAAACCTGAGCAGAAGTGTTTTAGGCAGCAATTGGTATGGCTTGTACGACACCATGCATAGTGTAATGCACGTGCTCTATGCAAAAGTGGTCATATCTCATGATGCACCACAGGCAAGCATTGCCAGAAATGTTGGATTCATCACATATCTCATTTTGAATTAATTTTTGGTTGTTACATATTCAGAAACCTTTCATTGTTGCCAATTTTTTCACAGCCTTCTACAGTTAAGCAATGACAATAAAGGGTCATGACCCACAGTTTAAGAAACTATAGGCTACAGCAGTTCTGAGAGTTCTTTAATTTTAAGTTAAAAGTCTAAATTTCTTAGCATAATCTGATTCTGGTATGATATGCAAGAGAAAAATCTACTTTTACCTTTTTCTCATGCTTTACTATTTATGTTTTATTTCTCTATATCTCACAGGGACTATTCTACTTCTCCCATCCAAGTACTAACCAGGCCCGACGCTGCTTAGCTTCCAAGATCAGATGAGATCAGACACATTCAGGGTGGTATGGCCATAGACTCAAGGTGGTGTGGCCGTAGTCGGGACTATTCTACTTCTGACAATCAATTATGAACAAAGTTACAACCAGAGTGGTGCTCATTATTGTGAACTCTTATTCAGCACCCTACCAAACAGGGTTAGACCTCTTCACTACACATGGACATGTACAATATCATCAGGGACAGTATGGAGCCTGGGACTGGAAATAAGTAATTAAATCACATACCCTTTACTGAATTTCTTGAATGGTGGCCTTATAACACTACGACTTTTTACAACACAGTGACGTCCAACTCTTACATTTGCCAGATCTCCTCGGATGATACAGTCATTCATTACAATGGTCTATAAAGCAAAACACATATTAAAATTTACCAGTGTTATAAAAAGATAGTGAACAGGACCCTAAGCATTATGTTATGGTTCGTGCCATCAAAATTCTATAAAAGGGGTAATTGAACAGTGAAAGGCTTGACTGCAACACAATGTAAGCTTTGATCTTAATACTCCACAGACAGGACTCACTGAGTGAACACGCACTGAGAATGCATATGGTAGACCAGGTAACATATCTGTTTAGAGCAGTGGTTCTCAATCTTCCTAATGCTGTCACCCTTTAATACAGTTCCTTATAACGTGAATAATAAAAACCCAGAGACAGGTATTGGGATTCAAGCTGAAGATCAGAGAAGCAAAGCAGCCAGCCACTGGAGTTCTCATCTCTACCAATGCTCAGAACAAAGGGCCGATCTCCGATTGCTCCTGACTTCACTGCTCCTCAGATTCACACTCAGACTGCCTGTTGTCCACCAAGCTTCAGAATGCTAGAGGGTTCTCTGAGACTGCACTGAGCTCCTTATATACTCTCTAGTGCTGGGACTAAAGATGTGAGCTGTTTCTCTTTTAGACTGATTCACTCTCATGTAGCCCTGGGTGCTCTTGAACTCATAGAGATCCATCTGCCTCTGTCTCCTGAGTACTTCGAGTAAAGGTGTGTGCCACCACTGCCCAACTTCTATGGCTAATTAGTGAGCCTGGCTGTGCATTCTGATCCTTCAGGTGATCTTTATTAAGTCATAAATAATATATCACCACAGTTTCTCATGTTGTGGTGAACCCCAACCATAAAATTGTTTCGATGCTACTTCATAACTGTAAATTGCTACTGTTATGAATCGTAAGGTAAATATCTGATTTGTGACCTACAGGTTGAGAACTATGCGTTTAGTTACTCAGAACCATCTGAGGTCACCAAAGCCTTGGAGCCGTGATCAGAGACTGTCCTATCTGCTTCCACACAGGCTGTGCCACCACATGTGGCCACACGTCCAGTTCCTTTTGAAAGAAGTCAGAAGCTCTAGTAATATAGGTCTATATTCTCACTCTATAATAACTAACGTCAACATGTGTTGCTTATGTTTTCCCGATTACTTTGTTCTGAGATAGGGTCTTATTACAACCCTGAGGATGATCTGGAGCTCATTGTGTAGTCAAAGGTAACCTGAAACTTGGTGTGCTCATCCTGTTTCATCTCCCCAAGTGCTGAGATTACAGGCAAGCATTTCCCTGATTTCTGTTTTATTGCCTCTTTAGGTTTTGCATCCAGTAGTCCTGAGCACAATGTAACACAGCAGAAAAATGTGCCATTGTATTTTATTCAGGTAAAATAAAAGGATGCTGTTCCTTCCCCTACTCCCAACACTTTTTATTTGTAATATTATTGTGATGTAAATCCTACCTAAATACAGTATTGAAGAATATGACAAAAAATGTTCATATTCAGTTCAGATAAAATTCCTTCCCTTCCACTCCTCTCTCCATCTACCTCCCCATGCTCCTTTGTCTATAGTGCCTTCCTCCTTCACATCTCATGTGCTACACTGCTCCCCCGACAGTTCTTCCTTAAAATGTCTCTATTCTCCATCTAGTAGGCCTCTTTCTAATCTCCTGACTTCTCCTCATCTATCATTTTTGTGCAGTCAATAAATCCAATTTGGAGAAAAAAACAAATAGAACTGGAAATGTACAACACATTGGAGACACAGCATCATTTTGTCTACCCTGATAATATGGTGATAAGCAAAGGTCTGAAACTGTGTGTACTTTACCTTGCCATTGAGAACGATATTCTGGCTTCCACACAAAACAGACTGGCGACTAACTTTGTTCCCAGATGCCTAAAAGTGAACAGAAAAAGCTGAGATTTTTGTGCTACCATTTCCATCAAGAAAGTCAGAATTGCAGAGAAAATTACTTTGAATGGAGTGCAGTCTAAAATGGAATGAAGACAGAGTGTGGTACTGCACCCCTACTGTCCCAGCTCCGGGAAGAATGATTATGAATTTGGGGTTGGACTGGACTGCTAACTGAAAGGATCACAGAAACAAATTAGAGAAGGAAGAGATGGGTCAGGACGGGGAGGGAAGGCTATGGGTGTAACTCAATGATAAGAGTGCTTAGTACCCCCAAAACATGTAAGATGGATTGAATCCAATATTTCAAAAGAGCAAGGGTGGACTAGGAACTAAAAGTTCTAGAAATGGATTCAGGATTTGTATCTAATGACAGATGTGCATTCAAACCCCAGCTCTCCGGTTTCACAGCCCTAAGTAAGGAAAATGATTTTCCCATGTCCACAGAGTTGTAAGGACATGCAGAAAAAAGAATAATGAGTACCCCTAACACTGGCACTTGCTTGTTTCCAGCACTTCACACGTTACCATGAGTTGAAGGTTAGAAACAACTTTTTAGCACGTTAGTAAAATGTTAAATATTGTTTTTAAAAGGGTCTGAAGCCTGAAACTGTAATTAGTATCAGAACGAATAGCCTGAATTGTGTATTCCGGAAGACATCTCCACAGGAAATCCAGGTGTACACACACACACACACACACACACACACACACACACACACACCGAGAGGGAAGGAAGAGAGAGAGGTACGGACGGAAGAAGGAGAGCTTAATTCATGCATGCTCAGACTAAATAACAACATCAAAGGAAACACGAAGCGTATCTACATCACTCCCCCCCCCCAAAGAACAGACTGAGGGAGCAGGGGCGGGTGAAGCAGGGACAGGAGGGGCAGCCGCCCCTCCTGTCCTCTTGGGGCAGCTGGGCGGCCAGCGAGAAAAGGGTCTGCACACGCTCACCGTCTCGATGTATTCGGACTTGTTGTACAGCAGCTCGCCCAATTCCATGGCTGCCTCCTCCTCTTCGAACCTCAGGATCCTGTCAGTAGCTCAAGCCGACTGTGATTCCAGCTACTTCCGGCTGCCTGTGCACTTCCGCTATCCGGCTCTCATCGACTGCTCGACTCTCTTCTAGACAGTCCCGCGCCGTCACGCGGAGGTCTCCAGCTGCGCGTGCGCAGAGCGAGCGGCGGTTTTAATTGGCCAGAGTGGGTAGCGCGCGGGATCCGGGTGGGCCAGCCAGGCCCGCGCAGGTGGCACGCTAGGTCTTCGTTCCTTCCCGGGATTCCTTCTGGGCCCAGGAAGGTCCGACTGGGTCTTCGTGACCACAGGCCCGAGGCTGGTGACGGCTGCTCCCTGCTTTCGGCTTCCATCCGGATGGAAGAGCCTTCCGGGAAGCCCCTCAGCTGTGCGGAGAAGGAAAAGGTGCCCGGGTTGCGGGAAGGGTGACCCAGGGCTCTTAACTCGGTGTCCCAGGACTTCAAGCCTAGTTCCTGAATCCGAGAGAGGCAGTGAGTGTCCTGCGACCTGCCCTCCACGAGAAGTCATAGAAACTAGCGCACTGCTCACGGGGCGGAGCGCAAAATGCAAATTAGCCGCACGTAACTTCTAGTGACATTGCATAAATATTAGGTGTATAACTTTAAATACAGGTAAACCTAAAATCCTCCTTCACACCCTCCACCTCTCCCACCCACCTCTGCCCTCTCACGTAAGTCTTTCAACAGTCTTGTACTTAACAGACATTTTTGTGTGTATATATTGGGTCTTGACCTCCAAAGGTAATAGTTGTTTACATATTGGAGAGGAACGTGGTCATTATGTATGCCCTGGTTGGTTCTGCAACTTCTGTTTAAGACCCATGTTAGAACAGGACTACAGGAAGGATAAATATAAATATTGCATATAATGGTTAGGTGTGTGTATGATATAAATTTAATATAATTGTAGTTTGGAAATACCCTTGTTTCATTAGGGCTTAATATAGTACCCTTCTGCAAGGCTTAAACATTGCAGGTTCTTGTCCTTGCCATGCAAAATTAGAAGTCACATTAATTTGTCTGTCCTCCTATCCTGTCTTACCTTCTATAGGCAGTAAAGATCATTTACAAATAAACAAGCTAAGTCCCACATATTGATAAGATTGAGCAACAGTTTGAGAGCACAGACTCTAGCACTGTGGTTCTCAACCTTACCAACGCTGCAGCCCTTTAATACAGTTCCTCATGTTGTGGTGACCCCTAACCATGACATTATTTTTGTTGCTGTCTCGTTTTTGTTACTGTTATGGATCATAATGTAAATATCTGTATTTTCTGGTGGTCTTAAGCGACCCTTGTGAAAGAGTCTTTCTACCACCCAGGAGTCTCCATGCATAGGTTAGGAACAGCTTCCTATGGGGGTTTAGATGGAGCAGTTACAAATGGCAGCATCCTTGAGAAATGCTTCTTCTTCTATGTTCATTTTACATGTCTTATAAAATGAGGGTGATTATAGAACAGTCTATTTGTTAGGGTTATTGTGAGTGCTAATCAAGTTAATGGCTATTGAAGTTATAAAAGTTCTTAGAGTCAGCTGAAGCACATTTTCAAAATATCAGCAGTTTTTATGATTGTGTGATTAAAAATGGAAGGGGACTGAGGTAACTTTAATGCAGAAGTACTAGAGTCCACAAAATGCTCTAGAAACTGAGCAGGGGAAATGATTAATAAGAAAAGTTAACATCATTTGCAACTTTTGTTGTAGCACATTTTGCTGCTTTTTTGTTTGTGAGGTTGCTTGTTTTTAAGACAGGGTCTCATATCCCTAGTCTGGGACTTGCTGGGTAGCTAAGGATGACCTAGATCCCTGATCTTCCTCTCAATCTCCGAAGTGCTGGAATTACAGTTATTTACCACAGAACTGGGCTTATGCAGTGCTGAGGATTAAAGCTTCTGCGTGCTAGATGAGCCCATTTGTTTTGCTTTAAAAGGAATATGGTACGACTAAAAAGCCAGCAATTTTCCAAAGGATGAATATCAGTTTAAAGATTCCTAAAGGACAGAAAGATGAAAGTGGCTTTGCTGCTGAGAGAATATTTTCAACCACAGAAGACAAAGAATCTAAACCTTGAGAGTCTAATAACTTGGCATAGTCTGATTAAATTTATTTGCAAAAGCTTTGTGGAATGCCTGCTGTGTGCTTAGCTGGGAACTCATCAGTGACAGCCCCTACTTCTTTCACTGGCTTTCTTCTCCATATCTTCAAATATATGAGTCCATTCCTCCGTAAAGCTTTCCTGCTTATGGTGCCTAAAATAACTACATGGCTCCTATTTCCCCAAGCTTAGTTCTTTCTTTCAGATCTAGTTGTAAATGGTCACCCTCAGAAATGCCTACAAGACTACACTCCCTGAAGTAGTACCTTCAGGAAGCTAGTTACTCATATCTCCCAGGTTGATCTGGGTATTTATTATCATGTGCAGTCTTATCTGTTGTCTTGCATCCCTCACTACAAGTACGTTGTCTTAACCACTCTTAGCTCAAGCACCAGGGATAGATATCTGACACTGTGTGTCTCCCTAAGGTGAGGCTGGAGGGTGTTACTACTAGAGTTCCTGAGCCATTAATAGATTAAAAGCATTTATTGATTGATTGACTGTGGTAACAGCCCCTCCCTGTCTCTCAAAGTGATGGAAAGACACGTAAGAAAATGGACAGCATAGTGTGTGGTGTAGTAAATTTTGAGAAGAGCACAGAGGAATGGGAGAGTGTCTAAACTGGGTTTGAGCAAGAACCTAGAAATCTACCCTAGGGTTAGGACTTTAGGAATCCATAGGAATTGTGAAAGGGATGAATTGCTCAGTATGACAGGAAACCAGCATGGGAAGATCCCGGAGAAGCTTTATGCTTTGTAGGAACTGAGAAAACTGCCCTTCCCTGTATTGAGTCTTGCTGGGGGATGCTGCTGAGCACGGCACAGTGAGCACCGCATGCCATCTCGGGCCTGCTATGTACTACTTCCCTTGCCTCGGATTCCACCTTCCCACTGCTCAGAATTGTTAATGTTTTTCTTCCAGTTGAAGGAAAAATTAGCATTTTTGAAAAAGGAATACAGCAAGACACTTGCTCGTCTTAAGGTGAGTGAGTCAATACTTTCAAGGTGTTGCACAAACTATGTAAAAGATTTATTGTCTTGGTTTGGCTTTTGGTTTTGAAACAGGGTCTCAACTATGTAGTCCATTGTGAACTTAACCTCATAAACCTGGGGTCAGCAAGGTGGGTCAGAGGGTAAAGTTACCTGCTGCCAAGCTCATGAAAGGGCGCTCAATGCCCAGGACAAACATGGTGTAAGGAAAGTTGTCTTCTGACCTCCACTGAAGTGCTAAGGCACAAGGTTATTAGAGTGTATGTATACACACACACACACACACACACACACACACACACAATAAATAAAAATAGATAAACCCACAATCTTGCCATGGCTTTCTGGGTGCTAGGATTATAGGTATGTACCACCACACCTAATGGGAAGAAAGGTTCTTAACAGTAATAAATCTTTAAGGAAAATTGATTTTTGGGGGGCTGCTTTTGTTTTCTCTAGCGTGCCAAAAGAGCTGAGAAGGTTAAGAACTCTAAGAAAGCAATAGAAGATTGTGTGCCCCATCAGGAAACCTCCCCACAGCTAAGCTGCTCTGGTAAATTAGCCTGTTCACTTACACTTGTTTGTATTCGTTCCCCAGTTGGCTGATGTTATTTTTCACAGCTTACAGATAATAAGTAGTAGACTAAGAGAATACAAAATTCATGTTATACAATACCCTGTGTCTTAAGTTGGATTGTCTATTCATTTGCTTTTTTTCTCTAATTTTAGGAACTACAGTCAATGTTTTAGTATTGGAAAAAATTACTTTTAACTTTTAGTTATTTAATTTATTTTTAGTTATGATTTTTTATGTGACATCTTGCCACATAGCCATCCCTAGATGGCCTGGCACTTATTAATAACTTATTAATATTGTTTTCCATGCTGGTTTTTTACTCATAGTAGTCCTTGGATTGCCTGGGCCATCATGCCCAGTGCCACTCTTTGATTGTAAAAATAATGCTGCATGTGAATGGCTATGTGTATGTTTCTATGTGAGTCTGGTTTTGGTTCTCTTGGGACTCTACCTAGGAGTGGACTTAATTGAGTCTCATATATACATGCTTTCCCTCTCAGAACCCATAAAGGAAGGCTCTCTTTGTGACACGCTACAAATCAACCATCTTGATGTGGAAACTGGAGAAAACATCTCTGTGATACTTGATGTTGAACCTCAGCCCCTTAGCCATAAAAATGGCCCAGAAGAAGTACTATATACACAAAGAACAGGTGACATCCAAGAACAATTTCTGCATGTCATCAGCAGCCCTGATGGTAAGAAAGGCCAGAATACACTGCCAGAGAGAGCAAAGAAGCAGTGGAAGAAAACATCTGTTCCCCAGGAGAAAGAGTATTTCCTTGGTATTAACTCTCAAATATCCCCTGACAAGCAAGGAAAGACACAGGAAGCAATCAATAGCAAGAGTCCTAGGTTCCCAGTAACTGAAAAGACTTGCCTTTTAAATCTGAAGTCTAAAACTCTTGACCCTCCAACCCTAGATACAGAAGTTGATGGAGAATATTTATTAATTCCATCATCTGGCAAATCAGAAAGGGATATTGATATACCTTTAAGACAAAATAATGTCTCCATGGAGATTACAGTTCCTTCACATGCTGTGTCAGACAGCAGTCATAGTCAACACCTTGATCATACACCTCCTAACAATGACTACAGAATTCCTACTCAGGGCCCAGCTTCATCTATAAACCTGGAGGCACAAGGCAGGAAAATGACTATATGTACAGGTAACCCAGTGAGTGCCAATGATCAGCTGCCAGGAAGTCCTGTTTCAGAAGCAAGTAATTCATGTTCTATAAATGAACTCACTCACAATCACTTGCCAGCCAATACTCCCCAAAACTCTAAATCTTTAAACTCTCCTGGTGACATCGTTGCTGAAAGAAACAAGAATCTTCAAGCAGATGAGATCCTGGGCTCGTCTAAAAGCTTCAGCCCAGCTGCTATCTCTCCTCCACCCCCCACAGAAAGTCAAATACACTCTTGTACAGTGCTTGAAGGACTTCCATTTCCTGCGGAATACTATGTTAGAACTACCCGTCGAATGTCAGACTACCAGAGAAAAATAGCTCTGGAAGCTGTAATTCAAAGTCACTTGGGTGTCAAGAAGAAAGGGCTTAAAAATAAAAGGAAAGTGACTAAGAATGTAGTCATCTCCGTGGAAGAAACTGACCAAAGTGAAAATAGTGTGTTGGACACATGCACAGGACAGTCCAGTTCAGGAAGTCCCTCTCAGGAACTAATCTGGTCAGCTGAGGTCAGTTCTCCCACTGCACCCGCTGGAGCTGACAGCCAATCTAGGGAAGTCATTACACAGCCACCTGGTAGAGGACACAGAGGAAAACGAAAACCAGTTCGAGTCTCCACACTGGATCGTCATCTGCTTTTCCCTCCTTGCAGCACACTGGGGGTTAACATGTCTGAGGGAAAATTCACCCCACATAAGTGTCAGGACGAAAAAGTGATTATTCATGGTAAGAAGAAAGTTGAATATAAATCAGGTTGTGTGTGATGATGGTTGATGTGAGAGCTAATCATCACTGTGTACCTGGTACTTGAAAATGCTATGTGCACTATTAACTTACTGAATAATCATTGCCCTATACAGGATAGAACGAGACACGCGCACACACACATACACACACACAAGAGAGGGTTTCTCTAGTGTTGGAGCCTGTCCTGGAACTCACTCTTTAGACCAGGCTGGCCTCCAACTCACAGAGATCTGCCTGCCTCAGCCTCTAGAGTGCTGGGATTAAAGGCATATGTCACTACCACCTGGCAGAGGAACCTTTTTATCTCTACTTTTCAACTGAGGAAAGGCAGAGTGAGGGTACATTGACTTTAAATGATAGAGTTAAAATTGAAACCTGACAGTGTGCACCAGAGTTCAGTGGTATGTTTAAAAAACTCACACAGCAGATATTGGGTGCTTACACAAGCTAATACCTATTTAAAGTACAGCACAGTTTTTTCTAATACAGATGTTTTGAAGTAAAATGGTGTTTTGAAGTAAAATGGAATGTGTACTAGGTAAAACTACAGAAAAACTCCATCATGTAATGGAAAGCCTTGGAACTTTTATGAGTAACATAACTGGTCTGTAGAATATAAGATTTTTGGAGTAGTAAGCAAGAATATGACCAGCTTTTTATTTATTTTCTCAGAAGTTAATCATACCTGATAACAGAAAAACAGGATCACTGTGACTTTAAACTAGGGAGTGCTCAAATACCTGCAAATAAAATGGTGAATATTTTGCTTGTTATTTTCTCACCTATTCACTTGTGGTATAGCAGCAGCCATAGGCAATATGTAACATCATGTTCTCATAAAACTTTGTACATAAATAGGCATCCATTGAGCATAAATGTTTGCTTATGACCTGTAATTCATTCATTTAAAAATAGTAAATGTGGCTCTTTTCCTTATCTAAATCAACAAAATATAAAAATTTAAAAAAACAATAATCACAATTGAGGTCAAGTCAGGCAGTACTAGGCCATCCAGGGTTATATAGTGAGGCCCTGTCTCAAAAGAAAATGTATGCACTCGACAGGTTCTCAGTATTCTAGTCCAGACTGGCTTTCAACTCAAGATCCTTCTGCCTTAGCCTCCTGAGTGCTGGGTTACTCATTCTTGTGTGTGTGTGTGTGTGTGTGTGTGTGTGTGTGTAATTTGAAATAGTTTGTTGTGATTTTATTTTCCTTTATGTATATTAGTGTTTGGCCTGCCTGTATGCCTGAATACTTCATGCATGCAGTGCCAGTGGTGGTCAGAAGGTGTCAGATTCCCCTGAGATTGGAGTACAGATGGTTATGCTGGAGTGGATGCTGAAGTGCTCTTAACTGCGGAGCCATCTCTCCAGTCTCCTGCTGTGATTTTAGTAAACTGAGTTACATTTAAAAGCGTTTCCTGTTTCCATTATTGAGTTTATTCTTCATATGTGAATTTGGTATTACTAGGGATTTTTTGTTTTGTTTTGTTTTGTTTTAGATTTATTTTATGTATACAGTATTCTGCCTGCATGCCCAAAGAGGGCACTAGATCTCATTTTAGGTTGTTTTGAGCCATCATGTGGTTTCTGGGACTTGAACTCAGGACTTCTGGAAGAGCAGCCAGTGATCTTAACCTCTGAACCAACTCTCCAACCCCCTACTAGAGATGTTTTTAAGGCATCATTCATGACAAAGATAAAACAAACCTGCAACAAAACTCCTTTAGTAACAAAAAAACAGCTAAGAATTTGGTGCTGCTTTCTGGTTTTGGTTTGTTTATTTTCGGGGGGGGGTGTCTTTTTTGTTTGTTTTGCTTTGTTTTTTGTTTGTTTGTTTGTTTTTTTGGTTTTGTTGTTGTTCTTGTTGTTTTTAATTTGAGACAGGTTTTGTCTATGTAGCCCTTGACTATCTTGGCATTTGCTGTGTGGACTAGACTGCCCTGGAACTTAGCAAAATTCTTCAGTTCTGCCTCCTGACTGCTAATACTGAAGGGCCTGCCTACCTCTGCATCTATTGAGACTAAAGGCTTGTGTCACCCACACCCAGCACCACTGGTGCTGCTTTTTTAAGGGGTCAAAGAAGAGATGTGTGGTGTTTAAGTTGTATGTTTATCTGTTTGCATGTGTGGATCTGTTCTTTTGACTGTAGTGCTTGAAGGGGCCAGAAGAGGGCCTCAGATCCCCTGGAACTGGAATTCAGGCAATTGTGAGCTGCTTGGTCCATGTGCTTTCTGAGAACCAAACTCTGGTCTTCTGTAAGAGCAGTACCCATTCTCTGTTTTTTCTTTCTTTTGCTCCTTAGATTTATTTTCTTTTCAACCGTGTGTATATGTAATGTGTATATCTGTGAGTATGAATGCAAATGCCTACAAAGGCCAGAGATGTTGGAGCTGGAGTTACATGTGGTTGTGAGCCACCTGATGTGAGTGCTGGGAACCAAACTCAGGACCTTTAAAAGAGCAGTAAACATTCTTGATCTCCAAGCTATTGCTCCAGCCCCAAAGTTCATGTTCTGCACCATTCTCTCCAGTCCCAGAGACATGGTTTTAATAAAGATGGTGAGATAATAAACAATATCAGTCTTGGAGAATTAAAAACTTTTTCTAGAGCCAGATGTGGTAGCACATGCCTTTAATTCTAGCACTCAAGAGGCAGAGGCAGATGGATCCTTGAGTTTGAGGCCAGCCTGGTCTGCAGAGCAAGTTCCAGGACAGCCAGGGCTACACAGAGAAATTCTGACATGAAAAACAAAACAACAACAGCAACAAACCAAAAACCTTTTTCTAGCGGTGACATTCACATAGCATAAAGTTAACTGGTTTTTTTTTTTTTTTTTTTTTTTTAAGTGAGCCATCCAGTGACTTTTACTGATTTTTACTGATTTACTGGATTACACAGTTGCCATCTCTGGTTCAAAAACATTCCATTACTCCACAGAGAAGCCCCGGCCACTAAGCACCTGCTTTCTATTACTCTTTTCAGTCCATGTACAACTACCAGTCTACTGCATGATATCTGGAGGAAAGGTAGCATTCTAGGTACTTCAGAGAAGTGAAATTATGTGATGTATGACCTTTGCATTTTGCATCTGTTTGTTTTCACTTGGCATTATGTCCATGCTATAGCATGTAGCGCTTCACTCCTTTCTGGGCTAAGCAGCTTGTTGGTCAACCAGGCTAACTTAATCAGCATACTCCAGGCTCAGTGAAAGACCTTGTCCTAAAAAAATGAGGTAGAGAGCAAGTGCAGATACCACCTAACATTGACCTCTGGTCTCCACATGCATGTGACTATACACAGGTGAAAACATATGTGTACACTAAAATAGTAACGTTTACATTCTGGATAATACTTTCATTGTACCATAAGGATGAAACCTAAATTTTAAGGCAAGTTGTCTTTTCTCAATATCACAGACTTCCAGTTACCTGATGAAGACTTTGGGCCACTTAAGCTTAAAAAATTGAAGTCCTACTCAGAAAAACTGATTGAGTCTCCTGACTCACAAAACTGTGGAGAGAGGCTTCCCAGGGAAGGAAATCATGCCACTGTGGAGGAACTGCAAGTAGGTTCAGAAATGGAGGACTTGAAAGAGGAACTCACTGCTCCATCAGAAGAGGCACAACATCCAGGGCCAACCCTGAAAAGGCAGCCTGGGAGCAAGGGCCTTTCTTCATCTGTACTGCTTTTCACTCCTGTAGATTCGGCTGCACCTAGCCACAGTGGCAGATGTACTGCCTACCTGTGTTCACCTGCGTTCCCTGTCTTAGGCACGACTCCAGCTCTTGCCTCCCAAGCAAGCAGTGAGAATGCAGCCACTGCAGTTAGACAGACTTGTTCTACATCCCAGTCTTCTCACTTGGAAGACATAAGCAGACTTGCTAATAAACAGTGCAACAGTTCAGCCAGCTCACCAAAACTGGATACCAACCTGCATGAGTCAGGTAGGCAAGGACAACCTGCCTGTGACAGTGACTCTGGCCCCCAAGCAACACCTCTACCCATTGAGTCATTCACTTTCAGAGAAAATCAGCTCTGTGGAAATGCATGCCTCGAGTTACATGAATATTCCACTGAACAGGTACAATCGTTTCCTTTGTGAAGTTTTCTCTGAAAGGATGAAATGTCCTAGTGAATACAGACAGCTGGCTATCTCACCATTGGCCTCTCAATATTTGTATAGATGTTTTTGCTGTGTTTGATGGAAATGACTTCATTGTTAAAGGTTCTGTTCATTCTAGAAAAAAATTAAGGCTAACTAAATTATGTATTTCTTTAATAATTTTTTTATTTTTACTTTATGTTCATTGGTGTTCTGCCTGTGTGTTTATCTGTGTGAGGATGTGGGATCCTCTGGAGCTAGAGTCACAGACGGTTGTGAGCTGCCATGTAGATGCTGGGAATTAAACCCAGGTCCTCTTGTAGTGCAGCTAGTGCTCCTAACTGCTAATCCATCTCTCCAGCCCCCCAAATTACGTATTTTAAAAATATAAGGAGGGTCCTACTCTCTTTGTCATTAGTGAGGTAGTTTCACTTGCCTTTGTGTAGTCAGTAGTAACATCTGAGGGACCTTTGCAGGTGAGTGAGTGAAAAACACAAGTGTCACAGACAGTAAACTCATAGTGTGACTTGTCTCCACAGAATGAAATTGTAGACCTCCCTGCTTGTGACAGCTGGAACCCAGGCAGCCTACAGTTGGTGTCAAAGTTCAAGGTTAGAAGAATATCCTGTTATATGTGCCTTGTACATACATGTGAAACATCAAATGAGTTAATATGAAGGTTGGAAAGAATTCTGTCTCAGCAGTTTAATTACTTGTTTGTTTAATACTAAATGTATTGAGAAACAGATGCAGAAAAGCAGATTTTAATTCTTCATCACAGCATTTCCATGTAGTTATGTTTTAAGTTATCTTTCTGAAATTTATACACCAACTTATTGCCAGGAACAACTTAATTATTTCTATTGCCAAGAACAACTTACTATTTACAGGGTCTCATTATAGGCTGGCCTCAAAGTCAGAGATCTACTTGCCTCTGCCTCCTAAGTGCTCTGCTGGGATTAAAAGCATGTTCCACCACACCTGGTTTAATTTTTAAAAATGAACTTAAGTTTATTTAAATGAGCTGAGTAGTTTATTTAAATCAGATGTTTTGTCAGGAGGAAGGAGGGAAACAGGAGTCATTCATGCCTCTCTTGCTAAATAATAAAATATTTTTCAAGAGTCACTTAACTATTTATAAGAAAATGGGTTTGTGGCGGCACACAGTATCTCAGGAGACAAGTAGACCATGAGTTTTAGGACAGTGTAGGCTGCTTATCAGTTTCAAGGTCAGATTGGACTAAACAGTAAACTCAAGAAAAGGAAAATCTCAATTCTGAATTTTGATACATAGTGTTTAATTACCATATCCAAAAAAAAATGTCTCCAAACATTGCTGGGTGGGTGTTCTTGGAAATAGAGGTGGAGGTGTCAAGTCTTTCCCTGTTGGAAATCACTGATATAGAGGAAAAACTTCAGACTCATAGAAGTGCTGCTATCAGTTACTGGCAGGTTCCTTTTCTGTGGCAGGTACGTAGGAGTAGCACCTATGGTCTGTTTCAAAGCTGTTCTCGGGTCGATTTTATGTATTACGTATGTGTATACGTATGTACTGTTCTCATACATTATATCCCAACCTCAGTTTACCTTCCCTCCACTCCTCCCCAACTCCCCTCCCATTTCCCTTCTCTAAATGCTGTCCTCCTCCATTTCCCTTCAGAAAGGAACAGGCCTCCTAGGGATATCAACTGAACATGGCATACCAAATTACAATCAGACTAGGCACAGCCCCTCATATCAAGACTGGACAAGGCAACCAAGTAGGAGGAAAGGGTTCCAAGAGCAGGGGAGAAAGTCAGAGTCATCCCCACTCCTGCTGTTAGGAATCTGACAAAACACCAAGTTAACAACCATAACATATATGTAGAGGACCTACCTTAGACCCACACAGGGTCTAATTATCAATTTAGTCTTTGTGAGCCCTTAGTTGATTCTGTGGGCCGTGTTCTCGTAGCATCCTCAACTCAGGTCAATTTGAATACCTTAGATTCAAGTGGAATTTATCATTTTGTTCATATTTTCAAATTTATATGTTAAAGGTTACAGTTGTTTTGTTTTGGTTTTTGGAGACAGGATTTCTCTGTAGTCCTGGCTATCCTGGAACTTGCATGGTAGACAAGGCTGGCCTCAAACTTACAGAGATCTACTTGCCTCTACCTCTCAAACTCTAGGATTAGAGGTGTGTGCCACCATGTTCATCTCATTCTGTTTTTTTTAATTTAATTTATTTATTTATTTGAGGCAAGGTCTGAAGTATACAAGACCAGCCTTGTTTTCCCAGTTTAGCTGAGGATAGTCTTAAACTTCTGATCCTTCTTTCTATTTCTACCTTCCAAGTTGTGGGTGTGCTGCAATTACAGTATGTTCCATCATGCCCAGTTTGTGGAGGGCTGGGGATTGAACCCAGGGCTTTATATGCAATAGACAAGTACTTTGCCACATAAGCCATATCCTCAGTCCTTATTACCGAATTTCTGAAAGTAATTTACGCTTGAATCAGACTTTAAAAATTTGTCTTTTTTTGTCTTTTTTGTGCATGTTTGTTTTCAGAAGCAACTAGTTCTTGGTCATACTGATTTTGTTTTGTTTTAGAGGTAGAGTCTCAGTGTGTGGCTCAGGCTGGCCTTAAACTCAGGATCCTCTTGCCTCTTTTTCTGGTACTGGGATTATAGTCATGTACCACCACACTTGGTCCATTCATTGTTTTTACTTTGTTCTCATTATTTTGTTTGTGTTTTTATTAACATCTTGAGCTGTGTGTAATCTATTTTATTTTTTTCTGAAAAAGTCTGTTTTGGCCATGATTGTGGGTTTTGACACATAGTACTCTTGTCCTAATCAAAAATGGCATATTAAAGTGGGGTAGACCTGTGATCCCTGCACTTGAAAGACCAGCCTGAAGGATATAGTGTATGGTTTCAATTTAATTCTCTCTTCAACTCCTGAGTTGTTCACCAGGATGTTTAATTTCCAAACCACTAAGTTCTTATGGGCACTTTTGTGTGGTTAAATCAGAGTGTATTCCATTCTACGGTTACATTTTATTTAGTTCTAGAATTAAAACCTTTTTACATTTATCATGATGTAAATCTAATAGATGGTTTTGGATATTTTGTTTGTTTTGTGACATAAAATTTATAAAGCTCTTAAAACCTACATAAAACTTTTATTTTACTTAGCTGGTATTTCTTCTCATCTTTGTGACTTCACTTTTCGAACTTACTCTTTACATTAAGTGGAACTTTAACGTAATTTATCTTTCTGGGTCAGAATCCTTCCAGTTCCTGTTCTGTGGATGTGAGTGCCGTGTGGTGGGAAAGAGCTGGTGCTAAGGAGCCATGTATCATAACTGCTTGTGAAGATGTGGTTTCTCTTTGGAAGCCCCTGGATACTTTGCAGTGGGAAAAAGTTCATACCTGGCACTTCACAGAGGTATGTCCAATCCTTAGAACTAAAAGGTGCATTTACAATCCGATGGGCAGCTTAGCAGAGATCTGCGACTCATGTTTAAGCATTTATTATGAAACATCTCAGACTTAAAGTTTACATTGAGTCCTACATGCTCACCATCTTGACTCCAGCGTTAGCGTCTTACTGTTTGATCATGCTTTTATGCAAGTGGAGTTCTTCAGTGGCTCTGTTGGGAAGATTGCATTTGGATCTGTTCTACCATTCAAACTGCTGATAGCTGTGTTTCTTCCCCTTCACCAAAATGCAATTATCTTTGCTTATTTTCATACACATCTAATGTGGTTACAGTACTACTATGTTAGAAATAGTACTATTACTATCATTATTAATATTATTAGTTTTTATGAGTATGTGCATGCAAGTGTTTGGAAGTCAAAAGACAGTTTTCAGGAATCGTTCTCTCCTTCCAGTGCAAGTACCAGGAGTTGAACTCTGGTCACCAAGCTTGTACAGCAAGTATTTTTACCTGCTGAACCATCTTAAACCATCTTTGTTTAAGATTTTTAAATCCATATGAACATGTACTATACTCATTTCTACTTTTCTTTGGTGAGAGGGGAGTCTTGAGACAGTGTCTCATGTAGCCCAGATTGGCTTGGAGCACCCCATGTAGTGAAGCTTACCTTGGCCTCCTGCCCCTTCTGCCTCTACCTGTTAAGTACTGGTACACACACCATATGTCTGGCTTTTCTTTGTATTCTTTATATGTATTTGTACTTGTTCCTTGTTCTTCCTATGCTCACAGCTTTGAGCACTGGTCTTTGCACAGAGGTAACTGAATATCTCCTTTTTGCTTTGAGGATTACACCCAGGGCCTTATTCATGCTAAGCTCATGATCTGCCACTGAACCTCACCTCCAACCCCTAAATATGAATGGGTTTGTCTTCTTCCCTCCCTCTGTCCCTTCCTTCCTTCTTGCTTCCCTTCCCCCATCCTTCCTTCCCCCTCCTTCCCTTCCTGTATATTTAGGTGTGCAGGTGGTTGCACCTACGTATTCAGATTCAAGTATACGTGTTTGTGGGGACCCAAGGACAGCATCACATGCATGTCACATGTCAGTCCTTATACTGTCCATATTGCTTTTTGAAGAAGGATCTGTCATTGGCTTAGAACTCACTAATTAGGCTAATATGAATGGACAAATTGAGTTCAGGTCAGTCAGGGCTACATAGTGAGATCCTGTCTCAAAAAGACAAAAACACACCAAAGAGGAGTTATGAGGGGCAAGAAGATTTTTCTGAACCTTCACATCTGTTTAGATGCTGAAAATTAAACCTGTTACATGAGAATTAAAGAGAATATGATTAGCTGGCTCAGGCCTGTATTCTCAGTTACTCAGAAGGCCAAGGCAGAAGGATCATAAGATCAGGGTGAACCTACTTAATAAGACTCTGTCTTAAAAAGTAAAAAGTCTAGGAATACGGCTTGGTTATAAAGTGTTTGCCTAGCATGAGCAAGACCCTGTGCTCAGTTGTAATAACATAAAGAAAAGAATATGATAAATTTTTATAAAATACTCATGAAACTATAAATGACTAAGTATAATTTTGCTTTATGTAGGTTCCAGTATTACAAATAGTTCCAGTGCATGATGTTTACAATCTTATATGTGTGGCTTTGGGAAATTTGGAAATCAGAGAAATCAGGTATGCAATTTCTCAAGACCCCACACATGATCTCTTGCTCTAACACCATGCCATCTTTATCTTTGTCCTTTTCAGATTATTTTGAGTACACACTGTAACCTACACTTAAGTTTTAAAAGCAGGGTGTTGTAAGAAGTATGGTTTTTCCGCCCTCCGCCTGGTCTAGTCCCGCCGCTGTGCTAGCCCCAGTTAACACACGGAGACTCTGTATTAGATACAATTCTGTTGGCCAGTTACTTGTTTCTTATCGGCTAGCTCTGTCTTAATTATTAACCCATTTCTATGTATTTCCACGTGGTCTTACCGAGAGCGGAGGAATGGCGGTTCTGTTCTCTCCATGCTGACTCCTCCTTACTCCTTCCTCTTTCCTCCTTGTCTCCTAGTCCCTCCTATCTTCCTTTCCTATTGGCCAACAGTGCTTTATTCATTAACCAGTATGAGAAACATATATACATAATGGCATCTCCCATCATCTCTTTTCTGTCTAAATAAAAGGAAGGGTTTTAACCTTAACATAGTAAAATATATCACACAACACTTATCAAGTAAGAATCACAGTTAACAATATTTAGTTCATTAACATTTAGTAAGATTTAAGAAAATATTTCATCTTTTTTATTTTTGTGTGTTTAAAGTCTAAGTAACTTATCTTTAATCCTAACTAAGGAAAACTATAACCATAACTATCTGTCTTTAATTCCATCAAAGAATCTGATTTTTTAAGTTGGAGAGATAGCTCAGTGTTGAAGGCCACTTGGCTGCTCTTGCAGAAAATCCAGGGTTCTCATCGCCTATATTAAGTGGCTCACACACCCTCTTCTGGACTCTCCAGGCATCTACACACATGTGTTGCATGTACATATACTCAGGCACATAACCATAAAATAAACCTTTGTTTTTGTTTTGTTTTTCTAGGGGGGAGTGTTTTGTTTCTTGAGATAGGGTTTCTCTTTGTAGCCCTAGCCATCCTAGATCAGGCTGGCCTTGACCTCAGAGATCCGCCTGCCTCTGCCTCCCAAGTGGTAGGATTAAAGGTGTGTGCCACCACACCCAGCTAAATCTTTTGGGGGTTTTTGTTTGTTTGTTTGTTTGTTTGTTTGTTTTAATTTAGGGGCAGTCATGATGGCACACTATAATCTTGGCACTTAGGAAGCTGAAGGAGAGCTTAAGGTCATCTTCATCCTTAGCTACATAGGAAGTTCAAGGCCTACATGAGATCCTCACTCAAAACAAATGGGTTGGAGAGATGGCTCAGTGGGTAATAGTGCTTACTACTTTGAGAAGACTGGGGTTTGATTCCCACACCCATGTGGAGGTTCACAACTACCTACTACCCTTTTCTGGCTTCTGTGGGCTCCAGTATGTGCATTGTGCACATAAAGCTCATGCAGGCATGCACACATACACATAAAAACTAAAAAAAAAAGAAAAAAAAATAGAATCTCAGGGTGATGGAAAAATGGCTTAGCAGTTAAGAGTTCACACCACTCTCACAAGAGGAGTAAAGTTCAGTTTTCAGTACCCTTAGTAGCTTAACAACTACATGTAACTCCAGCTTGAGGGTATCTCACACCCTTCTTCTGGTCTCTGTGAACACTGCACTCAGGTGCTCATACCCACACACAGGTACACCAATATATGTAATTGAAAATAAAAATAACTTTTTTTTTTTTAATCTTAAAAGAGATCCAAGTGGGACTGGAGGGGCTGTTCTTCTAGAGGACCTGGGTTCAATTCCTACCACCCACATGGCAGCTCACCGATATCTGTAATTCCAGTTCTAGGGGATCAGTCACCCTCACATAGACATGAAGGCAGGCAAAAACACTAATGCATATAAAATAAAAATAAATAAATCATTTAAAAAGAGAGTGTGCATGGGAGGAAGAGAAAGGGAAAGAGAGATCCAGGCATGGCAACACACTACACTCCTATTTGGGAAGCTGAGGGAGGATTTTGAGTTTTAAGTCAGCCTGAACTACAGGGATCAGTGTTTCACATATTTTGAAAGGGGAAATCTAAATTTATTTCTAAAAGGAGATGTGTTTTTTTTTTTTTTTTTTTTTTTTAATCTGGCTGAGCATAGTAGCACAAACTTTTACCCTTAGCATTTAGGAGACAGAGGCAGGCAAATACCTGAGTTTGAGGCCAGCCTGATCTACCCTGTAAGTTCAAAGCCTTTTGGGGCTACATAGTGAGTCTTGTCTTAAAAAATTCTAGCAGCAAAAAAAAATAGCGGAGTGGTGGTGGCAAATGCCTTTAAATCCTAGCACTCAGGAGTTCGAGACTAGCCTGGTCTACACATTGAGTTCCAGGACAGATTCCAAAGCTACACAGAAAAACCCTGTCTCAAAAAACCAAAACAACAACAACAACAACAAAATTCTATTGGCTGGAGAGATGGCTTAGCAGTTCAGAATACAACACCCACATAACAAGCCAGCTGCCCTTCAGGCACCTGTAGATCCAGCTCTGAGAGGTCCTAATTCCTTTTCTGGCATTCAGGCACCAGGACACACATCCACATGTATGGACACACACACAATAAAAAATCCTTAAAAAATAAGGCATGTGTGGACTGACATCTTTGGCTAACACACAAAATAAAATCCTTAAAAAGTAAAACCATGAGCTGGGTGATAGTGGTGCGCACCTTTAATCCCAGTACTAGGGAGGCAGAAGCAGGCAGATCTCTGAGTTCGAGGCCAGCCTGATCTACAAAGCTACATAGACAAACCCTGTCTCAAAAAAACAAAAGTAAATAAATAAAGATAAATCATGTGTAGACTGATATCTTTGACTGAAGTTGCTACTTAAAATTTGTACTCAGTCCCTTATTGCTCACGGATTACTGGCTTGTCCCCATTTGCCTTTGTGTTTGGTTTAGGGCGTTGCTGTGCTCCTCTGGTGATGAAAATGAAAAGCAAGTACTACTGAAATCTGGAAATATAAAAGCTGTGCTTGGTCTGACCAAGAGAAGACTAGTGAGTAGCATTGGAACCTTTTGCAGTCAACAAGTACAAGTCTTGACATTTGCTGAAGATGGAGGGTGAGTAAAGCATTGGTTGGTCTTCACTGTTCTGTAAAGGGGCATTTTATCCCAGGCATCAGGTAATGTGTATGGCTAGGACCCTGATTTTTATGGTATAGGTGGAGTAGTGTCTTAGTGGGGGTTTCTATTGCTGTGAAGAGACACCATGGCCACAGCAGCTCTTATAAAGAAAACATTTAATTGGGGTGGCTTACAGTTCAGTCTGTTGTCATCATGATGGGGAGTATGGCAGCATGCAAGCAGACACAGTGCTGGAGTAGTAGCTGAGAGTGCTACATCTTGCCTGCAACAGGAAGTTGACTGAGGCACTGGGTGGTATCCTGAGCACTTCTTCCCAAAAAGGCCATACCCACTCCAACAAAGCCACACTTCTTAATAGTGCCACTTCCTATGAGCTTATGGGGGTTCATTACATTCAAACTACTACAAGTAGCAAACATGGTCTTAATGTTACATTGCAACCAACAAGCAGACTGAAAAGGTGGAAGCCAGGGAAGCCAATGGAGTGGAGAGGTTCAGTAAATGTAGTTTGCTCTTTGGCTTTCTTTGAAATTTGTGTGTGTCCCTTAAGTATTAGGAGTGCCTTGTTCCACATATTCTTTTATGTTCACTGGTCACTGACCATCTAGATGCAAGGTCTAAGCTACTCATTCTCTAGACCTGCATGCTTGTTTAATAGCCATCTCTTAGGTACTTCAAGTTCAGCACATGAAAACCTGAATGACAAACATTTTCTCTTTTTATCATATCATATCATGTACTTTTTCCCCCTACTTTGTTTTACTTTTAGTCCTGGGGATTGAACCCTGGACAATAATAAGCATAATCTATTGCTGAGCTACACTCTCAGCCTGTTGTAATTATTGTTTTTTGTCATTCCTAATAACTGAGGGCAGGCTTATTATTTGTCATAGTTACACCTGAACTAACATGGTAATCCGGGCAAGAGACAAGTGAGTCCTTAAATTATAAGAGTGAACCACCTGTGGTGGTTCACACTTATAATTCCAGCAGCTTGGAGAATTGATGTGAGTTGGGTCAACCTGGGCTATATAGTGAGTACTGTCCAGTCATCTGGACAGAAAATGACCCTGACTCAAATCAAACAATCACCAGGAAAGTGTTGATGGACAAAGAAAGATGACAGATGTGTGAGAAGTGAACCTATAGAGTCACTAAACCTACTAATTGAGTGTCTCGAGAGGAAGGGCACAATAATGTCAGTTTTCAGGGATGGTCACCTGCATAAATTGTTACTACAGTCATTGAGGTAGGAATGGGAAACAATAGATTTAAACAGAGTATTTATGAGTTTAACATTGGCTAGAGTAAATTTTAGGTGGTTGTAATGTGTCCAGGAAGATGAGATAAGAAAATGTCCATTGTAGAAGATATAGAACACATGTCTTCTGGTTACAACTTTTTTCTGCTATTCATTTTAATATTTTATTGTACATAGTCCAGTAATGTATAGAAAGACTACTTAGAAACTGTTCTAACTTAAAAAGTGATTTTCGGTATTGTTTTATATCCAGTAGCAAAGATGAACAGCTTTTGATGCCCCCTGATGAGACTATATTGACTTTTGCTGAAGTCCAGGGGATGCAGGATGCTCTGCTTGGTACCACCACTGTGAACAACATTGTGATCTGGTAAGCTTTCGCTCTAGGTCCTCATCTATATACAAATATGCTTCTGTTCATGTAGAGTTGTGAAGGTTAGATATGCTGGGCATGGACAGGCTATGATGCTACACACCTGTAATCCCAGAACACAGGAGACTGAGGGGAGAAGGCTGATTTGATCTCAGCTGCATACGTGGAAAAATCCTGCCTCAGAAAAAGAGAGACTGCAAACATGATGGAAGTTTTCTCTTTTTCCACTCTTAAGTTTTGTCCTTGTCTCCCCAAGAAAATGAACCCAGATATGTGAATTTTTTTTTTTTTTTTTGGTTTTTCGAAACAGGGTTTCTCTGTATTGCTTTCAGGCTGGCCTCAAACTCACAGAGATATGCCTGTTTCTGCCTCCCAAGTGCTGGGATTAAAGGCGTGGGACACCACCTCCCAACTCGAAAAGAAAAAAGAACAATCTTAAGGAAACTATTTTTAAGATGCAGGGTTGTTGAAATGGAAGCATGGCTCAGCAATTAAGCTCACTGTCTCCTACTGTAGAGGATTTGGGTCAATTCTTACTTGCCCATGGTGGCTCACAGCTGTCTGTAACTCCAGTTCCAAGGGGTCTGATGTCCTCCTCTGTCCTCCATGGGCACCAGTCACATACATGGTTCACAGACATATATCCTACACAATCAAAAACACAATTTTTTTAAGTGTTATTTGTCTGATACGTGCAAGGCCTTGGGTTCAATGCTTAGTACCACAAGATAGATAAGAAGCCAGCCAGTGAAATTAAATGAAGGGAACTTTTTGGTGAAAATGTAGAGCTGCAGACTATGTGTAGCTTTGTGATAAAATGTTGACCAACGGATAGAGTTCAAGGTAACCAGGAAGTAGCAAGTAGGAAGAAATGTCTCAAGAAGAAAATTGACAAAGAAGGAATGCTAGGGATAGATCTTCATTCACTTAATAAAGTGCTTCCCTCACAAGCAGGATAGCCTGAATTTGATTCCCACAACTTACGTTTGAAAAACTGAGGCATAAACTGGGCAGCAGTGGCATGTGGCTTTAACTCTAGTACTTGGGAGGTAAAGGCAGGCAGATCTCTGTGAGTTTGAGGCCAGCTCCATCTACCCATCTACATAGAGAGTTCCACATTAGTTAGGTGGTGAAATGACTTAGCGTATTGAATTCTTTCCAAACAATCCTAAAACCTGAGTTTGACCCCTGTAATCCAAGAACTGACTCCTCACAATTGTTCTCTAACCCTCCCATGTGCAGAGTAGCATGTGCATACTATCCACATGTGTATACCACACATACATACACACATGTGCATACACAGAATAAAAAAATTATAAGGAGGAAGAAAGAAACCCAAGCTTTTCCTCTGTCCTTTGTGCACACTCACATGAAAAAGGAACCTTGAGTTCTGAGTAAGATTACCTAATTATCTGGCATACTTATTTTTGGTTTTGAAATGTGGTCTCACCATGTCCCCAGGCCATGCACACACTCAACTGCTTTCTTACCTGAGTGCCTGAGCAGTGGGATACAAATGTATGAACCATTGCTGGCTCTAGCTATCCCTTTTAACTACTTTTTACAAGGTAAACTGTAAGCAGCTTCATTAAGACTTAAAAGACTTGAAATAGAAGTTCTGCATTTGGAATTTGAATTTGTCCACGTTAACTGTTTACTAGAACAAATAAATAAAATTGCTATTCTTCAGAAGAACCTAAAAGAATCCAGAGTTTTGAATGTATCTGAGATAGTCTGAAAAGTATTAAGTATAAGAAGTACATTATCATTTCCTACCATGTCTGTGTTCCCCCATTAGTAGATAGTACAGAGATATTTGGCTGTTCTTTGGTTTTTGAGACAGGGTCTCAGTGCAGACCAGGCTGGCCACTAACACACATTCCTCAGACTCCCAAGTGTAAAAAATTATGGATGCACGTCACCGGGCTGTGTTCTTAATACCTACCTTAGCTCCGTAAGGAAAGGACTCAAAAGATAATGGTTGTACCATTAACAAGAATCTATCATTAACCTTTAGTTATTCATTTGTTGTTTGCTTGTTTACTGTCAAGACTGCCTGGCTATTTGGCCTGGGTTGACCTGGAACTCACTATGTAATCCATCTAGTCTCAAATGTATGATTATCCTATAGTCTTCCAGATTCCATGATTACTTACACATGTATGCTGCCACATTCAGCTAATGGTTTTTATGATATTTGTTTATCTGTCCTATTTAATTTCTGGTTTGTTCTATTTGTGAAGTGATTCATATTTAGTGTTTGGTTAGTTTGTGTATGAGGTTTGGTTAGAGGGCCACTTTTCAGGAGTTGTTCTTGAGGTAGGGTCTCTGTTTCTGTTCCCGTGCTTATATTCCAGCCTAGCTTGCCTTTGAGTTTCTTGCTCAGTCTCCCCTCTTTCCCTCCCATCTCTTATAGGAGTAATGGATTGCAGATGCTTGCCATTGTAGCTGGTTTTGGAGGGGCTTCTGGGCATTGAACTCAGATCACCAGGCTTGACTAGCAAGCACTTTTACCTGCCGAGCCATCTCTCTGGCCCTCAGATGGCTGTTTTTTTCCTAACTATTGCTTTAGGTCTAAATATTTCATCTTGATTAAGCTGTATTTGCTGAGTACTATCTTTTAAGCATTGAAGAGACAGTTATGTACAGTTCTCTTTGAAGGTGCAAAGATGAGTCAAATATGAATCCTGTCCCAAGGTTCCTAAAACGTAATAGGTAAATAAGATTTTACAGTTTGAAGTATATCACTTCAGTATGTTCCTTTATAGTTCAAAGAAGTTTGAAATAATACAGGTTTAGATAAAATACTTTGGGATATGGGGGAATGCATTTAGTAAGTACAGGGCACACACTAACTTCTGTAGCTTATAAACATGTCCTGGTATCTTGGATAGGAGCAATCTTAGTGTTTTCATATGCAGTTGCTGCCCAAAGAAAGGTCTGCCTTAGTTATTGTAGCATATAAAATGAGATGTGGACAGTTATGTAGGTAGTGAAAAGAGAAGGGTGGCTGTGAACTAGTATAGATAGAAAGGAGAGTTTAAGTTGAGTTCCTGAAGACTGGAAGAGTGGGATATGATCTAGGACTTAAGGAATAGATGAGAGTTGTCCAGCAGTGGGGAGGATATTGAAGAGATAACCTGAGGAAAGGTATAGAGCCAGGGGAATACACAGTGTGTTCAGGAGGGAACAGTTGGCAGTAATGTAAGGCAGCCCTTGATCGGTAAGGTTATAAATGTCACAAAAGTAATCTTGTAGCTAATGAGAGGCAGAGGGAAAGTTTTTCCATCAATACAGTGATGATGGAACAGTTACCAGCATCACAGATCCTCTACACAGATGAGGAGCAGTTCCAACAAATGCTTTTGTTTCCTTCCTTATATTTACCCTTTCTTTTCCTGTGTTTTATCCTACCTCAGTCTTCTTGCCCATGCCATTATTTTGGACTAGCTCTGATATGAATAAATAAAATACAAATAGCAATAAATCTTTTTTGTTTGTTTGTTTGTTTTTAGGGAGATCTGGTAAAGTTGTATTAAAGGAAAGCTTTCCTGGTTTACCAGTCTGTTCTGGTATGCTTCTGATAACATCAGAATCACCTGGGCCAATGACAGACAGTGTGCATATTCTATAGTATTTTCCATATGCTGTGCCCCATCCAATGTTATTACCACTGTAGTAGTGATGGACAACAGTTTTTAGTCAACATGGCATAGTATTATATTTCAAATTTCCTCAAAGCCAGGCAGTTGTTGGTGAGGATAGCCAATTTCATTGTGCCCTGTCTGCTCATCTTCAGAGTCTGTCTGTATCCTAGCACATATTTTCCACTTTTCATAACAAGTTGTAGCCTAAAGTTGATCAACTCCTGAGACTTTTTGTCTTCTTTTCAGCCACCATCTTCTTGTGTTAGGTGCATGACAGCCCCCAACCAGGACCAACTGTCAAGATCGCAGGGGAGTAAGATAAAGCACTATAAATCTTTTTTTTTTTTAAGTAATTTTTAAAAAAGATTTATTTACTATGTTTACAACATACAACTCTCTGAAGAGAGTACCAGATCTCATTATATATGTTTGTGAGCCACCATATGATTGCTGGGAATTGAACTCAGAACCTCTGGAAGAGCAGCCAGTGATCTTAACCTCTGAGCTATCTCTCTAGTTCTGTAAATCTTTTTTTTAAGTGTAATGTGGTAATGTAGTCATTCTCAGTGGGAAACATACCCATAACAAGAGTGAGCACAAACTGGAGTACCACTTGTCAGGGAGCTCACAGCTACCTATAACTTCATTTCCAAGGGATCCAATGCCCTCTTCTGACTTCTTCTGGCCTCTGCTGTCACAAGCATACAGTGTGTGTGTATAAAAAGATTTGGGGGGGGGGGACAATCATTTTTTATTTTATTTGGTTTTTTTTTTTTTTTTTTTTTTTTTTGACACAGGGCTTCTCTGTTTAGCATTGGCATTCCTGAGACTCGATATGTAGACTGAGCTGACCTCAAACTCACAAAGATCTGTTTGCCTCTGTCCTCTCAAGTGCTGGAATTAAAGGTGTGTGCCACCATCATGGCAGGTAGGGGGAATGACTCATAATGGTAAGTGGTGTAACTTGAAGCTAGCCTACTTCCAAGCACAGGGAGATGGAGAAGATGTTGAGTAGATTGTAGAGAGATTATCCACAGTGATGTAGCAGAGTTCACCCAAGGCTAAACTGTCAAGTTCAATTTTTGGCAAAGTTAACTTGTCATTACACTTTTAATAAGTGTATAAAGTGCTGGGCATGGTGGTGAATATCCTTAGTCCCAACATTTAGGAGGTAGAGGCAGACAGATCTCTGAATCTGAGGCCAGCTTGGACAACATAAAAAATTCTAGACTAGCCAGGGCAAATTGTGAGATCTTCTCTCAAAAAAACAAAAAATAGTGTATCAAGTGTGGCTTTACAAAAGTAGAGGGCTCTATCCCTTGATTTCCTTTTGCCACTTCCCAAAATAGTCTGTAACAAATAAAGAGCATTATGTGTGAGTCAGGCATGGTGGTGCAGGCTTGCTATACCAGCATTGAGAGGCTGAGACTAGAAGAGCCAAGTTTGAGGCTAGCCTAGGTAGGCTACAAGTAGTACCCTATCTTCAAACAATGGAAAAAAGTATACTATGTGAAAATCATTTTACTGAAAGAATGTAATCACCCCATTTATTTTGATGTCTTAAGGAATTTAAGAACTGGCCAACTCCTGAAAAAGGTGCACATTGATGACTCTTACCAAGCTTCGATCTGTCACAGAGCCTATTCTGAGATGGTGAGTAGTGACCTAGGGCTACTTGGTGTTTATCTGTGTTATCTAGTGAGAGAAGTAACAGTAGCAGTCATCAAATTGGATGGCAGTGTGCTGTGCTTTGCTTTATTTTGAGACAGGGTCTCATGTGTCCTAGACTGGCCTGAAAGTCCCCATGTATTGAGTAAAATGGCCTGGAACTTATGAGCCTCTCCAGTGATGGGATTGCTGGCACATGATAGGTACTCTATTGACTGAGCTACAGTCCTAGCCTATTTGTTCTTTTTTAAGTTTACAAATGAAAATAAATGTTAGTACAATGTGATTGCTTATTTCATTTTCTACCTGTATGATTTAAAGATTCACATTCTAAGCTATGAATTTTGTTCATATTTTTAGAATGCCTAACTACTTAAAAAGGAAAGGGAGGGGGTAAAAATCATGACAGAACCCTGATTGATTTAGAATTCATTATGTAGACCAGTCTTCACAAAAATCTTGATCTTAGCTTTTATAATCTGTTAAGAAGGTTGAATTGGAAGGTTGGAGGGATGGCTCAGTGGTTAAGAGTACTGGCTGTTCTTCCAGAAGAGCGGGGTTCAATTCCCAGCACCCACATGGCAGTTTAAACTGTCTGTAACTCCAGTTCCAGAGGATACAGCACCCTCACCATAGACGTACATGCAGGCAAAACACCAGTCAGTGCTCATAAAGTAAATAACAATAATAATACATTTTTTAAAAGGTTGAATTTATTTCTACAATTTACCTGTTTTTCATTTAAAGTAACTGTTATATTTGGAATATACTGATTATTCCTAGTCGATGTCCTTTAAATCAGGGGAAGGTCTTAAATGAGTTATTTCCAATTTGAGTGCTCCTATGTCTCTGTGACCTCCTTCCCTGTACCAGCCTTTTTCTGATGTAGCTAAAGTATAGGAAACTGATGAGTCAGCTGGATTCAGGATGGCAGGACTGGCCGAGGATCCAGAAGTTCAGTGTGGAGATCCTCTCAGCAGTTGCTGAACGAAGGGAAGCCAGTGGTTATGTCCTGCTTATCGAAGAGTCTGTTGGTCATTCCTTTTGCTTTGGTTTTGTCACCACTGCCAAACATACTCTTGATAATCTGAGTGTTTATTTCTCCCTCATCAGGGGCTCCTATTTGTTGTTCTGAGTCATCCTTGTGCCAAAGAGAGCCAGGCCTTTGGAAGCCCCATGTTTCAGCTTCTGGTGATTAACCCTAAGACAGCTCAGAGTCTGGGTGTTCTGCTGTGCTGTCTTCCTGAAGGGCAAGCTGGAAGGTAAATGTTTGACTGCTGTTCAAGGGTGAGGTATTTTGGAAGACACTCGGCAGATATAAAGCTGGGTACTTTTGTGTTACTAGAATGAGTAGAACATATGAGATGCTAAATGCTGTTGGGCTAGAAATGTTGTTCAGTGTGTGACCTCTGACTTGCCTGGTGTGCCTGATACCCTGGGTTCAAGACCTCTACCACTGAGCTGGGGAGGTGGCTCACTGGCTACAAGCTTGGTTACCTGAGTTTGATCCCAGGAATTCATGGTGGAAGTAAAGAACCAACTCCTAAAATTTGTTCTCTGATCTCTACATGGCCTTTGTGCCCTGTATATGTGTAGCTGTATTCATAGGCACACATCATATATAGTAATAAATATAATTTCTAATATGTAAATATAATACAATAATACAAATATGCAATAAAATAAGTAAATACAATGGTGCATGCCTTTAATCCTATTGTGAATCAGAAACAGGAGGATCTCTGTGAGCCCAAGACCAGCCTTGGCTATGTAGCAAGTTCCAGGATTACAAGGAGAGACCCTGACTCAAAAATAAATAAATAAATAAATAAATAAATAAATAAATAAATAAATAAATAAATATTTTTGAAAGTCCTCATTACTAGATGATGTTTACGAGGATGTTTACTGGAGTTGAGTCAAATTTTAGACTCCCTGTTCTTCAGTATGGGTTAAATAGGTTTTTCCTCTTTGTGTTTTATTTATTTATGTGTATGAATATTTCTACTGCATATATGTCTGTATAGGACTTGCATGCCTGGTGCCCCTGGAAGACAGAAGAGAACATAAGATCTCCTAGAACTAGAGTTACATCTGTGAGCTGCCTTGTAGGTTTTGGGGGACCTAGGTCCTCTGGGAAAGCATCTCTGCTCTTAACTGTTGAGCTATCTCTCCAGGCCCTCTTTTTTCTGTTCTTTTTTATTCTTTCTTTTTGTTGTTATTTTTATTTTATTTTTTCTTTTAAGACAGGGTTTCTGGCTGTCCTGGAACTCATAAACCAGACTGGCCCTGAATTTAGAGATCAGCCTACTTCTCTTGAATGCTGATTAAAGGCATGTACCACCAACCACCCAGCCTAAGTCTGCATTTCATGCTTGCTAGGCAAGAACTCAACCACTGAGCCACATCCTCAGCCCTAGATTTGTTTCTTTGTTTTTAAAACATATAGCGGCTGGGCTGTGGTGGTACACACCTTTAATCCCAACACTCAGGCAGCAGAGGCAGATGGATCTTTGAGTTTAAGGCCAGCCTAGTCAACAGAGTAAGTTCTAGGACAGCCAGGGCTACTCAGAGAAACCCTGTGTTGAAAAAAGTCAAAACCAAAAAAAAAAAAAAAAAAAAAAAAAAAAAATTCAAGTTAGACCCTGTTTTTTTCCTAAAAAAAAAAAAAAAAAAAAAAAATGTTTTAAGGAAGCTAGAGAGATGGTTCAGTAATTGCTCTTTTCAGAGGATCGGAGATCAGTTTCCAGCACCAACACCAGGTGACTTATGACTGCCTGTAGCTCCAGCTGTAGGGGATCCAACACCTATGGCCTTGTCAGCCACCTGCACTCCTATAAACAGACCTCACATACAGAGGTCATTAAAAACAATCAAAATAGTTTAAGAAAATTTTATATATATATATCCCCCCCCCACCAGGTTTCTCTGTGTAACAGCTCTGGCTGTCCTCACAGAGATCCTCCTGCCTCTGCCTCCCAAAAGAAAATATTTTAAGACAGGTAGTGGGTGTACACCTTTATCCCCAGTACCTGGGAGGCAAAGGCAGGCTGATCTCTGAGTTCTAAGCCAGCCTATTTACAGAATGAGCATAGGACAGCCAGGGCTACACAAAGCAGCCTGTCTGGGGGTGATGTTCTTATAACTCAGCATAGTTGAGGCCCTTGACTCAGTGTCTGTTGCCACAAATAAGAACAAGGCTGACCTTTACTTAACTAGTAGCTCATTTGTCTAGCAGGCACAAGGACCTGGGTTTGGTAGCCCAGCACCACAAAGTTTTTTACCACAAAGTTATTTCTCACCTGTAATCCAGAGGCAGAAGGATTTAGGCCAATCTTAGTTACATAGCAAAGTCTTGATTGGAAAAGACCAAAAAAAAAAAAGAGAACGTTTCGTAAACTAGGTCTGGAGAGATGGAAGATGGAAGCTGCTGTTGGCTGGAACTCCTGGCCCCAGAGATGTTATTGGTACTTTTCCTGTTTCAATTACACATACCTGTGTGTTTGGAGGAGTTAAACCTGAAAATCCTGTTATTTTCCTCTGTGCCCATTCCTTCCCCTCAATAAACGGCATCCTGCATTCCGACTTTGCCATTGAACAAAAGAAAAAAAATAGTTATAGGTATGTACTACTGTTGCCGAAGTTCCATGTCAGGCAGCTTGTATGACAGGTCCAAAAGATGTTTCTGGCCTCTGTAGACACCAGCAGTTACATGCATATACGTACATATAGCTACATACACATAATTAAAAATAAATAAATTTTTAAAAAAGACCTAACTAAAGACCGTTTAAATGAACTTTAGGTAGTACTTTTCAATATGAAGTCTGACCTAGCCTTTACTGTTCAGGCATCTATTTACCTGTTGGTAAGTGTTTATTATACAAAAGCATAAGAGTTTTCTAACTATATAAGGACTTGACATTGTTCATTGCCCATTTAGGGCAGAAGGTCTTGGATACCCTAGGACTGGACTTAAAGATAGTCGTGAGGTACCATGTGGGTCCTGGAAGTCAAACTCAGATCCTCTGGAAAAGCAGATAATACTTTTAATCCTTGTGCCTGAAAGGAGCAGGTAAAAGCACCTTAGCCTAAACAGTCTGCTATGCCCCTTAGTTCTCTACGATATTATGGCCGTTCCTAACAACAGAAAGAACAGATGAATCTGATTGGTTGAACATTCTGTGCAGGTTGACAATGATGGGACACAGGAAAAGCACCTGATCCCTGGATCCTGATTGGTGAAAAATGTAACTGGGACTTAGAACAATTGTATTTATGGTTTTGTGCTTATAAACCTGTTTCAGCCCCTGTTCCAGGCTGCCAGGAGAAATAAGACTCCTGAGTCCTTGTCCAGGCTGCCAGGAGAAATAAGACTCCTGAGTCCTTGTCCTGCAGCCCTGATCAATCAATGACCAGCTTATGTGGTGATTTATTAAAGACTTTGGAACCCATAACTGTTGTCTCTCTCCTTCCTCTTGGCTCACAACAGACTGGGTATAACAAGCCATCTCTCCATTTCCCTAAGTTTGGGGGTTTTTGTTTGTTTTATATTTTTTTTTTTTTTAATGTGTGGGCCTGCATTTATGTCTCTGCACATGGTATATACAATGCCCAAGAGGCCAGAAGATGTAGGGTTCCCTGGAACTGGAGTTAGAATGGTTATGAGCTGGGAATCAAACCATATTCTTCTGGAAAAGCAGCCCAACCAGTTCTTTTAACTGCGGAGTCAGCTCTCCAGCCTCCAAAGCTTATGACTTTTTGTTTGTTTGTTTTCGGGACAGTGTTTCTCTGTGTAGCCCTAGCTGTCCTCGAACTTGCTCTGCAGACCAGCCTGGCCTTGAACTCACCTCCTAGCTTCCCCGAAAGCTTTTTAATCAAACTATTTTATTCATCCTCACAACAATGCTATGATGAAGTAAATGTCTCACCATCCCCATCTGTTGATGATGTTAATTTGCTCAGGGTCACACAACACTTATTTTCTTTAGAATTTAAGCTTAGGAACAGAATACAGAGCCCCCTTTTGTTTATTTGTTTGTATTTCTTTAGTGAGTATGACTATGGAGAACAGAGAACAACTTGTGGGAATCAGTTCTCTCCTTTTACCATGTGGATTTCAGGGATTATTAAACACACATAAACAAACACATAATAAGTAAATATAAGTCTTTTTAATTTGAGGAAAAAGTAAGAAAACCTGAGGATATAGTTCAGTGGCAGAACCTAGCAAGGTGTCATGCTTGTGGCTTCTAGGGATCCCATAGGACTGCCAAAAAATAAGGCAACCTTGAGAATTTGGGGGAGATGTATACTCCCAAATTACGGAAACATGGTAATCTCATATAGTGAAAAGTGTTGTGATTATAAAAACATAACAAAGCTGGGACAGTGCTTCCAGTGAACTTGTATGGTTGTGAGAGGCCTGGATGATAAGTTTCTAGGCATGCTACCATTCAGGGTTAGAGTCTTATGGAGACACTAGGAAGAGCAAGGCCACTCAGGTAAGACTGAGTGATTAGCATGGAGAAGGTAAGGGGCCTCTGTGGTGTAAGAGGCAGCAACTGAATTGTGGTGTCCAGGGCTGGCATTCCTCAACTTGTGGTGTAGGCCTTCACAATGAGAGAAGTTTGGTTTGGGCTGGTTTTGGGGGAGCATGGGGTTTTTTTGTTTTGTTTTGTTTTTAAGCTTTTTAAGTTTTATGTTCTACATTTTATTTATTTGTTTGTTTTGTTGGGAGCATGTGTCATGGTGAGCATGTGGTAGCCTGAGATCAAGTTTCAATAGTCATTTTTCTCTCCATCATGTGTGTTCCAGGGATTAATCTTGATGTCAGTACCTTTCCTCCAGAGCCATCTCTGGGCCCTTTCTGAAGCCTTTGACGTGGGATCTGAACTGTCTCTTTTTCTTCGTCTCAGGTTCCTAGAAGGGGATGTGAAAGATCACATTGCAGCAGCAGTCCTGACTTCTGGGACAATTGCCGTTTGGGACTTGCTTCTGGGCCACTGCACTGCTGTCCTCCCACCTGTCTCTGGTCAGAATTGGTCTTTGGTTAAATGGTCAGATACAGATTCTCATTTGCTGGCTGGACAAAAGGATGGAAATATATTCATATACCGCTACTTTTAAGTTAAGAGGCAAATAGTTTCCTGGGTATTTTGCCTCGTAATATATTTTTTTTTTGAAAAAGAATACACTATCTAAAAGATATTTCACATGATTGCTTGACTGTGTTCCCACAAATTTAATTTTATTTTGATGGTGTCACTACTGATATTTGTTTATGTTTACTTTGTTGTTATGATTTTAAATCCATATTTGCACATTTGCTATTACAGGTGTACATAAACAGTAAATGTTAATAAATATTTATTTTGATGGATTCTGCTTGGCATGTTCCCTTTTTTTTTCCAGTCTGTTCAGATCATTTAAAAAATTAGAAGGCTAGGGAAGTTAACTTGGTCAGTAAAGTGCTTGCACGTACCTGACATCAGTTACAAGGGAGGAAAATGGTGTAACGACAGAATTATAATTCTAGCACTGGGAAGGCAAAGATAGCCAGAACCTTAGGACTCACTGGTCAACAAAGCTAACCTAATTGGCAAAATACAGGCTCGTGAATGACCCTGTCTCGAAAACAAAGTAGATAACACCCAAGGAATACCACCCAAGGTTCTCTGCTGCCATGTACACTGGAACTTGTGTAGTATACATACACAAAGGTTACATAGACAACTAGAATAGTTAATAATAAATAGTAAAAGTATTTCAGTTAGGTTAGAATAAAAACTTTTTGTTTAACTTAAGTTTTTTTGTTTTTTTGAGACAAGGTTTCTCTGTGGCTTTGAAGGCTGTCCTGGAACTAGCTCTTATGCACCATGCTGGTCTTGAACTCACAGAGATCCTACTGCCTCTGCCTCCCAAGTGATGGGTTCAAAATCATGCGCCACTGTTGGGAAATTTAAGTACTTTCCCCTTACAGCTCTCTTTCTCCCCATCCAGATGTAGAACTTCCATGCAGACAAGGTTGAGCAAACAAGGTTGTTTTCAAAGCTTTCCAGTGTTCAGTGCAGGTGTGCCTTGACCCCAGGTGTGGGTGGTGCATGACTTCCTCCTATGCTTAGCCCATCAGCTTGGGTATATAAGCCCATTACTCTCTGTAATAAACAGTGGTGGTGGCAGCAGCTTCTTAACTTCTCTGGTGGTCTGTTAAGTGTTTCAATCCCGACACCCTCTGCCACGCTCTGTACTCTGGCTGTGCAGGCACAGCACGCCACCACAGCTCAGCTGGCCCTGTCTATTTCTAAAAGGCTTACTACATAACCCAGGCTGCCCTCAGATTTTAGATGCTTCTGCCTCAGCCTCTCTAGGTGATGGGGTTATAGGTATGTACTGTCATGCCCACAATATACCTCCCCCATCCTTTTTTATAACGGCCTCACTATGTAGCCCTGGTTGGCCTGGAATTAACTATATAGATCAGGCAGGCCCCAAACTCACAGAGGACTGCCTGCATCTACCTCCCAAAAATGAGTACAGCACCATGCCTCGCCTCAAAGCATACTTTCAATGCTGTTATACTACTTGATTTTCATACATTTGTTAAAACACACATGGTGGTACACACCTTTTAAGCCAGGCACTTGTGGTGAGGGTGGAGGACAGAGGCAGGTGGATATCTGTGACAGAGAAACCTATCTCAAAAAAAAAAAAAAAAAGTAAAAAAAGGAAAATTCAAAATGAATTTCTTTTAAATCCTAGTTTAGGGACTAGAAGATGACTTAAGAGTTAAGAACACTTGACATCCTTCCAGAGGACCTCAGTTGGACTCCCAGCTACCCCTAACTTGAGCTCTAGGGCATCTGATACCCTCCTCTGACCCTGGCATGCACCCACACAAGTAACACTCATACAGAAATAGACACACAAGTAAAAGTACATCTTTAAAAGGAAAAAATCCTAGATTAGAGACGACCTTTCTCTTTTCCATTCTCATGTGCATCCTCAAGTGCCCTATCACTAGTGATGCATCACCACCCACTCCCCTACCCCCATCTTGTGATGGGGTCAATGTAGGCTGGAGTCCTGGGCTGACCTTTAACTCTGTGTAGATAAGGAGGGCCTCCAACTTCTGCTCCTCCTGTTTCCACTCCTGAATGAGTAGGAATAGAAGTCCATGATTCCACCACTTTGGAAGTGAAAGCAAGTCATCCTCAGCTACATAACAAGTTTGGGGCGGGGCTGGGATACATAAAATCCAGTCCATAAGAAGAGAGGGAGAAGGAAGAAAAAACTTAGGTAGGGTGAGGTCATAGTTCCCGTGCCATGAAGTCTCGATGGTGGTATTAGCATTAAGGATATAAGGACTGCTGCTAGGCTTCTGTCCTGGGAGACTATGTAAGTGCTGTGTGGGACCTTTAAGGGTTAGTTCCAGTGCTACTATGGAAATGCAAATGTTGGGCAGTTAGTACTACCTGGAAAGCTCTGTGGAGGGTGACAGCTGATTCTTGGCAGAAGCAGATGAAGCAGAAGTGAAGGGTTCTAGGCAAAAATGACTGACAACCCAGAGTTACAAAGACAAGCCATGCCATAGAGAATGGAGTTGAGAATCGGTCTTGTTTGAACTTTATTTTACAATTGAAAAAGAGAGGCTGAGTTATAACATCAGGTCATATTCTGGCTCCAGAGTAGTAACGGCTTATAAAGGCCAGACAGAATAGAGGCAGATAGATGGGCATGGGAGTCTGACCCTTGGCAGAGCAGTTGGAAAACAAGGAAATGAGCAGCACTGTGCCTAATAAGGTAGGAAATGAAGACATGCTAAAACTCTGGCAAGGAAGAGGGTACCTGGTGTGGTATTGGGGTATGTATAAGGATAGGCACTGGAGGTGCTTATTCATTCTAATGGGAGTGCTACTGAAAGGCCCTTTTTGAAAGTGTCTCATGTATCACAGGCTGGCCTCAAACTAGTTATATAGCCAAAGATGACAGACCTCCCTGTTTCCTGCCTCCACCTCCAGAATGCTAGGATTATAGGTAACTATGTACAACCTTGGCTCATTTATGCAGTGCTTGGGATTGAACCCAGGACATTATGCATTCTAGACAAACATTCTATAATTTAATTAGAGCTCCTCTTAAATCTTAATACAAGTACCAAGGTTATGATCACAACCTTAATATTGAACCTTTTATTTTACAGATCATGATATTTTGTGTATTCTGTAAGGAGGTCTCCTAGAGTCTATCATCTATATGAGTTTCCTTTTGCCTAACTGAAAAGGCTGAGTGTTAGAAAGTGTTGTGTATGGTAATGCCAAGGAGATGATCACAATACAATTTCAGATGTTCAACTGTTACGCCTGCCCACTTTTCCAAGCTTTAAGTAAAAAAACTGTAACCCTCCCTTTTCCTTCTGTCTTTTAGTTACTAGCCAAAAGCCTAAGCATAAGTTCCTTGATACTCTAGGTTTCGGTTTTCTCACTGTTCTTCTGAAGACCCATCTTCTCCCACGGTTGCTGGATGACCTCGCTGCCTAACTCAGAAGGCATGACTTTTTTCCTCCTTGTGCTGTCCTCCTCCTCTCAGAGCTATCTGGGTTTACAACTGTTTCTTACTGAAACTGGTAAAATAGTCCTTGGGCTTAAATAGAATACTACATGTCTATTGCCATGCAAAGAGAAATTTTTAATTGAAGGTGGTTATTAAATCATCTAGATTTCAAATACTAGATAATTATAACAAAAACTAAGAGTTTCATGAAGAGTTGGGGGTAGAAGGAAGTGCAGTGCTATGGGCTCCTATCTTCACATCACATGGCCCGAGTCCCTCTTTTCTATAAACCATTCCCACTCCTTATAGCAAAGCTCAGGATTGGCTGAAGTCTTCCCAATACTCTTAAGAGGAAACAAAAGTTTTTCCTTGATTGCAGATAAAAAAAAAAAAAAAAAAAAAAAAAAAAAAAAAAAAGACTGAGAACAGATCTCAGATACCCAGTAGTCAAGTCTATATTAACCATGTGCTGAATAAATTCCAAAATGATCATGCTAGTTAATAAATTAGGGGGAAGAAGGTGTCTTTGTAAAGTAGTCTAACGTTTGAGTGGATATGTTATCCAGGTGATTGGTCCTCAGGAAACACTGCTGTAACCATTAGCACAGACTATCAAGGGTACTTGGAACCCGGTGGGAAGATACTGGCTTCAAGCACCAGGGACTATCACCACCTCAGTTTTCTTAATGTCAGTTAAAACCAGTTCTTCTCTACACAGCTAACAGAAGTACAGCCAAGGCATAAAATAATGGAGAAAAAATTAGTGCCTGTAGCAGTAAGGAAAGCAAAGGAGTTATTTTTAAAGGAAGGCACTCATCAAACAAAGGTACTAGGGAATTTTATTCAGTGAGCTCCTCTATATATATTCACACAGGGATTGGCCCATTCTTTTGTTGTATTTTTTAAATAACAATTTTTATTAACTCCTTGGGTATTTCACATCATGCTCCCCAATCCTTCCATATTTGTCCTCCACTCTTGTTGCCTCCCCCCCAAAAGTAAATAACAAATAAACAAAAATTAGAAAGGAAAAAAAATACACAAAAAACCACAAATATCTTGTTGATTCCTTTGGGCAACACTCTACTCCTCTATCAACGGCAGCCTTCTGTGCATGTACCATTCTGCTCCTCCATCTCCATCACATATCTATTTGTCATAGTGGCTCTGGAAGTTTTGGTGTGTCATATAGTATACCCTTTTGCCCAAACAGCTTTACTCAAGAATGTTCATTGCAATGAGACCTCTGGCATCTGCTGCAATGTCAATACTGGGCCCTCCTAAAGACTCAGATATCCTCCTGTTGCCGAATCACAGGATCTTGCAGCTCATGCGCTCCAGCAGCTCCTAGATGGGGAAGATATTGGGTTGGGTTGGTCTATTCTTAAGCATATGCTTATCCCTACAACTTCTAAGAAGATACTAGGCACATTTTTAGGTCAGGAGGTATATGTTTATGAGATTGAAGGGGATGAATATGAATGCCTTCCGGCATGCTCAGTTTATACCTGAAAGTCTTAGCTGAAAATAAAGGAAAGGACATTTTTTTGAGACATGGTTTCTCTGTATTGCTTTGGAGCCTATCCTGGAACTCACTCTGTAGACCAGGCTGACTTTGAATTCACAGAGATCTGCTTGCCTCTGCCTCCTGAGTACTGGGATTAAAAGCATGTGCTACCACTGCATGGTGGAAAGGACCCTTTTTTTGAAAGTACATTTAATGTAGGTTTTTGTCCCTTGGGTGCTTGCCTTACTTACCGGCTAACTGGTGTGTGGACACCACAGTGCCACTTGTCCATTTTGTTGGATATATTACTTACAGATTGTCCAGTCTTACTTTTGCTGTACTGCAGATTTAGTCCAGAGTTGTACATTACCAAAATATAAAATATGTATCTTTATACTTCATATTTATTAGTCTTCAGTTTACATATAAATCACATGGGCTTTGGACAGGGGGTGTTTTGTGTATTGGGTTATTTATCTAGAGACTACTGCTATGTAGTCTAGACTGCTATCATCTCATGATCCTCCTGCCCCAACCTCTGGAGTTGGGATCATAGACTTGGCAACCACACTTGGCTAACTACTAGTATTAAATCCATTCTGTTTCACATTCATATTGTACCTAGTTTCAATTTCTTAATGCTATGGGGAAATCGTGGCATATTTTATTTTTTGAGACAGGATCTTAGCATGTAGCCCTGGCTGGCTTGGAACGTTCAGCTAGACAGGGCTGGCCTTGAATTTACAGAGATCCTATCCTCCTGCCTCCACAGTGCTAGTATTAAAGTCCTTTGCCACCAGGATCACAGGTCAACACTCTTAAAACAAAGACTTCAGAACTTTGAGAAAATAAATAAGTCAGTTCCTTTTTTGTCAGTGACAGTGTTTTTAGGGATAGATGACATTTGTGCAGTTGGCACTATGAAGCTCTTGCCCTTCAAAAGGAGGTGGGTGCAGCGCCACCAGGAGCCGCCAGGGACCGCCAGCGCCCGCTGAGCCCTCAAGCGCCGCTCTGTACGTTGCCAGCGTACATTGCTAACCCCGGCTTCGGCGGGAGGACGCGGCGCAGTGCATTCTGGGTTGGCGTAGCCATGGCGGCTCGTGTCCTTTCCGCCTGTGTCCGTCGCCTGCCCACGGCCTTCGCGCCGCTACCCCGGCTTCCCACACTGGCCTTGGCCCGGCCGCTCAGCACCACTCTCTGCTCTGAGGGAACCCGGAGGAGGCCCGGGACTCTGCAGCCCGTCTTGGCGCTCACGCAGGTGACTCGCGGTGACTTTGCCGGGGCTGCTCAGGGGTCAGGGCCCGGGCCGCCCGGGTTGGGGGAGGGGCCCCAGCCCGCTGCACAGCGGCTGCAGGGGTGATTCGGGGTACGCCTCTAGCCCTGCTGCCCGACGGGTTTTGGTTGACCTCTGTCGCGAGGCCGAGTGTCTGATGATTAGAACACAGAACTTAGACCAAGTCTCGACTGAACGACAAAATTGGGCACCAGGTCTTGTGGAGTGGCAGTGAAGTTTAGGTGAGAGAGATCGAGCGAGCACCGACTGCGGTCTCCGTCAGTTGTGATTATGGTATACAGTGGTCACTTTCTCGGGAAAGTTAAAGACAGTGCACAAGGGGAAACCAGTTGCTTACATAGCCCTCCAGAGTATTCTAGAGTCCTGTCGTAATTCTTCCCTTGTGGCACCTTTTGTCTGTGAGCCTTCTGGAAGTAGGGATAGGAAATAAGTGTTTAGCTTGCATATTTGATAAAATCAATATGAGGCTGAAACACCTGGATATCACTTTCAACCCTAGTTGCCCAACAACAAAAGATTCTAGCCCTCTCCTCGCTCCCCTTTTGATTTACTCCTCTGGGATCAGGCCCTGGCATGGCATTTTAAGTTCTTCGTGTGCATCCAAGATTAGGAACTACTCAAGTAGAAAAACCCTTTCATTACTCATGAGCTTTCTACAGTAGCGATTTCAGTCACACCTGCATGCTACAAGAAGAAATAAAAATGTACATCCAGTTTTGAGATTCGCTGACAGTGAATACACAGGGCATTGTCCCCAAAACTATACCAAAAGCTTGTCATTATAAAGTGTCAGAAGAGCAGTAAAGCTGCTGTGTGTTTGGGTCTAGAGACTAATTTCAGATTAGGTGAAAATGTGATCTTCCTGTTCTTACAGCATTGCTTCTCAAACATAGGTGTGTGCACACAGATCATCAGGTTTGGGGTTTGTGATAGAAGATTCATTTGGTAGGTCTGCCAAGTGTTGTCATGTGTTTTCCAGATGTGGTCCTGAGACCATGCTTAGAACCTCTATTGGGTTTATGCTGACAGAGGAGGAACTGCTTTATGCTTACAGAATGGTTTTGAGGAAGCTCATTCTTAGATGCAGACACTTGTTTACATTTTAGGATTGTTAATGGAATATAGATTTCTCTGCACAAATCAGGGGAAACAAATAGTAAGCAAGGTTTTTTGAAGGAATAAGAAACCTTTTCACTAAATTGCCCAGCTTCAATGATTGAAATAAGTTGGTTTGGAAGTTTCTGGCTAGAACCCAGGAGGTGGAGAGGGAGTAGAATAAGGAAGAGATTTGTAGAGGTGTGGGTTTGTTTCAAACAGCTGTGTCTGAGATACCTTTGTTCCTCAGGTTTGAAGTGGGCAAGTGACAGAGATGGCCTTTAAAGTTTTTTCCATAAACAAATAAGGGCAGAGGGAAGCAAGATGTATTCTAATGGAAACTCTTCAGCACCAGGCTAGCTCAGTATCACTGCAGACAATACCACCCTTGATGCTGGGAGATTACTTATGTCACACTCATGAGTCTGGGGGAAGAACACCTGTGTTGACTACAGGACCACCCTTGATGCTGGGAGATCACTTATGTCACACTCATGAGTCTGGGGGAAGAACACCTGTGTTGACTACAGGAGAGGTGTTTTCCTAACAGTAGAGATCTGGCAGGAGGAAGCCATTTAGACCCTCTAAGAGGGGGATCTGAGGCAGCATACCTAGCTATCCTGTCTCAGTTTCTGTGTAAAAGGTGTGTATAGTGCTTAGAGAATACCATAGTTTAGTACTCTCAAGATTTAGTGAAACAAATCAATCCTGGCCTGTTATCTCAGCTCCTTGGTAGGCAGCAACAGAAAGAGCATGTTAAAGGCCTGTCTGGGCTACAGAGTAAGTTCAAAGATACCCAGACTAACTTAATTAAGCCCCATTTCAAAAACAAGGCTGGAGACATAATGGTGGAGCCCCTGCCTACAATGAATGAAATGGGGTCCCCAGTACCAAAATAAGTAAATAACAATTTTTAAAACTGACCAAGGAAAGGAATGAATTTTAAGTTACACTACAGCTGAAGGGGCCACACTGCCAGGTTATTGTAGCACTGCTAGATAACCTACATTATACTGTGTAGATGCCAGTGCTTTTATATCATCTTACTGATGCCATGCCACAATTTTATGAACGAGGTACTATTGTTATCCATATTTAACAGCTAAAGAACTGAGGCATGTACAGGTTATATAACTTGATGGGGACAGCTAGGAAGAGCCAGTACCCCAATGATAACTAACAGCAGCAGTCTGGTTCCTAATCAGATCTGGTTTCTGAGACTCACCTCTTTGCTCACTACATCTTATTGCCTTCTACTGATCTCACTGCAGCCATCTACTTTAGATTGACATGTAGCTTCAAGACTGAGAACTCTTAGTTTATTCTCTTGGCAGCTCCCTGGCCCTGTAGGAACTTGCCAGTGATGCCTGATGAGCTACTGACATCTAGTGACCACATGAGTAACTGTGTACATGCAGACTTCCCAGCCACTCTTCCCATGGCCTGCTGACATGCTCAGTACTATTCTCCATCTCTTCTGTATTAATTCCACTTCATTCCAGTCCTTGATGGTTTTTGTTTGTTGTCTTTGTGACAGGGTTTCATGTTACCTCAGGCTGGCCTTGGAACTCAGGTTACTCTTTCTTAGCCTCCCAAGTACTAGGATTGCAAGCCTGAACAACCATGTCTTTCTAAAATCTACTTAGATCTTTTCTTTTCCTTCAAGACTGGACATTAAACTGAGGCTTCACTCATACTAGGCAAGCCTTCAACCAATGAATTAAAACCCCAGTCCCTTAATATTTTCTATATCTTTTCCATGCCTTCTTGATATGCATACAGGACCTGTGTTAGGCCCTCCAACCTCAGGAGGTCATTCTCTGTTATTATTAACATTTCTTCTCCCTCTTCCTCTTTATTCCTTTCTGCTTCATTTTATTTGTGACCCTTTAAGTAGGTCTGGTGATATGTCCCTTTCAAAGGCCTCTGACACACATAAAGGAAACAGTGGATTTAGACAGAAAAAGAGGTACTTTGCCATTCTTAAAAAGTATTCAGAAATCTCTTTAGTTTGCTGCAAATTAAGTTTATCTTGATAAAGAGGAATATACTGGTTCAGTTTTATTTTGAAGTAGATACATACATACATGCATACATACAGTGCAGGCTTGCCTGGGACTCTGGATTTCAACCTCAACCTTTCAAATGTTAGGATTACAAGCATTTGACACCACAGCAGCTCTTCGGTCATTTTTCATAGGCATTCTCAGGGACCTGAGTGCCAGCAAACAAACCCAGTTCTTCTCATACATTTATTTAGTGTGTGGGTGCATGAGAAAGTCAGATGATAACTTGAGGTAGTCCTGTTTTCTCTTTAGCTTCTGATCCATATTGCTGTCTCACCACCCCTTCTTCGGTGTTAAAGATTTCATACATGCTAAGCAAATTGCCCTGCCATTAAGCTACATTACATCCCTGCCCCTTTTTATTTTGAAACAGTAAGTTGCCCAGTTTGGTCTTGATCTTGATCCTCCTGCCACACTTCCCAAGGCCCTGGGATTAAAAGCCCAGCAACAAACTCATTTTCTGTGGAAAAGCCTTAGCTACAAACTAAGAACCAACATTTGAAGATAACCCTGTTTAGTTTAGGGGTCCATGATGAGCCAAACAGGTGTATAGGTCCTGTTTTTTCTTGTTCTTGTTATAACTTCATCAACATTTAACCCTCTGCCAGATAGATGGTCAGTACTCCTCCATACTTGGTAAATGAAATTGTGAAGATGGAGTTTCTGTCCCACCAGGTCACAGCTATTTAGTCCCAAATAAACACACAGAGTCTTATGTTAATTATAAATTGTTTGGCCGATGGGTCAGGCTTCTATTGGCTAGCTCTCAATTATTAACCCATTTCTATTAAACTATGTATGGTCACAAGGCTGTGGCTTACTGTAATGCTCTGGCATGTTACTCCTTTGGCAGCTACATGGCATCTGCTTCTAGACTCTCTTTCCACATCCCTCTTCCAAGCATTCTCCTAGTCTGGTAGCCCTGCCTATACTTCCTGCCTGGCTACATCCTGCCTGTCCATTGGCCATAACAGCTTTATTAATCAACCAATAAGAGAAACATATTCACAGCATACAGAAGGACATCCCCCATCAAAATCTAGTCAAGACTGCAGTACCCAATTGAGTATAAAGCAGGCTGACAACAGAAATACTTATGATATTATCACAACAGAGCTATGAAAGGCTCATAGCATGTCTGGTGACTTACAGGGCATACGCACCTAGCAGGGAAATAGATGGGGTATCATGATTAGGGATGGTAGCTGGCTTCATTTGTTCTAGCCAGAGTCTCGTTATTGTCAAAGCCTAATTAAACCCTTATGTATACCATGACAGCTGTTAGGGTGGTTTATTTTGACTCTCATCTGTGTGATGAATGTCACAGTAAATTTGCCATGAGGGAACTTTGGCATTTCTGCGACCCTTTTATGTTAATGACAGTCTTACTGAACAAGATGATGACCAAAGCCAGAGGAACCAGTCCTATTTTAAGCAGCTGGGTTGACTTAGCTCTATGACTCAGTATATTGTAATGGCCACATTGAAGAATGAGATGATGTGGGTTCTGCAAAGCCCAGGAAGCTTTGTGAAAGTACCTGTGGTGGCAGTGAGGTGGCTCAGTAAACACCTGCCACAAAACTTTATGCCCCTAAGTTCAATCCCTAGGACCCAGTAGAAGGAGAGAACTCACTACCACAGCTTGCCCTCTGACCTCTACTCATGTACTATGATACATGTGGATCCTGCTCCCAAGTAAAACATTTATGTGTAAGTTTTTAAAAAAGATACCTGTAGATATGTGCAATTACATAAAACCTTTTAGGACTGAGTGAGTCTGCTTCCTGCCTTTGTTCTAGGCGCCTGGAAGGGTCACACACTTGTGCCGCCAATACAGTGACGCACCCCCTTTGACGTTAGAGGGAATCAAGGACAGAGTGCTGTATGTCTTGAAACTCTACGACAAGATTGACCCAGAAAAGGTAATTTCCCTTTTGTTTTTCTGTGTGTGTTTGTGTATGTACTTAAGCACTTGTATATGCATGTTATAACCCTCATGAGGAAGTCACAGGACTGTTGGCAGCAGCCAGTTCTCTTCTTCCACCATGCCTGTCCCAGAGATTGAACTCAGGAGGTCATTAGGATTGATGGCAAGCACCTTTATGTGCTGAGCCATCTCACCAGTCCATACGTTTTATTCCTTTAGCGTGTTTAATCAACATAGTATAAAATTCAAAGGGTCCAAACAAATACTCAATTAAAAGTCTCTTTGGGAGGGCTGGAGAGATGGCTCAGCAATCAAGAGCATTAGCTGTTTTCCCAAAGGATCCAGATTCAATTCTCAAGACTGACATGGCAGCTCACAACTGTCTTACTCCACTTCCAGGGTACCTGACACCCACATACAAACATTCATGCAGGCAAATACATCAATACACATAAATAATAAAATAAAACCTTCCCAGCCTTCAGCCAACCATTCCTCTACTAGGATATTAGCATTGTCCTTGTATAGATTTAGCTTCTTGTGTATCTTTCCGAAGAGAAATAATAGATATGTCAGGCAGTAGAGACACATATGTATAACATATCTATTTGTCGTAGTTACTTTTCTATTGCTGTGATAAAATATGACCAAGGCAGTTTACAGAAGGGAAGGTGGATTTAGGGTATAGATCCATCATGGCAGAGAGCAGGCAAGCATGGCACTGGAGAAGTAGCTGAGAGCTCACACCTTGAACCACAACAGGAAGCAGAGTACACTAGGAATGGAAGAGGCTTTCAATACCTTGAAGCCTGCTCCTGGGACACACCTTGTCCGACAAGGCTACACGTCCTAATCCTTCCCAAATAGCCACCAACCAGGAACCAAATATTCACATGTCCAAGACTTATCAGGGATTTCTCATTCAAACCACCACAGTGTTTACGCATATCTCCCATTCTTCTGAAAACACAAGTACTCTGGGAATGTAGTTCAGGGGAAACACATCTGTACCCCATGCCAGGGCCTCATCACAATCCTTAGTACAAGAAAAGTCTGCAAAAAACACAGGTGTTCCATATTCCAGAACTGCTTCTGCCTCTTGCTTTTTTGTTTTAAAACATGGAGTCTTTTCTGTGTAGCCCAGGTTGGCCCAAAACTTAACACTCTTTGCCTCCTCCTGAATGCTGGGATTATAGAGGTACTACCACAGGAGGCTTGCTTCTTTCTTTTTTAACTTAACTCTTGCAATTTTTCCATGTTGGTTTGTAAACAGTTCTTTTTCTTTAGTAATGGAATCTGTTGTGTAGTTTAACATATTTTAATAAAAAAAGATGTGGTATGTGTGTGTACTAAGGACAGAAGAGGTCACTGGATGTCCTCTATCACTCTCCCATCTTTTATGAGGTAAGCTATCTCTGAACCTGGGGCTCCCACTTTTTCAGTAAGGCTGAAAACCAGCAAGTCCAGTGATCCTCCTGTCTCTGCCCACTCTGGAGCTGGTATAGACATGTACCAGACATGCAACTTATTAAATGGATACTGCATCTAAAATCTGGTCCTCAGGATTGTATAGGGAATGCTTTTAACTGCTGGGCTATCTCTTCTGGCCCTTAACATGGATTTTAAAGAACATTTCCTGGAGATCTTGAAGTGAATACAGCATTTTTTCATCTGACAGATACCTACAATTTATAATAATCTTAGAAATTTTAGCTGTTGAGTGTGTATATGTTGCTGGGATGAAACAGCTGGCCTCAGGCATAGTAGGCAAACATTCACTGTATAGTGCTGACTGTACTATGTAAACCAGGCTGGCCTCCAACTCAGTGTCTGTCTCCTGAGTGCTAGGATAATAGCCTACAATTAGGCTTGGGGGAGAAGAGGTTTTATTTGTAAGTAAAATAGCAAGAAAACAAATTCTCTCAGATGTCCTTTAGAATAGTGATCAGATATCCTAATAAAATATGTACCATGAAATCCTTTAAATTTATTTCTAACGTTAACCACCTTAAAATGAAATTGAACAAGCTAAAAAAAATATACTGTGACCATGCCAGCATATGTTAAATATACCATGTTATTTAAAGCCTTGATGTTTCTATATGATAATGAAGTTGTCTTGAAACACAAACACTTTCATGGATTAAATTTTATTTGGTATTTCTTTCTTGCAGCTTTCAGTAAATTCTCATTTTATGAAGGACCTGGGCTTAGACAGTTTGGACCAAGTGGAGATTATTATGGCCATGGAGGACGAATTTGGTAACATATATATCTTAGTTTTTGATCTGCGTATTATTCATTTTATTGTCTTTAAGAAAAGATCTCTCCAGCCCAGACTACATGCCAGATGACTCTTAGGTGGTTTAAACTGAAGGAAATGCTAGAGTCTGATTCAGATACTAGTAGAAACAATAACAGCCCAGTATTCTTACTGTGAGGTAGGAACATCACAGGCCTGGCAGAATGTATACTAGAATTAAGGGCTGGCTGGCCCAAAAAAGTGTGGGAGAGCATGGGCTCAAGGGCAAAGTCTCACTTGTAGAGATGCTGATGACACTTGAGGCCTTCATGAGCTATGATGAGATCAGCTAGACAGCAGTAGAAAGCTGTGCTGAGGACACACAGCAGAGGTCTGAGTCTCTTGTGATGTTTGTCAGAGCTGGACAGAATTCAGACACATGTGAGCACGATGAGCAACAGCACCTCTCAAAGTTGTTTTCTATAGTTTAAAATAGGTGCCACATAGAAAGCCTCAAGATTGGGACTGCTAAGAGATCAAAAAGAAGGTGCTCAATACAGTATTTGAGCCCAAGTAAATGCTATTATACTATCACAGCTCAACTGTGTAACAAGGAACAAAGGAATACACACTGCAGCATGAATGGCCCTGGAGGACAAAATAGAAAGTACCCCATCACGTGCCGCACACTTGCTTCACTGGCACGAAGTATCAAGAGGAAAACAGATGGAGACAAAGTAGATCTAAGTCTGCCAACTATTGGGATAGTTGGGAGTGAACTCTAATGGCATTTGTTCTGTTTTGTTTTTTAGGGGTGATAAAAATGTTCTAGGGCAGTGGTTCTCAACCTTTCTAATGTGACCCTTTAATACAGTTTCTCATGTTGTGGTGACTTCCAACCATAAAATTATTTCATTGCTAACTTCATGACTGTAGTTTTGCTACTGTTGTGGATCATAGTATAAATGTCTGATGAAGGATATCTGATATGTGACCCCAAATGGGTACCCACAGGTTTAGAGCCACTGTTCTAGGGGACTTTGATTAATTAGATTAATTCTTGGGGAATTAAATAATAGCAATAGTTGTACAACCTTGTAGGCATACTATAAACAAGTAAATTGTGTACTTAAAAGAAATTTTCTATTATTTCTTAAACATGATATACATATTTTCTAAAACCTACCCAGTTTAAAAACAAAATGGATTCAAGATTGCTGGAGATGTTTAACACAGCTGTAGGTACTTGAAATTTCAAGGCCTGCCTGAGTAACATAGTGAGGCCCTTACCAAAAATTAAAAGGGGGAAGTGGAGTCATATGCTTTCGGTTCTGAAGGGTTTGCTTTTTTCATAATCATGGTTAACTTTTTCTTTTTTTTTTTTTTTTTAGGGTTTGAAATTCCTGATATAGATGCAGAGAAGTTAATGTGTCCACAAGAAATCGTAGATTACATTGCAGATAAGAAGGACGTATATGAATAAAGTATAAGGTAAATAACCTGACATAAAACTATGCCCTCTCATAGGACTAATCTGTCTGTAGTTCAATACAGCAAGAACAAAAATTGGCAGTGCTTGACAGAAACTGTCATTAGTCAGAGAACACAGGCCATTTCAGGTTATCTGCCATCCAAACCCTAACCCTTGCAGTGGTCTTTATTTTTAAGAGAGGCTTGAAAGCATCATTCCTGAACAGGACTCAGTTCTCTTCTTAAAATTAGTTTTACATAGCCTCACCTGCTTCAAGAAGCAGAGATGGCCTAGGGTTGCTCCCAACTAAGAAGAAGGGCTCCACAGACAGAGACCCAAATTAGCTTCAATGCACCTTTATTGATGGCCATGCAGTGAGCCTCGTGGTCTTGAACAAGCTGCTGAGCTATGGATTTGATCCCAATTACAGTGGCAATGATGACTGATACTATCAGGGTTTGTGGAGGTCAAATTGGGTCCTAGATGGGCACTGGCCTGCCATTAAGCCTTAGCTGACCGTCGCTGTTGTTACAGCTCTGTTTCAGTGCTTAGAGTATTTAGTTTCAATGCACTGGGCACCTTAAAGGTGGCATTTAAGAGTCAGTGTCTACAAACCAAAAAGAAACCCAACTTATCTTGTCATTGCCAGAGCCTTCTTCCTCACCAGAAGGACTCCAGGAACACCCGATGGCATCATGGCTGACTGACAGCGGCTCTGTTGGACTTGTATTTAAATTGTCTGAGTGTTTTACCCTTTAAAAATAAATCTATTATAAAACTAATATCTTTCTCAGTCTTCAGTTTCTTTTCTGAGACAATCTCATTCTGGCCTGAACTCATTAGCACAGGCTAACCTCAAAGTGATCCTCCTGCCTCAGCCTCCTAAGTGCTAAGATTATAGGTCTGAACACACTGCTCCACCTGATTTTTAATTTTTACTGATGTCGCTTAATACTTTTAAAGATGCCATTGATAACCATGCATACCAAAATATAGTCTAGGGTACTGTGATGGGCAACTGGGGTGAATAATAATAGTGATGTGTTTCATATAAAAATATCACAATAAAACCCATTTTGTATACTGACCTAAAAATGAAAACTGTAATACCTACCCAGGCATGATGGTACATTCCCATAACCCTAGCATGTAAGAGTTAAAGCACAGCAAGACCCTGTGCTCAAAAAAAAAAGTTCTGCAGTGTACCTGAAGCAAGTTTCCCTTTCCCACTCTCCTCAGTACATGTACTCATGGTGAAAGAACACTTGCTTCACTTGTTTTTCCCTCCTTACTGATGAATTAGATGTTAGGCTGATAGCACGTGGGACTGGTTCCTCCCTAAAAATCCCTTTCCAAAACCGGAATTGAATTTTGGGGGGCAAGAGGCAGCTTGGTTTAAACAGTGCTCTCAGTCACACATCCATTATCAATTCTGCCCCCACCTCATGAGACATGCTCTCTATGCAGCTCAGGCTGGCCTCAGACCTATAATGCTACCTCCGTCTTCTGAGATTATTATATGCCTCCACAGCAGCTACCCTTTTATTCTCATCATTGGCTCTTGGGTTGACGTAGGTAACATGCACATAGCTTACCTACTGAGGTTGACAGTCATGCCAGAATTACTTTTTTTTTTTTTTTTTTTTTTTTTTTAACTGTGGTTTATTTTTGTAGAAGGGAATGGAAACAAGAGCTTGTAGAAGGCGAGGGACCTAGGTGAGCGGTCCTCAGCCAGCAGAGAAGCTTCTGGGTGGGATGAGGTGGTGAAAGGGGAGGAACCAACTCTACGCCTGAGCCTACCCTTAACACCCACTTCTTTCTCGAGTGCCCGGTCTCTTCTTTGTCTCCCTAGAGTTATTCTAGTTACGTTGCTCACACACACTCCTTTCTTTTTGGTAATAGAAACCATTTATTTATTTATTGTTAGTGTGTTTTGGGGGTTTCCTCCCTGTAGTGTTGAAGGGTTCACATCTTAAGACAAGTGCTCTGCCACTATGCTACATCCTCAGCTACCCTTCCCCCTTTATTTTTTTGAAATTACAATATAATTCTAGCATTTCTCGTTTTTTCCTCCCTTCAAACTTTCCCATATACGCCTCCCTACTATCCTTCAAACTCATGGTCTCTTCTTTGTGTGACAAATATTCCTAAATATAACCTGCTTAATTCATGTAATGGTACTTGTATTCATGTTTTCAGGGCTGACAATTCGGCATTGAACGAGTAATTAGTGTGCTTTTTTCTGGAGAAGACCACTTAAAAGTGCTTCCAGCTTTCTCAGTTGCCTATAGCTCTTCATGTAGGGCTGAGTTCTTGTGTCTTGTTCATTGGTGTCATCTTTGTTCAGCTCATGTTTGAGCAGTCATGTTGGTGAGGCTTTGTGGGTAAACATTTTAAGAAAATAGTTAAAAAGGAAAAAAAAAAACTGCCATTGCACAGCAGTAAGGAGCCTAGTTTTTACAGATGCCTTTATTCCATGGAGAACTTGAATACTTATTACACACTGACAACCAACAGTGAACCATATAGGCTGCATGTGACTACTCTGACTAGAACTTACTCTAGGATATTATGGTAATATTCTTCCAAGTTGTTCTACCTACTTTAAATCCTAGGATAGCTAAAGATTTGACAAAGAATGCATCTGCATTGTTTTTGCCAAAGATCACTAAGTTTAGCAGTACTGCCATAAGGGCAACTTCTCACCGACATCTCACCACACACTTGGCCTATTCACATCATTTTGGATTGTAACTAAAGGTCACTAGCTCACACATTTCAAGCACCTTTCTGCTCTAAGAACTCATCAGATTGGTTTCAGTAAGGACTCTGTGTTCTGATAGGTAGACAGCAAACTGACCACATCCAGCATTGCAAATTGTATACAAATCGGAGGACAGAAGCCATGCATTTATGTGTTCATGGCACACATGTAGTTTGGTGTGCATTTTCACGTCTGTTGTGTCAAGACCAAGGTTGACAATAGGTGATAGGTATCTTCCTACATTACATAATGAGGCTTGTTGTTTTGTTTCAGCTCATCTAGCTAGCAAGCTTGCTTGGGTAATTTCCTGTTTTTTGTGTCCTGGTGACTCATGAGCCCTTGTGGCTGGGGATGACACTCAGTGGTAGAACACTTGTCCAGAATGCACAAGACCCTGCTGGGTTCTATGCCCAGCACTGTAAAAACAAGACCTGGAACCTGCACTTGTCTCCAGCCATTGTCTCCTAGCCACTTCATCCTCCTCACTGTATTCCTCCAGACAGTCCCAACAGTGAACCCACCAGGAGGTGCAGGGAGACCTTTAAAGTTTATATGACAATATCCCCAATAACACAAACTAACCTGTGCTGATGTAACAACAAAATGTCACCTTGTAGGTGTTCTTGTTAATATCCTGTAAGCAGACTGATGATGAATGAGTGAGTCTAGAAGGTGGCACTGTCTGTCAAACCTGAGCTAACTGTCATGGGAAAAGGCAATGCATGACTGTTCTAATTCAAGGATCAAAGAGATGGTAACTTTGGGAAACATGGAGCTGCAAAGCACTAAGAAGACACTTGGGGATGATTGTACTATATGTGATGTTAGATTTCTTAGTTACAGCAGTTAGAATAACCACATTACCTGGAAATGCAAAATATTTGGGAATGAAGCATGTCAGCTGACTTTGAAATGATTCAGGAAAAAACAAAAGTCAAAATGCTAATTGGTGACTAGCCAGGGTGACCCTTATTTACAGTACTATTCTTTCAACTGTCGAATTGTCAAAAGTTGGGAAAATGTCTTAATATAAATATATAAATAAAATAAAAACAATATACTGAGGACTTGTAATTGGATGTCCAGACCAGCCTAAAACAGAAACTGTCTCAAAAGTTAACAAACGCTGGGTGGGGTTGGCTGAATAGAAACAAATCTGTAGAATATGGAAAAATTGTTTTTAAGTGAAAATAAACACTCATGCCTGTAATTCCAGCAATTGATAGGAGGAGGTGAAAGGACTGGGAGTTCAGGGTTACCCTTGGCTTGCTACACAGCATCCTGTCTCAAAACAACAAAGTGAAAACAAGCAGCATGATCCCACTTCTCTAAATCATACCACAATAAAAAAATAAAAGGTATCAAAGTGTTAACAGTGGTCATTACCAAGACTCTTTATAGATGTATGGGTTAACAAGTGAATTTCTAAGTGTTACTAATAAATAAAGAATGAAAGTAATATCATAAAGGGTAAGATCAAAGCTAACCAGAGCCACATGAGACCCTGTCCCAGAAATAAAATACAGTAATAACAACAGGTGAGACATTAGCCTCTGGTTTACGAAACCTGTATTGTATGGACTACTACTAGATGGTCACCTGCAGTTAAAGAACTGGCCAGGGTTAGTCCACCAAAGGGCCTTAAAAGTCTGACTATGGGACTTGTTGGCCACTATGGGATTTTCTGTAGGGTGTACTGAAGAGGATGAACCTGATGGTTCCTGTAAGAGCTCATAAGGGAAAAAGAGATTTGGAGACTGAGATAAATAGATGGAGAAGGTTCTCTGAGAAACTTGATTTCAGCTGTTCACACAGGTGAGCTGCTACTGAAACCAAAAATAAAATGAGGGTCAGATTTTAAGGGGTGTCATAATTTCCATTTGGGACATGGTGAATTTGAGGGGCATGTGGGATACCCCAGCAGGCAACAGATAAACAAGATGAGCAAAAACATAAGAAAAATGCCATGCTGGAGCCAGGTGCCTCCTCACTCTACCAAGTGAGTTAAGGCTGACTTAATGTTCCTGGATGGGTCCTCATAAGCTTATGTCTATATGAATTCTGTTCCTCCTGGGGTTGAGTAGACAGGAAAACAGACATACACCTATCACTTGAAATATCAAATGCAGCATATATGACTTTGAGTTTTTAAAATGACAATAAAGCCACATGAGCAAATTTCAGACTTTTATTAACAATAAATCCAATGAATAAAATGCCAACGTCAAAGTTTAAGCAAGCAATTCCCAACTTGTATCAGTGAAATCAGGGAGGGGACAATCAAGCAAAATAGGTTCCTTAAGTCCTGAATATTAGGTGAATGGGTGCAGACATCACATTGGGCAAATCTGGGTTCTGAATCAGCTGGTTACAGACAGACATGTGATTGTTCTCTGGGCCTAAGTCCTTTAATGGCTGAAATGAGGGTACCAGGAGAGATGTGACAGATCAATGAGAGTGCTGACATGACAGAACCTGAATGCAGTGTTTAGACTTAAGTCCTGTGAGAGAACCCCCAGAGGCTCCCCTCCCTAGCTGCCATTTTTCCCTTGAAGGCTGGAGCCCTAGAAAAAGTGTATTCAAGCAGCATTTGTCACAAAGCAAGAGGTCAAACCCCTGTGAGATGGCCGGTCAAAGTGCTGTCATCTCTATATAGAAAGAATAACTACTGAGCAGAGTCTCACAATGAATGGGACATCTTAGAAACTGAAGTGACAATGTCTGGTTGAAGGCAAGAGTAACAGAATAATGTATCAACTGGTACTCTTGTCAGAACTCTTGGGGACAAAAATACCTTCCTGCGGGATTGCTAAAGAACAGGTTCCAGCTCCACAGAGAACAGCAGAACCAACCATTACATAGTCAGATGCCTGACAACCTTATTGGAGTATTTACATTGGACTGGGTCTGACACTCTGGGTTTCTGTTATTAGTAAAAGAGCCCAGCACCTTTGCCTAACTCATATGAGCAGAGTTTGATATCAAAAGCTACATCAGGCTGGGCAGTGGTGGCACACATCTTTAATCCCAGCACTAGGGAGGCAGAGGCAGGCAAATCTCTGAGTTTGAGGCTAGCCTGGTCTACAAAGAAGAGTTAGTTCCAGGACAGGCTCCAAAAACTACAGAGAAACCCTGTCTGCATCGGTCTGTTTTGGGATATTTGTTCACTGACATTCTGAGACTTCCAATAAAGTTTAACCTTGAATCTGGAGGAGGAGTTAGCGACTAGCTGACCAGAATTAGCCATAGAGGCTTTGAAGGACCCAGGATACATATAGAAACAGGAAGTGGTTTTGACCTTTTTGGATCGGGAATCATGGAGACAGAGTGGGCTATTGTTACTCCATCACTGTTTGAATCATCTACCATGTTTTACCCCAATATCTGACTTTTGGGTTTTAGTTAATAGAACAATAAGTAAAGGCTTCACCAGTCCTCAGTAATGGACCAGTGGAATCTAAAGTCTTAGACTTAGATGTGAAAGTACAGCCATACTGGCCAGTAGACAGGAGGACTTGGCCCTGAGGTGGTAGGAATCCCTTGCTAAGGCTACCCAGGATCAGAGGATCCCTAGCCATGGACACCCATAACATGAAGTAGAACAGGACTCATAACCAAGCAGGACAGAGCATGGTGGCACACATCTACAGTCTTAGCACTTGGAAGATAAAAGTAGAAGTAGAATTAAGAAGCAAGGCTACCCTCAATTTCATAGTGAGTCCAAGGCCAGCCTGAGCTTAAGAATGAGGCCTTGTCTTGGGGGAGAGGGGCACACGAATATTAATGGGAAAAAATTTTTAGAAATTAAGTATTCTTGATATATTTTTAGATGAGCTAGTAGCATGTGTGCTCTTTATTCTTAGATACGCTTATATAACCATACGCAAGTGTCTTGATTTGCATGTCTGTCATCAGCACAGGAAAGTGGTCTGATTAGAGACCACTTGTGGACAATACCATAGCTACTGGCTAACAAAGTGAAAGGTATGAGGATGCTGAACAGATGAGAATATTTCATTTTCTGTAAATTGACAACTTTCCAAACAAAAAAGGGAGGGGCTGAAAGATGGCTCAACAGGTAAAGGCTTTTCCTGAACACACCTGGTAACCTGAGTTGAATTCTAGAATCCAGTCAATGTGGAAGGAGAAAACCAGGTCCACTAACTTGTCCTCTGACCTTCTCACATGAGCAATTTGGCAAATGTGTGCATATATGTGCAATTTTAAAAAAGTTTTAAGGGCAGAAAAACAGCAAAGGAGTTAGATAAGAGCAGAAGGCATAAAAGTGAGGAATTTAAAAATTAGTTGAAAGATGGGGTGAACAAGGAAAAGTTATAGAAAAAGCAAAATTAACAACTGTTTCCACGGTAGAGACCTTATAAGCAGACAGTCCTTAGAGATAGAGACATGGTCTCTCCCACTCTTATTTGAGCCAAAGCCAGCTGAGAAGTAGGCATGCTTCCTGCCATGAGATCTCTGCCACACAACTGCCAAGGCTGCTTTTCTAACCCTGATTACCCTAGCCATGTCTCCTTGATGTAGTTGACCAGGACCCCTTTTACTTTCAAGCTGTTAGTTTTTGCTTTTAGATCTTTAAGAATCTAGTGGTGGGCTGGCAAGATGGCTCTGTGGCTTTCCCTGTTGCCAAGCCTTTCCATCCCAGAACCTGTATGGTAGTAAGAAAGAACCGACTTCCAAAAGCAGTCCTCTGATGTCCACATACATCATGACATTAGTGTGCACACACGATATCTGTACAGTTTTATTACAAAATTATAATAAAATTTTTCATAAAAATCTAAGCCTGTGAAGCTGGACATCACAGCACATGTCTGTAGTCCTTCACAAGGGTAAAGTGGGAGGATCCTGAGTTCCAGGCTGGCCTAAACTAGCTAGTAAGACTCTATCTAAAAGAAAGAAAAATACTTTTCAGTGTTGCTTCAGAAGTATGAGGTATTAGCAAAATAGAAAAATGGGAGATCAGAACCTTCAGAAATACTTCACAGTGAAGGGATAGGGAAAATGTCTTAACATGTGATTGACTGGGTAGACTATGCCACATTGTGACCAACTGTTACCCTTGATGCCAAGAATTCCAGTCTTGTCCTATTACAAGAAAATTCTGGTAGTAATTTTCTTCCTCCTCCTTTCCTTCTTGGGTCTTTATAAATAGCATGTGGTCCCAGCTGTGACTGTTTCCACTGTTTCTTAAAGCATGTCTTTGAAGGCTATATGGCTGGCAAGGGTACAGGATTTCCAGTTAGAACAGAGACAACTTCCTCTAACTAGAGGCATGCAAGAGGGTAGCTGACTGGCATGTTCATTAGTCTGATATTTCAGACTCAATCACATCTCAGGTATTTCAGAAAATAAACTTGTATATATTGCTCAAAGCCATACAAGTCAGACCACAGCTGACAAAGATGGCTCTGGGCCCTGTTCTAAGTGTTGTTAAGTCCCAAGAATAGATTAGGCGCATGAAGAACTGGAAGGAAAGAGAGACGCAATTAATTATCAAACTTTAATTGATAGACTAATCTTACAGGATAAACAATAAGACAGCTAGTCAAGATTACACATTAAAAAAAAATCCAGCAGCGCAAATCTAATAGACTAAATACGTTCATCTCCTCCCAAACAGGCATTTTGATTAAAAAACAAACAAGAACAGATTATACACCACAAGGAAACAGTACTTACATAATGTCAAATACCTCTGCAGAACTCTGTAGGGAAGGTAAAGAAGGTTCTCAGACACCAAGAAAGCAGAACCACCCAGCCTGGCAGCTAAATCCACCAGCTGTCCTGTACACTAGAGGGCTCCTAGCCACTGTGACTTCAAGAAGGCTTCTAGGCCTATGATGAAGGAAATGGGCCTAATCCTGACTGGAGGTGACTTTATTACAAAACTTCAAAATAAAGGGACCATCCTTTTCCAAGGGAATGGGGCTGAACAGTAAGGAGCAAGAAAGTTGGCTCCCTCAGCAGATGGGTGGAAAGCCTGACCTTGGCATTTATATATCTATCCCTTCCCTTCTTAGCTGCTGACAACGAAAAGGGCAGGCCAACTCCAAGAACTCACAATGCTCCTCCAGGCACATTAAAGAGGAAAAAAATCCCTTCTGGGTGAGATATGGCAACTTTTCTGAGACATGGCAACGTAGCAAAGTTAATCTCTTTGGCCCTCATAAGGGTAAGCAGCAATTAAGGAGCTACTTAGGACTTTACCAGGCCCCAACTGTGTCCACAAGATGCTATGAAAGTGCATCCTTGCCCAATCAAATCTAATTGAAGGGCCAAAGCTATCTGCAAAGCCCACATGAATTAAAATTCTTCTCACCAAAGTCCTACAACTCTTGAGTCTGAGTGCTCTGAGCTGAGGGACCCAGGCTCAGCAGCAGTTTTGTGATCACATTTTTCTGCCCAGTCGCCTAAGGGAGGAAAAGGAAGGCATGATGTCTGTGAGGGCAGCCCTACAGAAGGGCCACCAGTACCACCTGTAGATGGGAGAACAGCCCTTTCAGTGGCTACATGATGACAAGCCCAGGAGATGACTAGTCATGAGTAGGACTCCTCCACCTAGCTTCATGTAATGCCACCAGAGCCTTCTCAAGAAGAGCTAGCTAGCTACCTGCATGCCCTCTGATCTGACAGTGAAGGAATTGTACAGACATAATCCTGAGGAAAAACACTGTGATGCTACCTAATGGGAAGAGAATTTCAATTTGCTCACACAGATTTAGTCAGTATACTCCACATGGTAAGAAATATATAAAGACTGCTCAAGGGACTGAGTGACAAAATAGCAAATACTGCTGTGACCCAGACAGATCTGAACACTTATTCCCAGGGCTTCTGGCACTGCCTGCCCCTGCCCTTCTGAGAGCTTCTGGCAAGGCCTTCTGTGCTGACAGGGTCAGGAGCCAGAGCTCAAGCAGATTCAGCAAGCTCTGGAAAGCAATACTCAAAACAGCTCCATATGAAAAGGTGTCATTTACATTATTTATAGAGAATATCTCCAAGTAAGGAAAAAGCACCATTTTACTGAAAATAAAAAGGCTCACAGAGGCTTTGGTCCTCTTGAAATGACACCAGCCTACGTGAGAAGCAGTTTGGCCCTTGGGCAGCAGGGGGGATAATGGCAGGGCACGTGTACTAGGAAGGGGGAAGGCAGAGAGCACTGGACCTTCACAGAAAAAGGGGGGGGTAGCAGAAGGGGCCTCAGCTAAGATGGGAACACAGAGGCCTGGGTGTTTGGCACTGTCAGACAAGTCTCAAGGACAGGGACATTTGCAAACAAATGACAGTATTCAAGCCAAGAAGATGCTCTACCTGCCACTTGGTTACTTCCTTGGAAGACCTGCCAAGTGCAGGAGGAGGCTTGGACAAGGAGCATAATGTACTTTCTCCAGGAACTGCAGGCCAACAAGAACAGAAAATCCACAATTACCACTGAGGTGCTAAAACACAGGCAGTTTCTTGGACGCTGAATTTTGCATACATTACTTACACGCCCAAAAAGCAGAGTAAGTTTGCCTGTCCAGATGCATAACTTGGCACTGAGTACACCACAAAAAGCAAGAGTCTGTCTATGTGGGTTGGATTCCCAAACTACAGTTTAGAAGGGAAGGGCATAAATATCGTCATTAACTGGCTCACAAGGAATAGTCATCTTAGGTGAAAACATGCGAATACATTTCACAGGATGAGGGCGGGTAACAGCTTAGATTCCAAAGTGTGACGCTGGGAAGATTTCTCACCAAGCCTTACTATGAGAGCCTGCAATCAGTGAGAGGAGAATTGCAAAGACGGCAGCAGAGAAACAGCAAACAGCACAAAGGGGATCCACCAAGAGACTGTCCCTCATTTCAGTCAATCAAGGCTTACGGAGAAGACAGCAGTTCACGTGTACAAAGAACATCAGGGCTAACACCAGGAGACCAAGCTGGTCCTAAAAGCAACTTATCCCATCTCTGTTGTTGGAATACCACTGGCCAACCCACTGGGTCAGAGGTCTTCCATGAGAAAGGCAGCATCTCTGAACCTGGGATAAAGGACACTTCAACTGAACACATGAGAAGGATCAAATGGAGAAGCATAATTCAAACAACCACTGGACTGCTTAAGGAGTTCTGGGAAGCTTCCCAAGAAAAGAAAGCATGTGATCTGAGGCCATATGGCAATCCGGCTCCTCAGAGCAGGGGGCCTTGGAGCAGCAAGTCCCAAGTTGTGGTGATAGGCAGAGCTTCAAAGCCCAGCTCAAAGAAGGCTGTCAACAACCAAATCAGCAGTGGAACTCCCCCCAGAACAGGAATCCAAAGGGTAAGACATGTACACAGGAGTCAAGCGAGATATACTCTGCTGCTCAGCGGACACCCCAGCAAGGTGGGGGCCCCTACACCAAGACCACCAGCTGTGCTTTTCCCATGTGTATTCCCAAGCAGCAGCAGCAGCACATGGGAAAGAGCCTGGCAAGGAGGTGAAGATGAGGTACCAAAAGAGAAACTGCATCTTTGGGTTTAAAACAAAATCATACGAAAGTGAGAAAACATTAAAAAAATCTGAATCAATGAGCACACACACAAAAAAAAATATGGCTTACTAACCACCCCCATTTTGCATACAATTTTAATACCAAGGGAAAAAACAAAACAACAACAAAAAACCCAACTCATCACAATGCAGTCCAAATGTTTGCAACCAAAGACATCTGAAGATTTCACTTGAAATCACTTCTAAAAACAAACAAACAAACAAACAAAAAGGAAAAAAGAAAAAAGAAAAAGAAAAGGAAGACACAGAAAAGAAAGAGAAAAGGAAATAACCAGAGTGCTTTTGATTATTCCTTCTCAGCATTGCTGGCAGATCTACTCTCAAACAGACTTAAGAGTATTCCACACATGTTCAAAACTTGGATTTATTAATTTCCACCATACTGACTTTAAAAATGGTAAGCTGACTGCAAGAAAGGGAACCGGTGATTTTAAGTTCAAATTAAGCTAATGGTGAAAGTACATCACCTCTGGCTTCAGTCACCACATCACCTCAGATTGAATAGAGATTTTTTGTGTGTGTGAACAAAGTCCCAGAACTCTGCAATCCAGGGATGCTGCAGACCTCTCCCGGCAATGTCCTTCACTTTGGGTCAGTCTCCTGGGCCAGAGGTGAAAGTGCTTTCAAAAATACTGCCACTTGCCCAGCACAGTGTCTTTGATTGCATCCACATATTGAGTTGGAACCCAGTACACCCAGTAGTAAGAGGCTTCCGTGGGGCCCAACTGAAACGCCTGCAAGGGAAAAGGAAAAACCAAGCGATGCTTCAGAGGAGGGTGACCAAGCAGGCAGAACAACAGACGCAGGAGGGAGGGGAGCAAACTGATTAACAAGGGAAGAAAAACAAAACCAAACTGTGTAAATGTTTCTCCTACACTTAAAAGGGGGGTGGGGGTGAAAGGGCAAGTGGGGAGGGGAAAGTTCAGTTCAGCATTGCCAACTCTAAGGCAGTGGTTTGCAAAATCCAGTGCACATCAGAACCATCTGAAAGACTCACAAAAATAGATTGCAGGCTCCAGCCCCTGGATTTTAGTCTGGGAGGCCTGAGGCAAAGCCCAAGAAACATTTAGCAACCTCCCAGGTAATTTCAAAATTACTGGTCCAGAAGCCACAGTTTGAAGACCACTGCCCTAGAAAACTGCCACTCATACACAGGAAGCAGGTATGAATGTCTAAATCACACCGTGTGAAATGTTGAAATCCTGACAAATAACCTACATACCCTCCAGTAAGGAATAATGACAACAGTTCACAGTGGTGTGGCCTATTCATACAAACACTGTAGTCTTTTATTAAGATATGAACAGATTCTTTAGATCTAGAGTTATGACAGATTACAACCTCAAACCCAAACCATCAAGTTGCAGAAGGGTAGATACCATGAAAGCTATTTATGAAAACTGAAAAAAACACGACACAGTATGCCATCTTGTTCATGGACATATGTACAAACAAAAGCAATGATAGATGAAGAGCATACATTACAATAATGGGGAACGAGGGACGGGAAGACAATGGGTACAACATCACTGTTGGTAAAAAAATTTTTTATTTAAAAGATTTAAAACAAGTTACAAAATATTTACAACTATCATATTTGGCAATGGATATATGGCTTATGATGGTATAAAATGTAAGGTATAGTCCTTTCCTGTATCTTTGAAACATAACCCTAAAGATCAAAGAGCACTTATGAACTGTGACACACTACTCTAGAAGATAAATGGCATCTGGAAGAAGAGGGAAGTAAATCTTTCATTAGGACAAGCGTAATGGTGCTATTTAATGGCAAATTCAAAAAAAGACAGAAGGGAACTGCTGAATCCACTTTTTGCCAAAAAAAAATGACTTCAGGACATTTTAATGGAATTTAAACTAAATTCTAAACCATTATTCATGGACACAAATTCGTTAGGAAATGTCTAATGTGGTCCATTCACCCTATCTACTTTCCCATCACCAGGCTGCCTGAAAAACCAGATCTGTAAGCCCCACAGGGTTAAACTCTTCAAACAAATGTTTCAAAAAGAGTTAAAGGGCCAGGCTAAAAATATCATTATCAACTGTTAAAGCAGAAAAATAACTGAGCAGGCAAAACCAATCTGTTTGCTATCTTGTTTTATACATTACAGGTATACATTAAGGGTGTAGATGCTGCCTAATGGCCCCGAAGGAAACCCCAGTATGTTCTTGTCACTGCCAGGAAAAAATTCCAAAAGTCTGTGTTCAGTGACTGCAGTCCCATAGTCTTGGCTTTGATACCACCCAGCTGATCCTGAGCAGGCAGGAAAGGACACACCAGCTCTGCAGCCTACTGTATCCTAAGTTCCTTTCACTTATTGCCCTAGATCAAGTAGGTTGTCCAACATATCTCTGTGCCATGGACTTGGCAATCCCACCTACAGTTCAAACAACTAGCTAGCTGTTTATGGAGATGGAGGGAAATATGACAGTATCACTATAGCTAGATTCTAAAAGAATTGCCCCCTGGAAGACAACAGCAGGCAAACCCAACCTCAAACTGTCACTAACCCAGGTTAAATGCCTCTTGTAGCAACTTTGGAGTCTACACGGGTGCTTGTTTTATCAGATCACTAAACTGCCTGCTTTGTTCTGCACAAACTGATGAGCTCCATGCAGAAAAAGCATGCCCTGGGCCCCATCTTCCCAAAGGGCTCCTGGTCATGTGGACACATGCTGAGAATGGTAGACCACTATAGGAGAAAGAATTCTTGGTATCTTCATAGCCCCATGGCTAAGGTGATGTTTTATTTTATAAGTAAAACCAAACTTAAAAATGAAAGTTCACAAGCCATTCCAAATTCATTGTCCTGGACTAAAAACAAAGTATTACAAATAAGAGGGAGACAGAAGAGCTTTCTAAATAGGAGAAAACATACCCTCCTTTGGACTGCTTGGAGATTGGGGGAAAACAAAACAAAACAAAACAAACAAACAAAAAACCAAACCCCAAAACCACAACTGAGAATAAGGTCACGAATACAACTCTAAGTAAACAAGAAAACATCAGGAACTCCACAGTCTTCTGAAGACTGCTTTCGTTTCAGTTAGCAATGCCCCATTAAAAATCCACTTCCTTCAAAATGAAGCAGAAGCAGGTGGCCAGGCAGGCTGAGTCTACTCACCATCATGTGGTAATCTTCATGTCCTTCTATAGGTTCACTGACCACGTTTTTAATAGAGCCCATGGGCAGTTTCTCAGTCCGCTCTAGAGTGAAAGAATGACAGCAGTTACTCAAAGACCCAACTCCTCCTTGACCACAGCAATTCCTCCCACACCAGGTCTGGTTGGATGTATAATAACTCAAGTGGCAGGTACCATGCCCTCTGGGGACGAAGGACAGCATCTTCTGACCAACGTACCTACAGCCTGGTAGGGAGCTAAGAAATCTGGAGCACCAAGTGAAGAACAGGTTTTGGTGATGGTAGAGTAAAAGTCTCAGGGCACATTTACCCATCATATTATTAGTTTTAAAGTCTGATGATTAAAAGACACCACGAAACTCCTCTGTGTTTTCATAATCCAAACCCAGAATAGGCTAAGGTTTTGAACCCCTAAAAAAGGAAAAGTCAAGAGGCCCACAACAAAGAAACAACAGGAGAGAGTATGCCAAGCTTCCAAGGCTACTTACTGCCTGTGCCAAAACTTACCAAACCTTCTATAAACATAACTGTTTGTGATGGTCACTCAAAACATTTATGCCCTCACCTGATTAACAATGGAGACACCAATAATCACACAGGGCAGAGAATATTTTACAAGTATAAGTATGGCAGGAACAAGGAGGCAGTCATGAAGCAGGCCCTCAGTGAGATAAGCCACCTGAAGCAGACAAGTGTAATGGTGGGGAGGCATGGGGATCTGTGCCACAGGAAATAACCCAGGAAGCACCAGGCAAAGACACCTTATAACCTTTGCAGAACGAAAGATCTAGAAAGGCAGATAAGTAAAAAACTAAGTTACCAAATGGAACTAGAAATTTAAGAGTCCTGGGCTCGCCAGGCATTGGTAGTGCACACCTTTAATCCCAGCACTCAGGAGGCAGAGGCAGGTGGATCTCTGTGAGTTCGAGGCCAGCCTGGTCTACAGAGCTAGTTGCAGGACAGGCTCCAAAAGCTATACAGAGAAACCCTATCTCGAAAAACAAAAAAGAAAGAAGAAAAGAGTCCTGGGTTCTGATCTTATCAGTGACACAAAGTATTGTACTTTTAAAGGCCTTGACTTCAGAAAACTGTGAAAGGAGGGCCTGAATATGTCTACTTTATGGCTCTAAAACAGCAGCCACAAACAGACAAAATCAGCAGCATCCTTTAGATTGAGAGTTTTAAAATACTTTTCACCTTGAAATGTCTGGAGATTTCATACAATCATATTTCTGACTTTTCCTCAAATTTGAAGGACTAGACAATCCAAACACCACACCACACAATAGATAATGTCAATCAATTAAGCTTTGAATGTCCTACAAGCAGGGTAAGGCAGCTGACTACAAGCATAGCATAGTCTCCTGGGCAGCTCCATGGTCTCAAACTGCTTCCTACACAGGCAACAGGATGTTGTGTGTGGCAGTCTGGAGAGTCCCTTACATAGCAAAGTACCCATAGAGAGGCCAATTATCTGCTTGGACAGTCACTTCACAGCAGCTTCTTGCTGAAGTGAAGATAAGCCAATGGCTTTTAGCCAATTCCCAGAACAAGCTGTGCTTCTTCTCCAAGTCCCTTTGATGCTAGATGGCAGGCCTCCTGGGCACACAAGAACAACACTTACCCACCCCCTGGGCTACTAGAGACACTGATAAGGAATGGTTTAGCTCAGAATAAAGAGCTCAGTCTTATCAACCATGAAAGGTATGAAGAGTTCATGGACATACTTTTAATACAATAATGGAAAGAGTTCTCAAACAGTTCAAATCTCAGTGCATAAGGACATGTCTAGAGTTCTGCCCTCAGCAGGAAGCTAGTTGCTCACAGAAGCTTAAATAAAATCTCTAAGCCAGGCGTGATAGTTCATGCCTAAATTCAGTACTCATGAGGCTGAAGCAGGAGAATCAACAAAAGTCAGATGCCAAGCTCTGATAGTTTCCTCAAAAACATCAAACATGCACAACTTCTTGGATGCATTAAGCTCTACACTTGAGCCCTTGCCTTCACCTACCCTCCTGGACATGGTGGGGACCCTTCCTAGACCAGCCTGGGCAACTGCTCTCAATCTGGGTTGCCAGCAAGCAGAGAGGCCCAGCTATAGAGAGCCATGTGCATCAGCAAGGAAACGCAGTAATAGAAGATGAAGCAAGATCACCAAGAAAACCCACAGGCAGGGCAGGTAATCACTAGCAAAGGAGATGATATGACAGGCTCTCTACAACAGAATGTTCTAGCAAATCCTTCAAAAGCCATTGAAACACAGGAGAAACCTTTTAAAACAGAAAATTTGGTCTGATCATGAAGTTAAGGGTTGACTGTAAAATGAACAACATAGCCAGTTATCACAAAATGAGAAAACTCAAGCACTGTCAACACTTCAATCTGTTCATTTTTAAGAATCTCTAGGGTTAAAACAGTGACCTGTGTTCTAGATTCATGTTTTAGATAAAAAAAAAAAAAAAAAAAAAAAAAAAACACACACACTCCCTACCACCCTGTCCAAGTTTTATTTTTGTGAAACTTGGTTCCATTTTCTGCAACCTGCCCTTGCAAACAAGTCTCTGATGATGGGACCTCTATTCTCCTCTTTGGCATTTACCTCGAACACTGAACACCTACAGTGCTGCCTAAACAGATAAATTGGGCATGTTCAGGTCCCTCCAGGAATCTAACAAGGACAGACAAGTAGGAAAGTAATGAGTGCTATGGGGACATAAATATAGAGTGCTTGAGGAGCAAAAGCAACTCAAAGAAACAGAAGTTCAAGTGGAGGGTTAGGGAGATGCAAGGAAAAAGCATCTTGGGGGCAGGAGAGAGTGGAAGACTATTAATCCCAAGAACCGAGGAGAAGACATTACAGGATAGGGCCCAGCAAAGACAAGAGCTTCGTAAAATACAAGCTGGGAAATTCAAGAATGTGCCTCAAGTACATGAGGGTTGACAGAGCAGGCCATGGATTTAAAATGGGGTATAATTAAACATCCAAACCTAGCCTAGAAGGGTTACAGGCCTAGAAATCAGACAAAAAAGCAGTCCAGCAACGAGGACCAAAGATGATAGGATACCAGTACTGGAAATGGCAGAGAAAGGGACAAAGGGCAATTCTGGAGAGTTACCAACAAGATTTGACAACTAGCCAGGAATGATGGTGCATGCATTTAATCCCAGTACTCAGGAGGCAGAAGCAGGTAGATCTGAATTTGAGTCTGACCTAATTTACAGAGCAAGTTCCAAGACAGCCAGCATTACACAAAAAAGCCCTACATCAAAGACAGACAGACAGACAGATAAATGAAATCAGGTAGCTACCAGGTTGGGGATGGTCTGGGATAATTCCCAGAAATAGCAAGGCTGAACCAGAGACTGTGCACAGATGGGGCATTGTTGACAAGAGATGAGGATGTATATAAAAGGCAATCAACAGGCAAAGGAGAAATTGTAGGTGGCAAATAGACAAATTTCACTCTTAAGGTCAAACTGACCAATACGGAGGGCCTACACAGGCACCATGAGCAAAGCTAACTAAACATTAGATGGGGCCATAAGGGATTGTGGTAAATACTCTGCTTAGTTTGCAGGTGCCATTGCCAGATCCTCTGATAGTTTCCAAGAGAAGCTCCCCATTAGTTTCAGAGAAAGTCTGATTTGTACAAACTATGTATATACCATAAAACCCTTGCCTAAGGACCAGATTTAGGTCACATGCTTGGAACATCTTGGTTTGTATGTTAACATAAAGGCCAAAATTTGAAAGACGGTCTCTGAGATCAGATTGAAAAGAAAAAGAGGGATGGGACCAACCAATAGGCAAGCATGTAAAGACACAGTCAAAAGCTATGAAGACAAAGCACGGAGAGGAGAGGGGCTCCAAATGAAAAGCAGAATCGCAGTCAAGAACCAGTGCTGTTGGGAGCTAGAGGCAGGTAGGGTGCTGGGATGCCAAGCAGACCGAGAGAACTAGAGTACCTTTAGTGCCGATCCACAGCTGGTCTTGCTCTAGCTTAAAGGTGAGTCTCACTTTCCCTCCAGATTTATTATACATGCCAGACAGGGGTACCGTTGGCAGGCGCTCCTAGAGGCACAAGAGCACAGTGAGAAAGGGAGGAACAGTAGGACAGTGAGAGGGAAATAAGACAGAACTTGAAGCCATGAGTATAGAAATTTTAGACTGTGGAACTGATTCCTTTTAGGGGCTCAAAAATCAGGCCAGCTTACCTGGGCACCCTTAACAGATGGCATCACATCTTCAGGTTTTCCTTTGTCCAAAACTTTCCTGTGTTGCTACAATATAAGCCAAAACAAAGAGGAAAACGAGACAGCTTACTACATTTGAGTCAAATTTCAACCTCTTGGATAGACAGGATGAAGCAGCCTTGACGTTTGTTTGTTTGTTTGTTTGTTTGTTCAGTATCAATAAACTATGCAGCCTTTGACACTGCAGAGCAAATGTGTTCAAGGGAGTTTGTGTTGATAATGAAATGTTCCTTTACCTGTGCTAGTCCCTGGCCTCTGACTAATATGGCTACCAACATAAAGAACTGACTTCTCAATTTTATTTATCCATACACAGCCACCATATTAAACATAAAAATTCCACAGACTAAGCAGGAGTTTGTTACTAATTCAAATGTTTTACTCCCATCTCTCGAGTGAAAAAAAACTAACCATTAAGTTAACAGACAGGAAAAGAGAGCAACATCTGCTGTTTTTCAACTCCAAAGAAAACACAAGCTGCCTGTACATGTATAAATGCCAAGCAGGGTCATTTCTCCATTATTACAGAGAGATAGACCATGACAGAAGTCTTCCTCTTCCACAACCTCAACTCAGCCACAAAGAATACCCAAAGAGCCACATTTTAAAAGCAGAAATGCTGACACCCCCCCCCCAACCCCACCATGCCCTACCACTAAGAAGCCATCAAGTCCACTCCTCCTGCCCTCTACCCTGAGACTCAAGAATTCCAAACTCACAGTCCCTAAATGCCTTCATCTCCTCTCCTTTAGATCTATAGCTTTACAGGTACAGCAGCTGCTTGGTAAGGCTGGAACTATAGGCCAATAAATGAGCCATGGATAAAAACTTAGTCAAATGTAAGCACTAGCTGGCAACGAGCTAATTCAACCCTTGAGTGGCATAGCAGAACGCTGTGGTAGGAATTGCTAGCAAAGGGCTGCTGCTGACATCAGCCTCAGATTCTGAACACAGTGATCAAAAGCCTAATGAGGGAGTAGAGCCTCGTAACCAGTGGCATCACCAAAGCAAAGCACCACAGAATGGAAGTATATTGAGTCATGACTTATAAGTACCTTTGGGAGAATTGTTCCTGTGCAGTGGTGAACAGTTCTAAGCCTGTTAAGCTACCATTAGTCATCCAAAATCTGTATTTACAAGGCAGGTTATACACTAAGATGTGACATGAGAAAATAATTTTCTTCATAAATGTGACTAGGGAAGACAGAAAATATGAATGACCTCAACAGGTTACCAGAAATTAGGACCCCCATATTTAGGGATAAAAATAGCTCATACAAATATTTACTTTTAAATGACAATTCAACTTTACAACACTTATCTAAAACTCTATAGAGGTGCTACCCTATGGGAGAGCATGTGTTATGTCTTGACAAGGTCCCAGGTTCAATCTGCAGCACCAAATACAACACAAAACAAATACTCTATGGAAAGATGTTTTGAACTTCAGAGTTTTGGGGATTTTGTAAAGATAACAGTTTTAAAACACTTTACACAAATTTCTCTATGGTATCTGGGATAGCAACCAAACAATATTTCTTTCAAATATATTAGTATTTCCATCAAAAAATGTTAAGAGGGGCTAGAGAGATGGCTCAGTGGTTAAGAGCACTCTGGCTACTTTTCCAGAGGTCCTGAGTTCAATTCCTGGCAACCACAGGATAGCTTACCACCATCTATAATGAGGTCCAATGCCCTCCTCTGATGAGCAGAGGAACACGCAGACAGGGAACTTATACATACATAAGTAAGTAAGTAAATAAATAAATAAATATTTTAAAAAAATTTATTTTACAAAAAGTATAACTGTCCCCACAATTCTGTTCAATTGCTGCCAAATTTTTAAAAATACTTCTCTGTGAATAGAAGTAAACATGGATTATGGATGTCTAACACAAAACCATCTTTCTCCCACAGTTGGAACTATGCCTTTAGTGTCTACTGGCCCTATAACTAAGTCAGATCTACTCTGGTCAGGACATAGATTAAATTAAAAACACATGGTAAGGGGCTGGGAGAAGGGTAGCTCAGTGTAGAGTTCTTCCTACTACCACAAATAAGACTCAAGGTTCAGTCCTCTGTATCTGCACACATCTATAAACATGCATGATGGCACATGTCCACAAACTCAGAACTAGGGAGACAGAGACAAGAGGACTGTACAAAGTCAAGGATAGCCTAGTATCCAGATCAACCTTCAGACCAGTCAGTGCTTAAGAGTGAATGAAACCCTATCTCATAAAACAAACACAAAGAGCAAGAGAGATAATACAAAAAAATTGAGGCTATACCATAGAGAAGGGCCACGATAAACACAACAAAAAGTGTTGATATCTTCTTATTCAATTTGGCTTAGGTTCCTGACCTGGTCAGTTTTAGGGGAACCTCTGAAGTCTGTTGACTTTCATACCTATCCAGAATTGTTTTTTGTTTTGTTTTGTTTTGTTTTAACCTTGAGAAGACACATAAGAACACACCAAATGTGAGCAGTTGTAAGAAATAAGGGCTTAATTCTAACATTAGTCATATTCTCTGACACTAAATAAAAGAAACCCATGTCTGGTTCCATTTGCTAACTAGCTCAAGTCTCCTCTTACAGAGGCCTTATCCTAAAGCAGGAAGACTAAGGCACACTGACCCGCCAGATGACAAAGTTGCATATTTCAGGTAGCTGTCAACTCCACTCTGCTGCACCCAACTGCTCCATAAATTTCCATCATGGGCCCTGTCCAAAAAGGAGCTTATTCTAGGGAGAACATAACCAGCTTCCAATTTCCCAGGACCAGCAAGCAAGCACACAAAGGACTCACCTTCTGCCTGCACAGGGGCTCCTTCTTGTTTTCTTCAGCCTTTGCATCCTGCTGGGCAGCATCTTTGGGGGTGTTTACTGCTAAAACATCATTTATAGTAGAGCCAACCACCATGATCTTGGCCCCACTGGTCACTTTTATTTCTCTCAACGTTTTATCTTCAGGAACAAGTCCCTTATACATGACCTTCTGCATGGCAGGTGGGAGACCTTGATAAAAAGTGGAAGATAGTGAAAGGAATAAGCAGAAAATGAATGAACTATGGCCCTTCTGTAATAAAACAGGAAGTGAATATAGGTTCCCATCAGCTATCTGATCTGTGAACTTGGGGGAATTCGGACCATCAGGATTATTTGATTGGTAAGACTTGGTCCTTCTAATAGACTTAGGGTATTTAGAATTGTTCAATGTGTTTTAGCTATCATTCTTTCCAAGTTGTTCCTCAACCTTGTTCTCACTTAAATACTTAGAATGCACAAGGGCCAGGGATTCAGAAGCTTCAGTAAGTTACTTTTCTATGGCACTTACAGGCTACATGGGAAAAGCTTAAGAAAGAAATAATTTTAAACACCAAACCAGTACAAAAAAAAAAAGACCAAATATGAATAATTGTGAAGGGCCACCATGACTGTCAATAGTAATGCTTCATGAACTTCCCTTATGAAACTTACCTATCTGCTAAAAATAAACGCGTGGCTACATCCTAGACCCACTCAGAATCTCCACAGTTACTGCCCAGTATCTGTAAATTTAGTAAAAGCCGTGGGAGATTTTCACTAGCAATAGTACTTCATTATTAGTTAGAAGGCTGAGTCTATTATTCAGTTTCAGGCTTGCATCTCAAGAGTCCAATTTTCCCTTTCTGACTAACAATGGCCATGCAAATACTGAATTCAGAAAACTGCAGTGAGGATATGGGGAGTCCATGCAAGAAAAACACAAGCATTCTAGTACAACGTAAGCAATACGAACTGGGGGGGGGGGGGGGGTGGCTGGAGATAGCTGGGTGTCAGCTCCTAGAATACCTGTAATGGAGTGAATCTTCTGCTTTAACTCGGAACCCGTGCTGTCCAAAGGGATCCTCACGTCGTGCTTAGTCTTGTTCCAAATTATCTTCAGATCCACCAGCTCCCTGCCCGCACCGCCACCCGCGTCCTCGCCGTTGCTGACCGAGGCCTGAGCCACAGGGTCCCCAGGGGGCTGGGCCGGGGCCGGCTGCAGGCTGCCTCGCGCGTCGCAGGAGTCCTCGGCCGCCGCCCCCGCCGCTGCTTCGTCCTCCACGCAATTGAGGGGCCGTGCGGGCGCCTCGGTGGTCACAGCCTCGGCCTCGGTGTCCATGCCTGCAAAAGGTTAAGTTAAGGGGTGGGTGCTCGCAGCGGGCCCGGCCTGCCACCGCACCGCCGCTGCTGCATCACCTCCTCCCTCTAGGACCAGTCCCCGTCCCCCGAGCCCCGCAGCGCCTGCAGCTCTTCAGCCGACGACCTACCGCCTTCCCCTCCGCACTCACCATCCGGGGCTCCGGCCGCCGCCATGATGATTGTGTACAACACCCACCGCGCCCGCAGGGGCCGCCGGGAAGAAGCGAGCTGGCTGAGATTGGCCCCCGCAACAGCCCCTAATTTCACACAGCCTGGCCGGAAACAGGTGGAGGTTTCTATGGAGACCCGCCCCCTCCGCTTCCCGGGCCGGCCCCTGCCACGCTTTAGCATTCCCGCAGCCGAGGGGGGCGGGCCCGGGGAATCACCCCTCCCTGCACCCTGTCCCCTAGCGGCGGTACACTGTCCCAGTTGTCCGCAGGAGAGCGAGCGGCTCAGGTAAGCGGCCTGTGCCTTTAAGTGGCGGGGCCCGCTCTCGCTGTGGCAGAAGATGATTGGTTAGGATGAGTTTCCCCCGCCGCGCGGAAGTGACGTGCGGAGGAGCCCACGTGTGTGTTTCTATTTCACATGGCGGCGCTCCTCAAGACATTCGTGCGGGCCGAGCCTCGCGCGGTGGCCCTAGGCCACAGCGTGGGACGCAGGGAGGCCAGCCTTGGGCCAGACCCCGGGGCCACGGTGCGAGTGCGCTTCGCCCCCAGCCCCACAGGTAATCCTGGCGGACGTGACGCGCGCGCCGCAGACCACCGTCCGGTCCCCGCCCCCGAACGTTCCTGAAATAGTGCCTTCCGGTGTCTGCACGACCCCATTTTCCAGAGTCGGAAATGGAGGAGTAAGACCTGAAGTGAATCCGGTTCCTGGAAGTGTCTCTGTTGTATTCTCTCTGTTCTTCGCTGTACTCATCGTTTAGTGCGTATACATTGTGCCAATTCTTATGCACTACAATGCAGTGGTCACTGAAAAGTCAGGGCCCCTGCTTTGAAGAAACCGGCATTCTAGTGACCACGACAAGCATTTACAAGAGTAATTTTAGAGTTATAGTTGTCATTTTGGAAATGGAGCGGGATAGGGTGCCTTAGGAAGCATTACTGAAGAGTAAACGTTTGAGTTGAGAACAAAATATCAAGGAGACCTGCTTGAAACTTAGAGGAAATAGCACAGTGGCCCGGATTTATTATTGCTTAAAGCTTAGCAAGCCACAGGTCCAGTGTATACCCTGTTAGAAATATTGTCATCTTGCAGGGTGTTGGGGCAAACTCCCTTAATACCAGCACTCAGAAAGAGACAGGCAATCTCTAGGCCAACCTGTTCTACAGACAGTTTGACACAGCCAGAGCTACACATAGAAACTCTTATCTCAGAAAACTAAAAAGAAAGAAACATTGTCATCACCTGCCCTCCTCACCGAAAGATCCCAACCTTCCTTTAGCTCAAGTCACCTTCTGCCCTCTTGACACTGAGCAACCTTTCATACCAGGCCCAAGGTCAGGTGAAAAAGATCTTTGTGACAGAGACCCAGCTGCACAAGAATGACACATTACTTCTGGGCAGGCAATATAAATCATGGAACTTTTAAAACTATATGTAGTGAAGCCCTGATTCTTAATTACCAGTTGTGAGTCTGGAAAACATACAAAATAAAAGCTACTTTTTTTTTTTTTTTTTTTTTTTTTTTTTATGTCTCAGTGGACATAGAATGGTTTATTAAATGGCTGTAAGTTTCTAAACCTCAACTCTCCGTTTGTGTGTGAACTGTACTGGGATGCTCACCTTGTTTGAAGAAATAGGGCACCAAGACCTGGCATTTTCTCCATCTGTATTTCTGCATTTGCCCATTCCTAGATGTGTCATTTTGGCAACTGTTATCTGTTCTGTTTATGTCCTACTTTTGCTATTTGTCAAGTAGGGCTAATAATAGTACTTGTCTGATGATTTTGAGCCAGTTCATCTGAACCACTCAGCAAGGTTGGCTATGTGCAGTAGCCTTTTCTGCAATTATATTAATTTCTTTACTGACTATCAGGAAAAGCCTAAATGGCTAGGAGTTGTCAACCGTGTAGATCACTGTGATAGCTAAAATTAATTGAAGGTTTAAATTTTTTGTTTGTTTGTTTTGATTTGGAAACAGTTTTTAATGGGTCACCATGATTGACCTGGAACTCAAACTTGTAGCAATACTCTTGTTTCTGCCTTACAGATACTAGAGTTACAGTTGTGAGTCACCAGACCTGGCTTAAAGTTGGTCAACATTTAGGTATCACAGTAACCTCATGATAAACCTCATGCTTTATTAAGACAGGACCTTACTATATCCCTGACTGGCCTGGAATTTGCTGTGTAGACCAGGCTGTTGCCTCAAACTCATACAGATTTACCTGTTTCTACCTCCAGAGTGGTAAAGGTTCATGCCACCAGATCCAGCCTGATTTTTTTTTTCTTAAGCCTACTAACATTGGTAAATTGAAACTTGTGAAAGCTAAATGGATTCCCAAAGGTTAGAAATTTCTTAATGATGGACTGAATTCTTTTTTAGATTTCATATATGGCTCTTTTTTAAATTTCATTCAGTTATGAGAAAGAGTCGCCAAACCTGGAGCTCATTGATTCACCTACAGGGATCTGCCTGTCTCCCACTGCCAGTGCTGGATTTAACAGCTAGATGTTTGGATTTTATGTGGGACCTGGGGATCCAAACTCCAGTTGTTATGCTCCTGCAGCAGGTGCTTTATTCACTTGAGCCATTTACCTGGCTCCTGAATGTAGAATTTGAATCTAGCTGTATATAAGGTGAGGGGTATTATTTATCAATTCTGGTCTCCTCTGTCTTGAAGTTCCTGAGACTCAGTTCCACTGAGAACTATTTGTTTTGTGGGATTGCAATAATTTGCTGAAGGTCTCGTAGAATCAGTGATGAGCCAGGTCTGCCAGGTACCCAGAAGAACATTTCCTGGTACCTGGAAATGCAGTTAAGGTCATTATAATGTAAATGACATGATTGTGGAGATCCAAGGCCCTGGGCTACACCAAAGAAAGTAGAGGAAAGGAAATGACAGACCTGGGAAATTTTGAAGCTTTTAGTCAGTAGTAGTACTTGCAGAGTTTAAACCCCAGTGAAGGGTAATATAGTGAAATTGAATGTTGCTTTCAACTATAATCACTTATTACTAGGGATTATAGTGAAAATCTCAAGTAGGAAAAATTGAAATTGCATGATGTGGCCTAGTACCATATGTAGAGTACGATGAAAAATGTGTTGTTTAAAATAGGATTTAGATGTGTTATTAACATGTAGTTAGCCACCCTCTCCTCCTGGAATATATCAGTAGATAAGCAGTGTGATCTGATTTCTGTCAGTTTTCAGATGGAAATTTTCAAACAGATAATGAATGCTGTTTCTCCTTCTGGTGAAACTTGGCCTTGAGGCAAATGTCAAAGTTGAGTGCTGAGGGTGCTCAGTAAGAGTTGGATCATTTTTATGTGATGACAAGCTCTTAGACCTGACTCCTAGATGTTCTTTCATTCCCAAGATGAAGGACTAAATGGAGTCAGCTACTCTGCTTTACTTTTTCTTTTTGTTGTTATTAGGATTTATTTTACGAGTATTTTGTCTGCATTTGTACATGTGTACCACATTAGTGTGTGCTACTTGATGAGGTCAGAGGATGGTGTTCCCTGGAACTGGAGTTATAGATAGTTAATCAGCCACCATGTAGATGCTGGGTACTGAACCTGGGTCCTCTGCAAGAGCATTCAGTGCTTGTAACCATTGGGCCATTTCTCCATCCCCACTGTGTCCTTTTCAGTGATAGTCTGTCTGCTTGTCAACCAAAGAAATAGGACAGTCACAGCCATTTATTGGTCTTAAAATTCATTGGGACATTCTTATTTGCACCTCAACTGAGGCCCATGCTCCAGTGACTTCCCTGTCCTGTCTGACTTGTCATCTTCTACCAGGATTCTTGCACCTGGGTGGCCTCCGGACTGCCCTCTACAACTACATCTTTGCCAAGAAACACCAAGGGAGTTTCATTCTAAGGCTGGAGGACACTGATCAGAGCCGACTGGTACCAAGGGCAGCAGAGAACATTGAGGACATGCTGGAGTGGGCAGGTGAGGGTCGCAAGGAAAGAGTCTGAGGAAGCAGAGAACCGGAAGCAGAGAAGGAGGCTGTGGATCTTCTCTGTGGGTTCAAGGTGGAAAATGAGAATTCCTGGGAAAATAGATAAACCTGCCCAGTCTGGGGTGGCAGTTGCTCCCTGTAAAAATGACAAAGTTCTCTGAAGCCAAGCTCTAAGACCATTGTGGAATACCTGCTTTTATCTCACTCACCTAAGTCCATTCCCTGAGAGGCCAGGGCAGGAAACAGACTCATGGGAAATGTAATGTTCATGCTGTTCTTGCACCACTGGGACACATCTTGCCTGTGGGCCAGTATTGTAGTGTGCAGGGTAGCTACAGGGATGCCACTGATGTGTTTTCTTCCCCAGCAGCCTGCTTTACTCCTTCTATACTATGAAAGCCTACTTAGCAAGGAGGAAGTTTTCAGGTCAGTTCCTGTTTGATATATGAATGCCCTGCAGCAAAATTGTGTTTTCTTGCTTCATTTACGTGTGTGTGTGTGTGTGTGTGTGTGTGTGTGTGTGTGTGTGTGTGTGTGTGTATGCATGAGTTGGTGTGTACCACATGAGTGCAAGAACCTATGGAGGCCAGATGAGGGTATCAGATTCCCTTAAGTGGTGTTACAGGTAGTTGTGAGCCTCTATGTGGAGCTGGGAACCAAACCTATGTCCTCTGCAAGAGCAGTATATACTCTTAACTACTGAGCCATCACTCTGAGCCATATATGTATGTGATTTTCCTTCTTGTTTTGATACTTGATTTTGCTGTGTAGCACAGTCTAGCCTTCAACTTTGGCAGTCTTCTTATTTCGACCTCCCAAGTAATGGAATTACTAGTATAAGATACCATGCCTACCACCTCACCTCCTTTTTATGAAATAAAAAAATGAAGGTGCTATGAGGATGGTATCTAAACTATGCAATAATAATTGTAACCAGAATGTAATGTACATCTAGCAAATGCCAGGTGATATGCCTTTAATCTCATTTTAGCCTCTTATGACCTTTATGAGACACTAACTATTTGCATCTTGTTTTACAAATGAAGAGTTGGAAGCATTCAGAGTGGACTTGCCCAAGATCATAGAGCTGTCCACAGGGTTTGAACCCAGGCAGGTCCATCTGCCTAGAGTGTGTGTGCTAGCATGTTTTTATCCTACTTTACTAGAATCTTCTAGAGGGCAGAAGCCCCCTTTTGCAGGCCTTGTGTCTCCACTGCCCTCTACTGGAAGTGTTGATATTTTTCTCTCCCATATATTTGGAG